TTTGATCCCTAGCCCCAGTCCAGGCCCATGCACAAGGCAACTGATCATTGTGTCTCTCTCACATCCATGTTTCTGTCTCCCCACCCCACCCCCATCTCCCTCCTTCCCTTCTACTCACTCTTTAAAAAAAAAAAAAAGTCAGTGGCCCCGGGTGGTGTGGCTGAGTGGTTGAGCATGACCCATGCACCAAGAGGTTGCTGGTTCAATTCCTGGTCAGGGCACATGCCCAGGTTGTGGGCCCGATCTCCTGTGGGCGGCGTGCAGGAGGCTGCCAGTTGATGTTCTTTCTCATCGATGTTTCTGCCTCTCTCTCTCTTTCTCTCTTTCTCTCTTCCTCTCTCTCTCAAATCAATAAAAAAAAAGTTTTTTTTTTAATTAGTGGAAAAAATATTCTCGGGTAAGGATTACCAAAACCAACAATTTGTAAATTGATAATACAGTCAAGAGACTAGGTTATGGAAAACGGGTTATAAATTAACGAGTCTATATTTGAAAACCATAAATACTGCATTTATTTATGAGGATATTTTTCCATTGAGTTTTAGATAGAGTGGAAGGGGGCAAGAGGGGAGAGAAACATCAATGTGAGAGAGACACATCGACTGGTTACCTCCTGCATGACCCTAACTGGGGCCAGGCATTGAACCTGCAACCCAGGTACATGCCCCTAACTGGGAATCGAGACCCTTCAGTCTATGGACCAACACTCTAACCGCTGAGCTAAACCAACCAGGGCTAAAATCATAACTTTTGCTTTCTGGTTTTTAAGACCTTTTCAGTTTTTAAGTACATTTAATGTTTAAATTGTTAATTTAAAAAATATATATTAAAGTTCATAGGACAGAGTTCATACCAAACTTTAAACCTTCTTGAAAAGGAAAAATGATAAAACAAGACAAAGTGAAAGAAGGAAAACCTAAAGCAAGACGTGGAGCCTACGAGTACCACACCCGTGTCTGCCACAAGTGCCTGTGTCTCCGTGGCGTGGACCGTCCTCGGAGGGGATGAGGCCTTGCTCATCTGTGAGCCCAGCCTGGTGAGCATGTAGGGAACTCGCAGTGGAGGACACGGCTGGGGCCGCGCAGGCAGGCAGAGCGCAGGAGGAGGTGTGTGAAGAGGCTCCGGGCCTGCACGTCTCAGGCCAGTAAGCACGAGGTGGACACCAGCGGAGACCCACGGCAGAGCAGTTCTCACTCTGCGCCCTAGTTTCTGGTCCGTGACGTTCACCTCAATCCCAATAGAGCCCCAGAAGTACTTTTCTTGGGAAAATGCTGGTATTGTGTTGGAGACCTGGTTTATTTTGATGTTGTCAGAGGACCAGTGTAAGGCGTACAGGAGCAGCTACACTAGGAGAGGAGGAAGCGGGCAGAGGACGGTGCGGCAGGCCTCGAGTTAACTGTCTCAGCTGCCGCCCGAAGCCCATGAGGGGACGACCCGCTCCCTGCTCCGCTCCTGTGACCAGGCACCTGCCACCACAAGGTCGCCTGAAGTCCACATTTACCAGGAACTGTGGAGACTGTTCCGGGGGAGAAAGGGACAGCCAGGCCGCTCAGTGGGTTGCCCTGGTTTAAGTGAAATGCTGTCACTCCAGTGACATCTGTGGTTCTGTGACTTATCTTCTCAGGAGACTGTTTCAGCTGCAGATTTGTGGTGTCACTTGTAGTTTTCTCTAAATAAAGACTTCTGAGCTCTCTGTTCTTTTTCTGTGACTTTGTCTGGATAGATAGCCTAGTACCTTTGCCGATAACTTCACATAAGTTGGTTGCTTAGTCAACATAGCAACTTAAGCTTAATCTTAAGCTTCAAAGTTGACTTAAGATTTAAACAACATCTCTGTTACTGTCAGGCTGCCTTCAAGTCTCTGTAAGAGTGATTCACCAGTTCACTTGTTCATTCAGTAGGTACTTACTCACTGGGTCCGGTCCCTGGAGAGAGCGCAGCACCCGCCTTCATGGAGATAACAGGCTAGAGAGACAGACACTGTGCTCCCTGAGCAGGGCCTTGTCCTCAGGTTCCTCCGTGTCCCCAGCGTGGTGCCCAGCGGGAGGCGCTCCACAGTAGTCCACGGCCGGGCTTGGACTCCGCCTGCCGTTGTACCGAAGCTCAGCTGGGGCGCCGCCACACTCATTCCTGCACGTGCTGTCTGGCGGCCTTTGCCCCTCCAGGAGAGAAGTGAGCAGTGTGACAGGGCCCGTCCAGCCTGCGAAGCCTAAAATATTCACTGTCTGCCCTTCAGACATTGTCACCAGCTCCTGGCCCAAAGGAGTGAACGGGAAGGAAGACTGCCATATCGTGAACGAGGCTTAACTGGGGAAAAAGCTTCTCAAATGAAACATCCTTGGAGTTGAGGAAGGAGAAAGGGGTGGACACTGAGTCCAAGTGAAGACAGGTTCTTTCAAGGCCCTGTCATGGAGCAGGGCGGGGTGGGGGGAAGAACTGGCTAGAGCACAGAGCATGGCGGAGGGTGTCACAAGGGAGTTTGTTTCTCAGTGGTGGAAGGGTTCTAGAGGTGCCCTGCCCCATGTCAGCTCATCTGGAAGGGCTGAGTGGTAGCAGCTGTGTCATGGTGCTCAGTACTGCCCAAGAGGGACATGCTCATCAGAGACAGCCCAGGCCCCACTGCCGCCTCTGCAGACCTGGGGACCGCCTTGTTGCAACAGGTGTTTCCTTATCCTAATGACTAATGTTTTCCTGGAAGTTTGGGATTTTAACATTTCTCTGAGTGAGCAGGGTCCTTTTTCTCACAGTATTATCTTCTTAATTCCAGGTCCTTGACCCTCATTGCTTTGTGACGCTCGAGGGCAGAGGACTCATCTGCACAGTTGCACAGGTCAGGGGTCTGTTGCATCCCTGAAGCGGTGTTGCTGCCTAGTCTTTCTGTTTTCATCTACCCTTCTCAGGTCTGGTCACTAGAGTAGTAAACTCATCGCTTACCTTAGTCTCTTACTACCTCATAGAGCAGTTTATAGATGGCTTTTTTTGTAGAATATTATGGGATATGTTCAAAATGCACAGACCTTGTCTGGCAGTGTTGCTCAGTGGTTGAGTGCTGACCCATGCACCAAGAGGTCGCCGGTTCAGTTCCTGGTCAGGGCACATGCCCAGGTTGTGGGCCCGATTCCAGTGAGGGGCATGCAGGAGGCAGCTTTTCGATGTTCTCTCTCATCGATGTTTCTTTCTCTCTCTCCCTCTCACTTCCTCTCTCTCTAAAATCAATAAAGGGGGAAAAAAATAAAAATGTAGAGACCTGGATTTGTTTATTTCTCTCATAAGCAAATGACATTGCCCTTGCATTTTATCATCTCTTAATACCAAAAGTTAAAGGTTTTTGCTCAGCTTTGTATTCATATTTATTATTTACAGTTTTATATTTTCATTGTAAATATCTGTAGAAAATTCCAAAACAAAATCATCTGAGTAGGAAGGTGGCAGATGTTGTAATTGTTTGACAGTGTTGATAGAAAAATGTTGGGATTGTTTTGCAATATTGATAGAAAAACTCATTTGGTTTTATGTTTTTCTCTTTCTAAATAATGCAGTTCTTTGTTTTTGAGTCTGTTCATTTTAAACAGAATAAGTAAGTTTGATTATAGAAATATTTTTGTTTTATATGTGAAAAGATGCTCAACATCACACTGATCATTCGGGAGATACAAATCAAAATCACAGCTAGGTACCACTTCACACTCATCAGAATCTAGGCTGTTCTCCGAAACACAGAAAATGACAGCTGTTGGCAAAGATGTGGAGAAACGGGAACCCTTGTGTATTGCTGGAGGTAGTGTTCAAAGTGGTGCAGCCACTGCTGAAGACACTGTGGCAGGTCCTCAAAAACTGAAACAGAACTACCATGTGACCCAGCAGTTCTGCTTCTGGATACAGACCCACAAGAATTGAAAACAGGCGCTGGAAAAGATATTTGTGTCCTCATGTTTATAGCAGCACTGTGCACAATATCCAAAATGTAGAAACAACCCAGATTATCCATGGATAGATGAATGAAATAAAAAATGTGGTCTGTACACACTGTGGAATATTATTCAGCGTTCTGACACATGCTAGAACATGGATGAACCTTGAAAACATTATGCGCTGCAGGGTGGCTCTAGGCCCTGCAGAGTTGTGTACAATCCAAGTCTCCCAGAGCCGGGCGGCTGTAGGCGCTGCAGAGTTGTGTACAATCCAAGTCTCCCAGAGCCGGGCGGCTGTAGGCGCTGCAGAGTTGTGTACAATCCAAGTCTCCCAGAGCCGGGCGGCTGTAGGCGCTGCAGAGTTGTGTACAATCCAAGTCTCCCAGAGCCGGGCGGCTCTAGGCCCTGCAGAGTTGTGTACAATCCAAGTCTCCCAGAGCCGGGCGGCTCTAGGCCCTGCAGAGTTGCACACATTCCAAGTCTCCCAGAGCCGGGCAGCTGTAGGCGCTGCAGAGTTGCGTACAATCCAAGTCTCCCAGAGCCGGGCGGCTGTAGGCGCTGCAGAGTTGTGTACAATCCAAGTCTCCCAGAGCCGGGCGGCTCTAGGCCCTGCAGAGTTGTGTACAGTCCAAGTCTCCCAGAGCCGGCGGCTCTAGGCCCTGCAGAGTTGTGTACAGTCCAAGTCTCCCAGAGCCGGCGGCTCTAGGCCCTGCAGAGTTGTGTACAGTCCAAGTCTCCCAGAGCCGGCGGCTCTAGGCCCTGCAGAGTTGCACACATTCCAAGTTGCTACACTGCAGTGAAGCAGCTTCCTTTCCGACAAATGCTCTCAGAGACGCTCGTGTTCACTGTGAATCTTCTCAAGAGAAAGAATAGTAGGTGTAGTGGTAAGAATGAATATAATTGTAGCAACATTAACTCTCTTTTAAAGGGAGCTATTAAGAAGATGACTTTTTCAGTCATTTTTTCTTAGCATTTGTCATTCAGAATTGAAAACTTGAAATAATGACCTTCCCCTAAAGACTGTCTAACAGTTGATTCATTGACAAATGGGAGGAGAATCTAATTTTGAATTTGTTTCATCTTTTTCAGATCTCAGTCACAGTGGATTGGCAGATCATTATGAAAGTTCCCACTGGGGACAGCAGCCCACTTTCAGGAGTGAAGCCAGCTGCAGCTGGGATAAAGTGATAATAGACAGGACTGATAAGGAGGCGTGGCCTGCCATCGCAGGAACCGAGACGGAATCCGCCTCAGAATGCACCACGGACACTGACTCTGCCTCCACCTGTGGCTCAGAGAGCAGTAGCATGGCTACCGGGAGCGCCCAGGGCGGCTTCGCTGCGCACGCCAAGAAGGCCAATGGCAGCGCTGGCACCAGCGGTGCGCTCGTCCAGAGCCCTCCGAATCCCAGTGCCCTCGGAGCTGGGGGCGCCAACGGCAATGGCAACGCATCCAGAGTGTGGGGCGTAGCCACGGGCTCCAGCTCCGGCCTCGCTCACTGCTCTCTCGGTGGTGGGGATGGGAAAATGGACAACATGATTGCAGATGGGAGAAGTCAGAATTGCTGGGGTGCTTCCAACTCCAATGCTGGCATTAATCTTAACCTTAATCCGAATGCCAACCCAGCTGCCTGGCCTGTACTTGGACATGAAGGGACTGTGGCAACAGGCAACCCTTCCAGTATTTGCAGTCCGGTCAGTGCCATAGGTCACAATGTGAGCAACCAGAACGGGAACCCAGCGGGCACTCTAGGTGCTTGGGGAAGCTTGCTGCCGCAGGAGAGCACAGAGCCACAATCGTCCACTTCTCAGAAGGTGTCTTTCAGCGTACAACCTCAGAACCTTAACACTGATGGACCAAATAACACTAACCCTGTGAACTCGTCACCAAACCCTATCAGTGCAATGCAGACCAATGGACTGCCAAACTGGGGCATGGCTGTCGGCATGGGGGCCATCATCCCGCCCCACCTGCAAGGCCTTCCTGGTGCTAATGGATCATCAGTCTCTCAAGTCAGTGGGGGTGGCAGTGAAGGGATCAGCAGTTCTGTGTGGGGACTGTCCCCAGGTAACCCTGCCACGGGCAACAGCAGTTCTGGGTTCAGTCAGGGGAGTGGAGACACTGTGAACTCAGCATTAAGTGCTGAACAGGATGGGTCCAGCAGTGCTGTGCAGAAGGACGGACATGGAGGGACTGCCTGGGGCTCGGGGCCTTCTGCTGGCCCTGGGATCCTCGCTTGGGGGAGGGGCCGCGGCAACAACAGCGTTGGGAATATCCATTCGGGAGCGTGGGGCCACCCCAGCCGAAGCACTACTAACGGTGTGAATGGGGAATGGGGAAAGCCCCCAAACCAGCATTCCAGTGGTGACGTCAATGGGAAAGGATCAACAGGGTGGGACAGTCCCAGTGTTAGCAGCCAGAACCTTGCCCTGCAGCCTGGCAGTGAGCATGTGAGCTCATGGGCCAAGGCCGCGCCCTCGGGAACCACGGCGAGTGAAGGCAGCAGCGAGGGCTCTGGCAGCCACAATGACGGAGGTGCCGGGAGGGAAGGAGCTGAAGGCCGACGGCGAGATAAAGGGATTCTAGACCAAGGGCACATCCAGTTGCCAAGGAACGATCTTGACCCGAGAGTTCTGTCTAATACTGGTTGGGGACAGACTCCAGTAAAGCAAAACACTGCCTGGGAATTTGAAGAGTCCCCAAGGTCTGAGCGAAAAAATGACAATGGGACAGAGGCCTGGGGCTGTGCAGCTCCTCAGCCTTCACACTCAGGGGGGAAGAACGATGGGTCCATCATGAACAGTACAAATACCTCTTCAGTGTCTGGGTGGGCCAGTTCGCCACCTGCTGCTGGGCCAGCAAACACAGGCTGGGGGGACAGCAGCCACAGAGCACCCAATGGCCCTGGGGTTTGGGGTGACTCTATAAGCTCTACTGCTGTTCCTAATGCTGCTGCTGCCAAGAGTGGCCACGCTTGGAGTGGGACCGCGAGTCAGGAGGACAAGTCGCCCACCTGGGGTGAGCCTCAGAAGCCCAAATCTCAGAACTGGGGAGATGGACAAAAATCGAATCCAGCCTGGAGTGCAGGAGGCGGAGACTGGGCCGATTCATCTTCTGTCCTTGGACACTTGGGGGATGGGAAAAAAAATGGCTCTGGATGGGATGCTGACAGTAATCGATCAGGGTCTGGCTGGAATGATGCTACAAGGTCTGGGACTAGTGGCTGGGGCAATGGCACAAACGCAAAGGTGAATCCAGGGACAAGCTGGGGAGAGTCTTTGAAACCTGGCCCCCAACAGAATTGGGTGAGCAAACCCCAAGACCACAATGTGAGTAACTGGGGCGGAGCCTCTTCCGTCAAACAGACAGGAGCAGGGTGGGTCGGGGGTCCAGTCCCTGCCAGACAGAAGGACAATAGTGAGGCCACGGGCTGGGAGGAGCCTTCTCCGCCATCCATTCGACGCAAAATGGAAATTGATGATGGTACCTCAGCTTGGGGTGACCCAAGCAACTACAACAACAAAGCTGTAAACATGTGGGATAGAAACAACCCAGGCCTCCAGAGCAGCACCACGGCGGCCAGCACCACCCCCACCACCACGAGCAACAGCGCCAGCGTGGTCGACCCACCGCCGCCGCACCCTGCCAGTGCCCCGCTGACCCGGTCGCCGCTGCTCGGTCCAGGTACGGAAGGGAGTGTGTTCTTTAAGAGTAAAAAAGCATTTATTCTCCCTAGATGTGCATGCATCCTCTGACTAGTGTTTTTATAGCAAATGACATTGAGCGCCCTTCACCTTACAGCATTGCATTTAAATAGAACCTGAAGACAACAAATAAAGCAGGATTCTCTGATCTTTTTTTATCCAAGAGAAAAGTATCCTCAGCACTAGACTACAGCTTATGTTCTGAGTTCCTACTTTGTGTAAGGCACTCTGCTCGATACTGTGAGGAGAAGATAAGATGTCAGACCAGACCCTGCCCACAGGGAGCGTGAGTTGTGACAGAAACAAACATGCAGCAGGGGCTGTGAGGGTACAGGTAAAATTCAGCAGGGCTTTGTAACTGCAGAACTCACAGTAGCCCCACACTCCCGACTAGAATGTGGTCTCCAGACATGGGCTCACCAAATCACAGAGCTCCCAGGTGTGGAAGGACCAGAAAGAGAATGCAGCCCAGCTCGGGGCATGATACTCGGGGCCTCCCTGTCCTACGGAGACCCACATGCAGAGCCAGGAGGCTCGCACCTCCCACCCCAAGCACCCCTGGCCCGCCACACTGCCTGCCATGTTCCTAGACTGAGCCTCAGTCAGCCTCCATTCCAGTTCTAGAACTGCTTGTAGAGATTTGGGACAGTGCAAAGCAAGGCTTAATTTCTGTTCCCAGACTGCAGAATTCCACAGATCTGCATACAGTGTTCACGTCCCATTCACTGTCCTGCAGGAACTATGCCTGGCTCCCACTGCTGCCCCTCGTGGGCATGGCTTTCTGTCCTTTTTGTTGTCATCTGGGAAAAGTACAGCTTGTGAGGGTCCTGAGCCCTAAAGCGACATCATTACTGTAAGTACGGTTCAACTGGTGCAAAAGTAGTCGGACCCCTCACTCCTAAGTCATGGTCCTGGTAACACACTGAGTTTCTCTTTGCCTTTTCGAGATGGGTCACACTATTCTTAAATTGAGCTGATACTTCAAAGCCTTTCTTTTCATTAAGGCCGCTGTAAAGCCCTCCCTCACTCGGTACTCTTCTTAGGCACTTGGCTCTTTGGTCCGAGTGTAGAATTTTGTTTCCGCTAAAGTTTCAGATTTCAGTCCCCCAGCCTGTTGAGGTCCTTCTGAACCCTGGTTCTGTATTGGCATGTTAGTTATTTCTGCCAATTTAATGCCCTCCCTAAATTTTATAAACATGCCAAGACATGTTTATAAACAAACAAGACAAGACAAAGGACAGAGCCCTTTCTCCAGGGTCATCCATTCAGTCGTCTTACATATGGATCCGAGAATCCAGCCTACAGGGGAGTGTGGAAAATGCAGTTCTTTGAACTTAGGGCCTCTGTGAACAGGCAGGCTCACAGTAGTGGGTGGGTGCTGAGTGTCTGTTGACGGTCATCTGAAGAGATTGAGTTAAAAGGTTCCAACCATCAAAGCACATTGGTGCAGATATGAGCAGAGAGCCTGTGGAGTACCCCAGCGCCCCATGAAAGCTCCACCGGAAAGCCAGTTGCGGCTGATACCTTCCATTCCTTTGCTTTGATCTGGCTCCCATCTCCAGGCCTCGTCAGCCTCGTTCATGGTTGCCCAGGAAACCCCCATAGCCTGGGAGGTTCTCACGGTCTCGCCCACAGCAGTGCTGGAACCAGCACTGTCACCCTTCTGTTGCGTATGCTCGCTTAGAATGCACTCTTGAACACGTGCGTGCTGGCAAGCACACTGACACTCAGGGCATCAGTGTAGGAGACTGGAGGTCTGCCCCTTTGACCCTCCACCTCGACAGAAAGACAGGAGCCCAGACCTTAAAGTGGGAGCAGGAAGCAGGGTTGGGGCAAGCAGACATCGGGTGAGAGTGCAGCGAGGGTCAGAGAGCGGGCTCGTGGCTGAGGCCTGAAGGCGGAAGAAAAGGCATGTTTGAGAACAGACGCTCAGAGGGGTTAGCGCTTGGAGAAAGTGGGGAGGGTGACGGGAACGCCTTGCTTAAAGAAGGCTGGAGAGGGCCAGGCAAGGTCGGGCAAGGTCTTTGAGGCCATATGAAGGAGCTGGGTGCATCCAGAGGTCTGCAAAGCCAGCGAGAAGTCACAAGCAGAGACAGTGGTGAGACTTACTTGTAGTCAGTCCAGCTCTGAAATGAAGGGCGGGTCCATGGGGAGCCACGCTGCAGATCAGAGCCTGCAAACATCTTGGTGGTCGTGGTGGTGGCCTGGATTGGAATAGCAGCAAGGGGCTGGAGACAGAGACCACAGCAAGACGTGGCGCAAAGAAGAAAGATGCAGACAGGGCTTGGGCAGGTGGGCAGACCCCTGTGACATTGGAGCACAGCAGGAGGCCTCTGTCTAGAAAGATGACGACAGGTGGGGCCAAAGGTCCAACTACGGGAGAGTGGCAATGAGCAGAGGGCAAGGTCAAGAGTAGAGATTTTGTTTAAGGTGGTGAAGTTCTGGGCACATTTCAGAGCTGATAAAGGAGGAAGCAGAGAGAGAGAAGGGGTGCAAAGGGAGGAGGTACCTGCATCTAGGTGGGGGCACCGCACCCATCTGTAGGAGGCAGGGCATCTGCGGCCTGTGGAAGAGGGCATGTTCTGCCGTTCTTTCTCTGGGTATGGGCGACACCAGCCTCGATGAGAGAGGGAGGGTAGAGCAGAGGTGTGAGCTGAGGCAAAGCTTGCATCAGACCCTATCGACAATGGAACAGAGCTGCCCAGGGCCTGAGAAGAGTTGCCGGGCAGTGTTCGGGACCCAGAGGTTCTAGTTCCACAGCAGGTGCACGTTTGTTTATTTTGCATCTGTTCATGGGGACCCACTGTGTGCCAGGCAGCACTCTGGTTTGGGGGATCCAGCAGGGAACAAAACAGACAGGATCCCTGCCCCAGTGGGGCGTGCATTCCAGCAAGGGAGACAAAGGCCACGTGAGTCAGCAGGTATGTATGTCAGGCAAGGAGGATGCTGTGGAGAAGGAGCCAGGAAGAGGAGTCAGAAGTACTGATGTCATTCCAAGGGACTGACAAGCAGGTCCTAAAGTCCTGAGCAGCTCAGTGCACTTAGAAATAAATATTCTGGACACTTGAAATCAATTTGCAGACACAGGAGAGCACTGGATATCAATTAAGAACACTTTTGGTGAATGACAGATTCTTACAGTAGACTCTCAGTCTACCATTGAGATTGAGGAGAATCTCCAGAAATGGATTCTTTCATCCCTGAACTCTCAGGTTCCACCAAAACATTTAGATAATTTGAAAGGGATTGGGGGTTGGAGTAGAATCACATATGAAGGCCATTATGGACTTGACCAGAGCTACCCCAGCGACACAGTGGAGTGGGGTCGTGAACTCACCCCAGGTCACCTCTTCCAGCAGTGCATGGGAGTGAAATATCAAGGCCATGTGCCAAGCAAGAGAAGCGAAAGTACTGCCAATGTCGATCTTACGCTAGAATTTTTTTAACCATTTCACTACCTGTTCTCAGCTCCTCAGGAAGGTCACGTTAGCCATCGCTGGGCATTTCATTCTGTGCCTGTGACAATCGCTGGCGTTGTTTCAGGCTCTAGCCAGAGCAAAAAGTTCCTTTGCGTTGGAGTACTTACTTAACCTAGTGATAATCTATTTCTTTATCACTTTTTTTGGCACAAATATTATAACCAAAAGCAGAGATTGTTTGATTTAATCAAGGAAGAAACAGGTCAGTCATATCCTAAACCAAAACTAGGAAGAAACTGGGTTTAGGAATTCTGTACCCAGGTCGATAAAATATGGATGTTGTGTCCCTGAGTCTCAAGAGCAGAAGCCGGGGAACGTCGTCCTTCCTGCAAGACTCCGGCTTGGACACTTGCCTCTCCTTTGCACCGCTTGGTGTACGGATGAGACGAAAATCAGTCCCCTGCCAATGGAGTGAATCAGCAGGATGCTATTGGAGCTCAGCTGTGTTCACACCACACTTCAGGAATAGACCCCACAACCTTGCCACCAGAATGATGCTATTTTATGTTGTGTGCGGTAGCTACTAAAAGAGGAATGATCTCAGCGATCTGTGTTTTTTGTGGATAATGGGGTTTTCTTGGGTTTGGTTTAGTTAGCGTGTTTTGACTTTTCTGTGTTGGGAGGGTGTTTAGTAGATGGGGCCAGAGCAGGGACTAGGAGGTCCCATTAAAGAAGGAGGAGGAGCCCGGCCCATGTGGCTCATTGGATTGAGCATCCTCCCATGGACTGAGAGGTCCCCGTTCGATTCCCTGTCAGGACACATGCCCAGGTTGCAGGCTTGATCACCACTAAGGGGCGTGCAGGAGGCAGCCAATCAATGTTTCTCACTCACATCGATCTTTATCTCTTTCTAAAAAAATCAATTAAACATATTTAAGAAATAATAATAATAAAGAAGAAGTTTCCCCTCCATGCAAGTCCTGGATGCACACTTGGTTCAAAATGATGAACGAATAAGACAGTTAATACAGCTTGGCCCTGGCCGGTTTGGCTCAGCGGTTAGAGCGTCGGCCTGTGGTCCAGAGAGACCCGGGTTCGGTTCCCGCTAAGGGCACGTGCCTCGGTTGCAATTTGTCCCTGGCCCTGGTTGGGTTGTACAGGTGGCAACCACTCGATGTGTCCCTTTCATGTCGATGTTTCTCTTTCTCTCTTCCTCTCTTTCCCTCTCACTCTATCTGAACAAAAATAGAAAAAATGTCCTTGGGTGAGGATTTAAAAAAAAATAAATAAATACAGCTTTGCCCCTCATGTATCAATAAGGCAGACTGAGCACATTCAAAATCTGTATTAATGCACTAAAACAAAAATGAAATAAAATATTCTTTTTCTCTCTTTCTAATACCCACTCTCTGTGATGACAGTAAGGCGGGCAAAAGAAGCTTTTGTAAGAGTCGTGTAAGAGCTCATGGCCACGTGGCCAGCTTTTGAGAAAGACCTTTATCTGCCCTTCAGCTAGAGCCTCCTGAATGGGACAGGAATGTTGAATGCGCGGCATGAGACAAGGCATTCTGGAAACTGCACTTTGCCCCCTGACTGAGCAGACTGCTCCGCATGGAGCTTCATGTTCTACCCACCTTGATTTCCAGTATGCAGCTTAGTTGTGCCGCACCTACCGGTCCTGCTGTGTCCCATGGGCCAGTAGCCAACCAAGCACTGTAATCCATTCACACTACACTTAGGGGCCCTCGGGGTGAGCAGAGCCCCACCCTGCTCATGTTTGAGTCCATCCCTGCAATGCCGCATACATAGCAGACTCTCAGATGTTTCAGCAATTGAATTTTTAGTCTTTTTTCATCTTTCCTTCCCTTACCTGTAATTGGCCACTTTTTAAACTGAAGCTTTCTTCCCCAAAACGACTGCCTGCCACATTTATAAAACTATATAAACAGCATCTGCGGGACAAGCTAGACTTGATTTCTTACTTCACAGAAGAAAGAAGGCCATCTACTGACTTAGCTGTAGTGCCTAAGATGAGAACCCTGAAGTAAAGACTGTCCATGGGTTCTGTCTCCTGGCCCCCAGGCTGCTTTGTGTGCTTTTTTTTTTTTTCTTCAGTTTGCTGGGTGCACACCACTTAGGCATTTGGTTTTCTCTGTTCTCAAGGAAAGATGAAAAATGTATATTTAAAATAGAAAATGACATACTCTGGTAGCAAGTCATTATTATTGTTATTTTATTCCCAACACTATTTATCCAGTTGGAGAGGGGAGATAATGATTCCTGAACCCCACAGTGGAGAAATAGTTTGCCGAGACGGTAGTACAGGGTGGGGCAAAAGCAAGTTTACAGTTCTTATGCGCATAATACAATAATTAATATATAATACAAATAGAAAGGGTTTCGCATACTCACAACTGTAAACCTACTTTTGCCCCACCCTGTATTTGAAGGACTATTTAAAATTTTTTAATATCAGTGTTTTAAATGTAAGGTAGAAATTTGTTCTGCCTCAGTAAGCTCAACTTTAAAAGAACCTCTATAAAATTATTAACAAAAGGATACCAAAGTCACCTTACCAGTAAACACTGAACAACAGAGATAATATTTATTTTAGTAGTATGTATTTAAGATTATTTTCTACCTACTGAGAATATTTGCTTTGCATCAAAATTATCCGGTCTGCCTGCTTTTAGCATTTCTAGAGCAGCTGTTCTCAAGCTGTGGGTCACGACCCCTTTGGGGGTTGAATGACCCTTTCACAGGGGTCACCTAAGACATAACAGTAGCACAATCACAGTTATGAAGTAGCAATGAAAATAAGTTTATGGTTGGGGGTCACCACACATGAGGATCTGTAGCAGGTTGAGAACCGCTATTAGAGCGTTCGGGCATGCAGTGGTGCGCACGTGCTGACGCGTGTTAGTTCAGCATTGCAGGTAAATTACATTCTCGCCAGACACCAACTTAAAATGGAAATACTGGGATTTTTCTACTTTGAGTAGGCAATTATTCTTCCATATATTTTTTTAAGATTTTGAGACATGCTGCTTGCAAATCATTTGCCTTCTACATAAAAATAATCTGTAGGAGTTGCTGCTGCTTTAATAGGAATTCAAAACTCTATAAAAATCATTTAACTGCCTGGCTGGTGTGGCTCAGTGGTTGAACATCGACCCTGCACCAAGAGGTCACCGGTTCCATTCCAGGTCAGGGCACATGCCCAGGGTGTAGGCCCGATCCCTGGGGGGGGCATGCAGGAGGCAGCCAATCGATGTTCTCTCTCATCGATGTTTCTTTCTCTCTCTCCCTCTCTCTTCCTTTCTCTCTAACATCAATAAAGAAAAAATAAATGTTTTTAATCATTTAACTATAATTACTGTAGTCTTAAATATTTACTCCTAGTTTGAATTTAAATAACTTGTAGTATCGCCTTTCAAACAGATGCAAGTATAAGAGTGACAAGTTCTAGGCGAATCTTTTATTTAATTACCTACAATAAATCAGTATTTTTACAACTGATTGGCCTTTAGCAGCCCCTAAATTATTTTAATTTTCCAAAACACCCATAATTTTTATCAGCTGTGTTAATTTTTCTGATTTAATTTTGTCTCTTCAATTTGTAAAACTACTTCCCTCAATATACACTGTTGTTTTCTGTGGAATTACAGGTAATATTCCAATTGGCAATTGCTGACAATGACTGATTAGGGCTGACTTTCCTGTTATTGGTAATAATTCTACTTAATAGGTTGCTCAGCATAGAGCTTGTAATTTAAAATGACTCATATGTTGCATGGCTAATAAAATACAATAATATTTGACTATTTTTAGTCAGAGAATTAATGTTTTCTCATTGAGATGGTTAATATCCATGTTGCAACCAAATAATTTAAAAGCTGTGGTTAACTATTTGCATTTTATGCCTTCTGTTCTATTCAGTTAATATTTAAAACATTCACATTTTGCCCTGGCCAGTTTTGCTCAGTGGTTAGAGCGTCAGCCTGCGGACCAGAGAGGGCCGGGTTCGGTTCCCGCTAAGGGCACGTGCCTCGGTTGCCGTTTGTCACCAGCCCTGGTTGGGATCGTGTGGGTGGCAACCAGTCCATGTGTGTCTCTCTCTGTTTCTTTCTCTCTTTCCCCCTCTCTCCCTCCATCCCGCTCTATCTGAAAATCAATGGGAAAATATCCTTGGGTGAGGATTAAAAAAAATTTTTTTTCTTTTAAAGACAAGTGCCTGGGCTCTAACTCAGCCCCCAGGCAGTGCATGAGAACTGTCTGTGTATCAGTTACTACTCACTGGCACCTTTAATCTGCCATCTTTCCATTGCTCTGCCTGGATCTGTCTTTGATGGTTGGTCAAAAAATAGGCAAGAATAATTTTTCAATATATACTGGCAACTTGTAAATTTTTCTTGTAAGAAACTAATGTAAAAAACTTTTTTTAGGTGGTTATATAGAATACCAGAAGTAAAAAAGCTACTTCTTAACCGTTAGTTTTAAACTGGTCTTTTAAATCCTATTATGTTACAAATACTGTGAATGTATTGGTCTTTAATGTTTAACAAACTTGCCTTTTTTTTTTTTATTCTCACCTGAGGACATTTTTTTATATTTTGTTCAGATAGAGTGGGAGGGAGAGAGAGAGAGAGAGAAACATTGATGTGAAAGGGACACATCGAGTGGTTGCCACCCACACGACCCAACCAGGGCCGGGGACAAACTGCAACCGAGGTACGTGCCCTTAGCGGGACCAAACCCCGGTCTCTCTGGACCACAGGCTGATGCTCTAATCGCTGAGCCAAACCGGCCAGGGCAATAAACTTGCCATTTTAAATAGATGAGGGTCAGCCCGGCCAGTGTAGCTCAATGGATTGAGCATCGTCCCATGAACTGAGAGGTCCTGGTTTGATTCCTAGTCAGAGCACATGCTCAGGTTGCAGGCTGAATCCCCAGTAGGGGGCGTGCAGGAGGTAGCTGATCGATGTTTCTCTCTCACATCCATGTTTCTATCTCTCTCCCCCTTCCTCTCTCTCTAAAAAAAAAACAAAACAAAACACATTTTAAATAAGTAAATAAATAAATAAGTGGATTGGGGTCAGAAGTGAGAAAATTGCAACTTTAAGAAGCTAAACAGCCCTGGACAGTTTGGCTTAGCAGTTAGAGCATTGGCCTGGAGACCAAAGGTTCAATTCCCTGTCAGTGGCACATACCTGGGTTGCAGGTTTGATCCCTGACCCCGGTTGGGGTCTTTTAGGAGACAACCAATTGATGTGTCTCCCACATTGATGTTTCTCTCCCTCCCTCCCTCCCTTCCATTCTATCTTAAAAAAAAAAAAAAAATCAGTGGAAAAATATCCTCAGGTGAGGGTTAACAAAAAAAAGAAAAGTTAAACAAATCTAATTAGATGTCTTCTTTTCACTCTCTACTAAAAGCCCCCCTACAGATAGAGTATCTTAAAATTGTTTTGTATTTTAAATTACTGTTTTTTTCTTTCTCTTTTATTATTATTCACTTGTATTACTTTTCTCTCCCCCGTGGTGTCCTTTCAGTTTCATCAGGCTGGGGAGAAATGCCTAACATTCACTCAAAGGCTGAAAACTCTTGGGGAGAACCATCCTCTCCTTCTACCCTGGTAGATAACGGCACAGCAGCGTGGGGCAAGCCACCCAGCAGCGGCAGCGGATGGGGAGACCAGCCAGCAGAGCCCGCCGTGACGTTCGGGAGAGCCGGCGTGCCTGCCCCCACCCCAGCCCTGTGCAAGCCAGGTACACCAGGCATCCCTCTGCCTGCCCTGACCTAGCTGCTAGAAGTGGGTCAGAGGGTTTTATGTAGAAGTGTGCTTTCCATTGGATTTTAAGAATTTTTAGGACACGTTCCTCATTTGATTTATGCTCCGATGTTTACGGCTGTAAAGAAGTATTTGCCATGTCTGCTCCATGAGCACCGAGGAGCTTAACAGAAGCCCAGCTTCCCTTTCACACAGAAACAAGTGAGAGAAGCAGAGAAGCAGAGCACCTGCGCCGGGCAGGCGGTTGGTGGCAGCCGCACTGCCCCCGCCAGGCCTGGCTGCTGCTGTTCCGAGCCCGGGAGGCAGGCCGCCGGCGTTCCCTTCGAGGCTCGGCTCTGAAGCACATGCCGCTGCTCAGCAGGCTGCCTGCCTGCCTGCCTTGGAGACACACTTCTGCTCTCAGTGCTCCTGCTTCCTGCTTTTTCTCTTTTCTTTTGGGGGGTGGGGGTGTGTGTGTGTTGTTAGTGGGGGGGGGTGTTTTGTTTTGTCTTTTAAAGGGAAGAAAAAAAATGTGCTGCGTTTTCCTCCCGTTGTCTGAAAGCGTAAGAAGTGCACATAGAGCATGTACAGTGTTGCAGATGTTCAGAGCCATTGCCAGGGCGGTCCCCCAAGCTGTGGTGTTTGGCAGTGTGATGCTTTTGACATCATCGTAGATCACTGTTCAGTCTGGTGTTGACCTCAGTGGCTCACAAGGCTGCAGGAGCTGCACGTTCCCTTTGGACATCGTTACGTGTTTTAGCTCTTAAAATGGCTTTGAGTTTGTTCCTTTGCTAATACTGGGTGTGTGCTCCGTGCCCACCACCCTGCTGGGCTCTTTACTCCGTTCATGTTCCTTCTTGTTACATACCTGAAGGAGCAGGCAGCTTCCGGTGTTCAGATTCACAGGCCGTTTGGAGGCAGCATGTTTGTGTGTATGATTTGTCCTTGGAGAGGCCCAGTTATACGCCTATCTACCCAGTAAGTATCATGTCTCCATGGCCTGACAGTCTCTAGCTGACTGCTTTCACCTCATCTTTGGTCTTCCTTGAGGTCTCCCAGGAAGTGAGAATTTTACATAAATGTTACACCAAAAATCATTTTATATTTTAAGGAAGGAGAAAGCAAAGCACCCTGAAATGGAAACTTGGTGCTCGGCCTGTAGCTCCATCTGGCCGAGGCCTCAGCTGTCTCCTTCCAGTTATGCAGGAAGCTTGTCGGAAGCAGACTGCTGGGTCTCCGCAGACCTGCCGCAGCCCTCGTGATCCCCGGTGACTCGGGCGTGCTGGGCCACACGGCGGACTGCTACAGGCTCGGCTTGGAGGGGGATGGAAACCACTAGAGGACAGGGACGCTTCCAGGACTGCTGTCACTGGCCATTTCATGCCATGTAGAGATTGCCACCTTCTATGGCCCCAGGTTTCGTATTAGAACGTTCGTGCTTCAGAATGATCTGTAGTCAGTTAGGGGGGTTTGGAAAGCACAGACTGCAGAGCGCTGGCGTCTGAAGAACGAAACATGTACATGTATGTTGTGCAGCTAGTAGGGGAGCCCCAGTTCTTAGGCCTGGGGGAGAGGTAGATGATGTTATGCCTCCCCCTAAAGGGCGTCGCAAGCATTGTCTGCTTCAGGAACGGTGAATTTGACAAGTTCATGTTCGCTCTCTTTCTAGCTTCAAAATCTATGCAAGAAAGCTGGGGCAGTGGTGGGGACGACATGAACCTCGGTCCCAGTCAGTGGGAAGATGAAGAAGGGGGCATGTGGAACAACGCAGCTTCCCAGGAAAGCACCTCCTCCTGCAGCTCCTGGGGGAACGCCCCCAAAAAAGGACTCCAAAAGGTGTGCACTCTGATGGCAGGCTGACCATCGCCTAAAACCTGTTCATTCTGCAGCGTAGCTCCAGTGAATGGTGGGAGGTAGACCTGAGTTCCTTGGAGTCCCTAAGACCCTTCCAGGGGTCTCTCCTGAGCATAGGGGAGTTTTCTAGAGGTCCCAAGGGTTGCTGGCACAGCAGAGCAGGACAGAGGCAGGTGCACGGCACGGACGCGCTGCTTCCCGCTGTCTCTCTGAGAAGTTTGTTTTAGAGAATACAATTATTTTCCACTTACAAATGTTATTTCTGTTAACACGATGGGTTTGTTACTGTTATTTTTTAAAACAGTAAGTAGTTTCTAAATTTCTCAGTTTTAATTTCGAATGTAGTCAAAACCAATAGTATAAGCCATGCAAACCTAGAACCTGCGGCTCCTTCATCCTGAAGACATGGCCCTGAGAGCCGAGCGTCCCGTGCCCAGAGGCAGACCTTGAGTCTCGCTGCGCAAGCGCAGCCTTCTGGGAAACTGAAGGGACATGTGCACCCCAAGACTTCCGAGTAGATCACAGATTTAAATATGGAAAAGAAAAATATAAAACTGTGAAAGAATTTTTTTTTTAAATTAACCGGGACCTGTCAGTCCATGGGATGACACTCAGTCCACTGAGCCACACTGGCCACGCCTGTGAAAGAATTTTTAAAATAGTCTTGGAGTGGGAGAGGCTTTACTAACTAGGCTGAAAACCTCAAAGCTACAAATGAAAGATTTATGACTATAGTAGATAAAGGTAAAGACTGTGCATGGCATAAAATACCATATGCAAAGTCAGACACCAGCTGGATAAAGTATTTGTAACTCATGTCATGGAGAGGACTGATCTCCCTGGTACATAGAAAAGGCCCAGTAACCCAATAGAAAACGAGCGAAGAATGTGAATAGATGACTTATGGAAAAGGAATACAAATAGCCCTTAAACATGGAAGGATATCAACTCACTTGTCGAGGGTTCAATTTAAAACAACCATGAGAGGTGCCATTTTTAATCTCAGACCAGCAGAAATGCAGAAGTTTCATTAAGTACTGTGCTGGCCCAGCCAGGAGAAAGCCCGGCTCTTCGCACTGCTGGTGGGGTTGTAAATCAGCCCCACCAGCAGAGGGCAATGCGACATTGCCTGTCAAAACAACCAGCCTGGGCACATCATCACTTCGCTGGTCATAGGGCTAGCAAATGGCATTTGTACACAGTTTTCTATTGTAGCATCTGTGTAGAAAAACGAACTTAAATGCACATTGATGGAGTAACTAGTTAAATTGTGCCACAACTATATTATAGAAAGTTAAAAATTTTAAGAGATTAGATAGATAGATAGATAGATAGATAGATAGATAGGAAAAATTCACCAAAATATATAGTTAAATGAAAAAGGTGTAAGGTACAGAAAAAGTGAGTAATATACACTTGTGTGTGGTATTATAACATCATATTACTTTGTGGTGGGGGAGAGAAAAGTGTGTGTGTGAGTGTGTGAGTGCACCCACACTCGTGGCTTCTATAGAATTAAAACTTCTCCACAGGGGAAGTAAGAAACTGCTCAGAGTGGTTTTTCCTTGGAGAGAACAAGGTCTGGGCAGATGGGGTGGGAATAAGGTGCTTTTGTGTGTGCCTTCTACTTTCGAATCATATGAATGTAGTAACTGCTCAAAAAATGTTTAATTTACCTTTGGGTGCTTTGGCTCAGTGCTTAGAGTGTTGGTCCGTGGACTGAAGGGTTGCAGGTTGATTCCCTGTCAAGGGCACATACCTGGGTTGCAGGTTTGATGCCTGGCCCCAGTCAGGGTCATGCAGGAGGTAACCAGTTGATGTGTTTTTCTCACGTCCATATCCCCCCCACCCCTTCTACTCTCTAAAAATTAATGGAAAGCCCAGCTGGTGTGGCTCAGTGGTTGAACATCGACCCATGCACCAAGAGATCTCTGGTTTGATTCCAAGTCAGGGCACAAGCCCAGGTTGTGGACCAAATCCCCAGTGGGAGGCATGCAGGAGGCGGCCAATCGATGTTCTCTCTCATTGATGTTTCTCTCTCTCTCCCTCTCCTTCCTCTCTCTCTCAAACCAATAAAGAAAACAAAAAAATTTTTTAATAAAAATTAATGGGAAAATATCCTCAAGGATTAACAAAAAAAAGAGAGAGATTCTTAAAATATTTTTTTAATTTAAAAGATCCCCGGCCCCAGTCATGGTACATGCGGGACACAACTAATTGCGGTTTGTTCCACTGATGGCTCTCTCGCTCTTCCTCCCTCCCTTCCACTCTCTCTGAAGTCAATGGAAAAAAATACCCTCCGGTGGGGACAACAAAAAATAAAAGAGCATTCAATTATCAGTAAGCAGAATCCAGAAACTAAAACCAGAGCTGTTCACAAGGAGCAGATGTTACAGAGAGAAGTCTTTTTCCAAGCAGGCTGGACATCCTTGGTGAAGGGACCAGAAATGCCAACCGGGAAATGAAGCGCTGGCATCCTGGCGAACCTGCCAGCCTGCAGACAGTCTGCTCCCTTGAGGAGAGACCCATTAGTTTGCTGCCTCCGTGTGGAGAGTCCTGTGGAGATTATTTTTAGAGGAGGGCTTGTTTGTTGTGTTAGGCGTCATTAGAGTCTTTGTAATCTTAGCAGGAGGGAAATTATTGAGGAAAGGGCTCGCGTCATCCCTTTGGGGAGCCTCTGCTCCTTCCTCTGTTCCGCACTCTGAGTAGCTGACCTTTCTCTTCATCTTCTCCCTCCCTCACATTTTCCCATTCACTTTGTTCTCTACCCTCAGGGTTGTAAGCCATGAATAATAAAATTAACAACATTTCGTTCCTTCCTTGTTACCTTTTTATTCTGTTGGAAGGAACCCCCTGCATTCTATTCTCTTAGAGTAAAACTTATAAAAGGGAAAAATCATGTAGTTGTTAGTAAACTTCACACGGTGTTAGCAGAAGGCCGAGTTCAGGGGGGCACTGACTGCAGTTATGTGATGATGGACATGACTTGTACTTGTGATGAACTGATTTCACTCTCCGGGGAAGAGGGTTATCATGCTGTTTTAAGTCCATGAACTACACCCATGCCTGCAAGTGTGCCCCGAAACACCCCCATACCAGCCACAGAATACTCAGGGCCTTCTGGACACCATGCTATTCGACGTTAATGCAAAAAGGTCTTGTGACTTTACAGTCCCACAGATGTAGGCTCTCCCCTGTCCAGAGTAAAGGCATGGATGTGACTCATGGGCTTCCCCTCGCCCACACTTCATTCCAGGGCATGAAGACATCTGGCAAGCAGGACGAGGCCTGGGTCATGAACCGGCTCATCAAACAGCTCACGGACATGGGCTTCCCGGTGACTGGCATCTTGTTCTATTGCCCCCCCCACCCCCCGCACCCCCGTGTGTGCTCCCTGCATGGCCTGTTGTGTCCAGTCCACACTTGTCATGTGGAACAAGGGCGGGATGAGACTGTTGTCGTAACCTGACTCGTAAGTTCCCTTTCACTGGGCACTCGGGTGCTTTGAATGTCAGCAGAGGGCCACGTCCTTTCTATCAGGAAGGCGTGAGAGCCTTTCCCTAGAATTAAAAATGTGATTTTTAATCTTCGTTGGTTTTATATGATTTTATATTTTCAGTTGTAATTAAAAGTGAGTTTTTAGTTTACACAATAGATTGACAAAGATCAGAAGAGAAGACTCGGTATAAAGGAACAGCATTGTGTGCAGAAAAAGGATCCTAACCAAACCTGTTTAGTCCCTGAGTTTCAAGTGATGTGTGGGGGCAGTTCAAGGTCACAGGATATTCCTCTGACAATGTGTCACAGTCTGTTCAGTGCCTAAGATCCAATGGCAAGAATTTGACTAGTGAGGACAATCACCTATATCAAATGTCTTCTTTCCACACCTTTACTCAAACGGGTGTTTATCTTGTGATTATCGTGGATGCTCCTAAAGAGCGGGTCTAGAGTGGCCCCAGTCTAGAGGAGGGAGCCACCCTACTTCACATCGGGCACAGGCCCTCCGACCCTGGGCAAGGGCGCAAGGCCCGGGTGGCCGACCCTCCATGTGTGGAAGGATGGGAGTAGTGATGAAGGCCTGTCCGGAGTCCAGGGGTTAGTCTGTTACAGTTACGGGGACAATTACCAAGATGAATCTACAGGTTTTGTTTTTACATTTCTTGGTGAAAAGTAATTAACAGCAGAGGCTCTCCCAGAATCATACAGTGGAGGCTGAACCCCTGTGCTCTGACTCGGTGACTCCCACCGCTGCTGGGCTGTCCTGCCGAGGTCCGTCCTCTCTGAGCCTTGCTGTTCAGGCTGCTCAGGAGCAACAGCAGGCCCGCAGCGCGGAGCCCCTGCTGTTGAAGTGTTACTGCACATTCTTGTCCCAGAATGCACTTAGTTCATTTCCTCAGTTCAGCTCGTTCTTATTTGCAGGACATTTAACTCCAACCACAACCATGAAGGAAAGTATTTTCAGTTTCAAACCCTAATAACATTAGGTTAATAAAGGTCACTTCCCTAAGCTGATAGTGATAAAACTCTAAGTTTTTCCTTTCGCTACCACGCGATTCTAATGAAGACGGTCTTCCTCCACAGAGAGAGCCAGCTGAAGAGGCCTTGAAGAGTAATAACATGAATCTCGACCAGGCCATGAGTAAGTAACAGCTCTTAAAGTGCACTCTGTGAAGGTGCCAGTTGGGCAGTTTTGATTTCCAGGCGTTTCACTGTGGTCCTGGGGGAATGGCTGGAATGTGCTGGGTGGATGGGGCTGGGCCCCAGCATGGGAGGAGAACTGTGTGATGGGCCCTAACCATAACCACTCAGAGTTCTTGGGACCGTGGGCTCTGGGGACAAATGGCCAGATACCACATTGAAGCATGTTTGCTTTCTTCACTTCTTTCCAGAGCTTCAGCAAGTAGATGCGTTTTTCTATGTGTTTGGAGGGAGGTAGTAGTGACACTCGTGGGGAAAGGCATTAGCCCACATGCCAGCTTCAGGCCACTGACAGCAGAGGGCTGCGCCTGCCCTGGCCGGGCTCGCTCAGGGCCCCGGCATCGCCGCGCTGGGCTGACACAGCCCTTGCTCTTGTTGAGACTCAAGGAACAAGCGACCCTAGTCCTGGAGCTGCCTTACGATCATATTACGTTTACCATGTAAAGTAAAATGCAAACACTGAGCGGCCAGCGGCCCGTCACTGTGGAGCCTCGTCGACGTGTGTTCTGTGTGAAGACCTTATTTAGTCTGCATTTCTCACCCATGACCATATGCCACGTGTCTTTATGATGAAACATTAGCTCAGAAGGGTTTACGTTTTCCTGACCCTGGGCAATGTGACCACACATTTCTCTGGCTTGTAGACTCGGTACTGCTGACTGTGCTCTGTTTGACCAGTCGTTGCGTGACTCCGCATTCCGCCCCGCCCCGCCTTCCCCGTAGCTTCACGCTGTGGTGGTCCTTCAGCACTCTCCTGGAGGCCTTGCATTCGGGGGGCACCATACTGGGTGCCGACAGCACCGGCATTCGGCCTGAACAGGGCTCATCTAACCCATGTGTTTCCTCCGTGGGCACATCACAGCCCATGCTCAGGGGCACCAGACAGCACCCCAGCACTGCACTCGGGACCCTATTAAACACTGGAATCACCTACAAAAAGCACAAAGATATGCACAGGTGGCACTGAGTAGACCAGGGAGGGCAGTGTCTGCTCGGAGCTGGGACGGGGAGCAGGGCGGCGGCGGCGACCTGAGCTGGGAATGTATGCCAGACGCCGAGAGGCTCCACCGCCCTGCACGCAGCCACAGGTGACCCCAGAAGTGCCGCAGCTTCGATTCGGGGCCACGAGAAAATTGTAGCTAGTCGGTGAATTCACAAGGACAGAATCTGCCAGCGAGGACCCACTTTACAGTTGAGTGCTGTGCCAAGTGCAGCGCAGAAGCTGCCAGGGCCGAAGAGGCAGGGTGAGCTGGAGAGGTTCACGCTGACACCTCAGCTGTGAGCACAGAGGGAACACGCACCAAACAGCTGCACTCGCCAGGCGGAAAGCCATGAGGACACAGTTGGCTCTGCACTTTGTTGCACCCTGACAGCTAAGAGTCCGTGCAGCTGGAAGGGCCCAGCAAATGGAGACCCAGGGCCACGGGTGGAGCAGGGAAGTCCCTCTGAGAATAGGACCGGTGAGGGGGGCTGGTCCCAGGAGAGAGGACAGCCGAGCCCTGAGGGACAGTGCGGCCAGACGGAGGGAGGGAGAGGAGCAGAGCAGGGCCGGGAGCAGGCCCTCGGCCAGAACCAAGCCAGGCCCCCCCCTTGGTTCAGGGGCCAAGGGTCCCACCCTCGATGTCAGGGCCGGTCCTTGGCGTGTGTCTCAGGGCTGTGTCTGGCGCTCCAGGTGCTCTGCTGGAACAGAAGGTGGACATGGACAAGCGAGGACTGGGAGTGACCGACTACAACGGAATGGTCACCAAGCCCCTCGGCTGCCGCCCACCAATCTCCAAAGAGTCTTCTGTGGACCGCCCCACCTTTCTTGACAAGGTATGAATTTAGGTGGTTTTGTCTGTTTAAAAGAGGTATTTTTCATTTTTTTATGTGTGTCCTTCAGAGAAACCAGATTAAAAACTGGCTTGTGATATTTAAGTGACTTTACCCGGTTTTTCTAGTATATATAAATGGTTAACTCAAAAGAGGGAGTGTTATGTTTTACGTGATGTGAAGAGGAATAAAAAAATACTAAAATTAAAAACTGATTTTCATTTTATTGTGTGAACTTGGCTGGGTTGTCTACTTCCATTTGTCCAGCAGACAAGAGGCATCAGAGTTCTCTGTTGCTATCCTACCATATATGCGTGCTCTTCCGATCAGAGGCGGTGTTACGTAATGGGCCTGAGAAAGGGGCCAGAGGTGGCTGGGCCCGGGGCCAAGTCGGCTGGCCCAGCTTAGATCGGCCACAGCAGAGAGCATGCTGGTGTCTGTGCGGGTCTTCCCTGGGGTGTTTCACACATCCGGCCACTGGTTCAGTCCTTTCAGTGTCGTCCTGGAGTGACGTCCCCTCGCCAGAGGGTGTGACTGCAACCCAGCCACATTCAACTCAGTCAGAATATGGGACCTGGAAAATAAAACTGAAGCCAGAAAGGACAAGTTAGGGGAAAAAAAGAAAGAAAGAAAGGCTCACAGGAGAAGAGAGAGGGCTTCCTCTCTGTTCTCAAAGAAACAGGGTCCTTGGCCCACGCCTCCCCTCAGAGGTGGGGTGAGGCCCAGGTCCCAGCCCGCACTGCACAGTGTGGTTCAGAGCCACAGTGCCCAGTGACTTGGAATTTCACGTAAGCAAACAGTTTTTGGAGCATATGTATTCCAAAATATTATGTATTATTTGTCTGGAATTCCAATTTAACTTGGCATTCTATATTTTTATTTGCTAAGTGTGGGAGCCTGACTGGTTGCCTTATCTTTAAAATGTGGGTGATACTGCAGTCTTGTTAGGGAGGTAGATGAGAAGTTTGCAAGTGGCTTGACACATAGCGTCACCTCGATAAATATAAAAAAATGTAGGATTCTGTCTGTTTTATAACTTAGCCGATTGTTAGATTAAACTGCACGATGTCGCCGTGCCGGTCCAGGGCAGCTGGCGGTCTGGGCGCTCCACCCACGCACACCTAGAGCCCTGGCCACGCCTTCTCGCAGGGGCCCGTTCATTCGGAAATGGTTGTGAAGTGTTTCCAAATCAGAGTTTCTGTCTCTTTCTCCTGACTCTTACCCCTAGGTAGGGGCAGTAGTGGATGAGAATGTTATAAGCTAATGTATGTGTTTGTAAAATAATTGTTAACGTGAAAACAGCATCTTAATCCTGTTTCTCTTTCTTCTTTTCCCCCTCTTCCTTTTGCCATGTTCTCCATTCTGTTATTATCCGCTTTTTTGCTCTTTTAATTCTGTCTTCATCCACATCCCTGTGTGTCCTTGGGACACTGCCTTGTGCTCTGTCTGCAATGGACACTGCACGCAGCTCACCCTTTCTTTCTCCAATCAGGACGGCGGCCTCGTGGAAGAGCCCACGACTTCACCATTTTTGCCTTCGCCAAGCCTGAAGCCCCCCCTTTCAAACAGTGCACTCCCTAATCAGGCCCTGGGTGGGATTGCCTCAGGGCTGGGCACGCAGAACTTGAATTCCGCTCGACAGGTAAGGCTGTCGGGGGAGAGCTGATGTGGTCTCCGTTTCCCCTGCCTTTAAAGCGTGCTGGAGACGTAACCTTGCCTGTTTTCATTAACACCGTGTTCTAAGATGTAGCCGAATGTGTAGGGGTAGCTGGAACACTGGGAGGATTCTCCCTTAAGTGATTTACTGCTGTCAAGACTCGAATCCAGTTCTTGAGATTTAACCATGTTATAGGAAATGCTCCTAAGTCGTATTTATTTCCCACGTAACTAAAATGTATGTGAACCCAGCATGCTCGGAGCTGACTATTGCTCGTTTCAGTGGTGCAGGGTCAGAGCAGCCTTTGGTGGCCAGGCCCATGCATAATTCGAGACCTTAAAGATGTTGGTCCCGGAAAACACCACATTCTCCGCTTTTTCATAGGACTAACGGTGACATCTCTTATAATGTTGTCAGTGATTTTCAGGGTCCCGTTAGCCTTTTCCCCTGCCTTTGACACCCTTGGAGAAGTGAGGTCACTGTCTGAGGTCACTGGAGGGAGGACCCGCGGGTTTTGATGGAGGTCCCTTCATGTCCCTTCTCAGCCCCGGATTCTCCAGAGTGGACTGAAGTGCACACAGACCGTGCTCGTGCCGCCGAGAGAGTCTCACTGATTTCCTCGGGCACGAGGCTGGCACACACATACCTGAGACCTTTCGGGTGGCCAGATAGTCCCACACGTGCCTATTGCTGGGCTGAGTATCAGCAGCACATCTCCCAGTCTGCCTGCCCCTTGGGACCTGACCCAGCCAGCCCGGGGGGTTCGTGGGACCCCTGCACACACCTGTGCCACAGGAGACGCAGATTCCAGTTAGCTCCCGACTGTGTTTGTTCATTCGGTTTCAGGGTTTGTGGTTGAAATAGTAGCTCTGTTTCCTGTGTCCCATCACCGTCTGACTCCCTTCTCGGGGGCGTGAAGTGCCCGGTAGCTGTGCTCGTCGCTGCTGCCCGTAGCGTATTATCAGTTTCTCCTCCTGAGGCAGCCTCGTTTCAGATGCTTTAAAACAGAGCTTTGTGATTTAAAAACACAGACACGCTCCCTGGCTGATTTCCCACCAGCCGTTACCAGTCTGAACAGCACTTACTAAGAGTCACTCCGGTGCGTGTGCACGGGAGGGAGGAGAAACCGCGTCACATCCCTGTCAGGAAGGCAGGTCACAGCACACACTGTGCTGCTGTACCTGCAACTCTGCGGCCTGTCCTTTGTCCCCGCAGATGCCGAGCGGCAGTCTGGGCGCGTTGGGCAGCAGCGGAGCAGCACAAGCCAGGACCCTGCAGCCGCCGCCGCCACCCGTGCCGCCGCTGAACCCCTCCCAGCCCGGTCTCCGTGCACAAGTGCCTCAGTTTCTGTCCCCTCAGGTCAGGCCCGCCGCGGCTGTGTGGCTTTCTGGGGGGTCCCCTGGGGTCCTGTGCTGGGTGACGCACTGTGGCAGGGAGAGCCGGCTCCTGGCACCTGTTCATCTGCCATCTGCTCCTGGCTCTCAAAACCGCTCCTGGGGGGGCCCACCTTGCCCAGCAGCAGTGCTGGTGAAAACCACTGATGGGACTTTAGTCCTGGCCCACCAGCACGTCCACTCCAGCCTGAGGGGCAGGAGGGCTGGGTCGTGGGGCGGGCAGCTGTCTTCCCCACGCTCAGCATGCCGCTGCTCCATACCATACTCAGACACAGTTTCTGCCAGTTGACTTGCCTTCTTCATGTAAACAGATTTATTCTTCAAGAAAATTTGACATAGCCAGCATTAACAGAGAAAACATTTTTCTTACATACATTCAACAGCTAGTAACATAAAAACTGCTCACCACATTGGACCTGAAATCGCCCGCATCCATGCTGGGAGGTGTAGGCAGAGCACACCGTGGGAGCATTGCAGCAGCCAGCGCCCAGCCCCCAACAGGTTCCGGGTAGTGAATTCCAGATGAAGACATCCTTGATAGTCAGGGTCAGGGCTGGCAGAGACATGCAGGTGCACATGCCACAAGGGAGGCTGGGGGCATCATGCCCACCGAGGGGTGTCTGCTCCTACCAGCAGGGGGACCACTTCCTGGGCATGTAAACTTGGGAAGGGGTTGCTGCCTACCCTGGGAAGAGACCCTCTGGGGGGTCGTGGTGCCGTTGGCAGGGAAGCATACACCTGCCTCCTTTAAGAGGCTTGAACCAAGTGAGAATGACCCCTTCCCTGAGACCCGCCCTCATCAGCTGCACTCCTTTGATTGGGCCCATTGATTTGCCTTCTGACAAGCAGCCCAGAGTCAGTCCCAGAAAGAAATTGAAAGTTACTTCATAACTAGAATGTTTGGAGGAAGAAATCTCTTTTCTTCTTCCTTTCCCTTCTCTTCCTTTCTTCCCTCTTTCCTTCCTTATTCTCCACAAAAAGCATGTTAACTAGGGTTAAAGGTCTACAAATTTTTAATGGGTTTTGAAGGTCACTCATGAGATAAATATAATTGTCATGTAATTAATCAGCTTGAATCTGGAAACCACACAGCAGTGAATGTCTTAGCAGTGATCATGGTGTGTTTCTTGTTGAACAGGTTCAAGCACAGCTTTTGCAGTTTGCAGCAAAAAACATTGGTCTCAACCCTGCACTATTGACCTCGCCAGTTAACCCTCAGCATATGACGATGTTGAACCAGCTCTATCAGCTGCAGCTGGTGAGTGCACAGACCCAGCTCCGTTCAAGTTCTAGGACAGAGGAAGAGCGCCCCATGACCTTCATGAGGGTCACCTGCATGTGGTGATGCAGCAGCGTACATGCTGACTGATAAAGTCATCAACAGGACACTTTCTGTCCTCGAGACGTTTACATTATGAATTAGAAAGCTTTTCACTTATAGGTGTTTTACTAAGGTTTGTAAACTCTGGCTCCTTGGTGTTCACAGAACCTCCCAGATTTTCCAGTCAGGCCTGTCATAGCTTGAGCTCTCAGCCAGCTCGACCACAGAGCACAAAACATCCCTTCAGTGGCTATTTTCTAAATTCTTCTAAAGATGTAATGCACAAACATCATTCTGGAAGCATGAGAGAAGTTCCTTCATTACATAGAAGTTAGGACTTAGTCCTTACTCAGAATCCCTATTGAGGAAGGCTGATGTAGCCCAGTATTTCTCCTTTTTTTTAATCCTCACCCAAGGACATGTTTTCATGGATTTTATTTATTTTTTTGAGCCTTCTGGTAAAAACTAGAAGACCTACTAGACAAATTCAAAAAGAGCTGTAAGCACTATGTTTTCATTGATTTGAGAAAGAGAAACATCAATGTGAGAAAGAAACATCAATCAGTTGCCTCCTGGGCAAGTGCCCTGACCAGAAATCGAACCCGAGACCCTTCGGGGCATAGGACGACGCTCAGCCAACTGAGCCACACTGTCCAGGCAGCCCAATAATTCTTGAAAGTTTTACAATTCAACACATCTTGAATTCTGAATTGGTAACAGTCTTGTTGCCTTTACTACAAATGCCATTCATTGTGTTCACAAACGTGCACTGAACTCATACCACTGCAGAACCTTTAATACGTTGACACCTGATTTATTTAGAAGGATTGTCCCACAAGTTCATCTTCTAGAAAATGACCAGGAGTCATAAAGGAAAAAAGGCCTCTGGTAGACAAAGCCGTAGTCATCAGCCATTCCTTTCCTGCTGGTTGGTGCCCGTCTGAGCGGTCTGAGTCTGCTTTCGCAGGAAGCAGCGCCGCGGGCAGGAGGAGTGTTCTGGAGACAGGTGGTAGTGTTCAGGAAGTACAGAGCCGTGGGCGGGTGGTGACCAGGGTGTGTCAGGGTCTGACTGGACCCTGGGAGGGAGATGCGCCCTCGCCCTGCTGGGGAGGCTCCCCGAGGCCTGGAGTCAGGGCAGGCTGGAGCACCAGTGCTGTTGTTCCAGCCCCACGGTGGCAGGGACCACCGGCATGTCACTGACAGCTCCTGTGAGAGGGAGAGCCTTCGACCCTCCTCCCGCGCTCCACTGTGCTCCAACATGCCACCTAGTGGGACCTTCTGGTCATACGCCTGTGTTGACCCCGGTGTGTGAAAGACACTGCGAAGATGTGCAATTGTGTTTAATGTGTTCTGATTGAAAACAGTGTATACTGCCCTGGCCGGTTTGGCTCAGTGGTTAGAGCGTCAGCCTGCGGTCCGGAGACACCCGGGTTCGGTTCCCGCTAAGGGCACGTACTTCGGTTGCAGTTTGTCCCCGGCCCTGGTTGGTCGTGTGGGTGGCAGCCACTCGATGTGTCCCTTCACGTCGATGTTTCTCTCTCTCTCTCCCTTCCTCTCTCTCCCTCCCACTCTATCTGTACAAAATATGGAAAAATATCCTCAGGTGAGGATAAAAAAAAAAAAGAAAACTGCTTTTATATTCTTTCCAGCAAATTGGTAAAATAAAGTTTCAGTGCACCCTAAGGTCATGTTTTAGTGCCTCTAAGGGTTCACTTAAGTGAAGTATTGTATTCCTTCCTAATTCACTGATTAATGAGGCGTTTCCAATAGTTAGTCTCTACATTTGTTTGGATTCTACTTTAATATAGCCTCTTGCCAGAAACGTCCCAGAAATCCATGTTGTATGAAAAAGAGTTACAATATGCAACCAGCATTTTGAAACAGTCAGATGCCCATATCTGTGTCTGTGTCCAGAGGAGTGTCACACTCGCTTTAGCTGGCTCTTTCGACAGGTCTGTGGCAGACGTGTCACGTCACAAGTCTGGACTCCAGGCTCCGGGTGGACAGGCTCCTCGTGCAGCCCCTGTTCCCCCGAGCCTGCAGTGTGTCCTGTGCTCGGGGCACTCCCGCTGCCTGCCCTCCCGAGCCAAACGGGCAGCCGTGGTTTGTGCCCATACAAGAGTATTGTGACAGTGGACCCTCGTTTCTTTTTTATATTTATTTAAGTTGGTTTTAGAGAGATTGAAAGAGAGACGTCAATTTGTTCCACTTTTTTCTGCATTCATTGGTTGATTCTTGTACGTGCTCTGATCGGGATTGAACCCGCAATCTGGTGTATCGGGCTGACTCTTTAACCCACTGAGCTACCTGGCCAGGGCCTACCCTCATTTCTTTTTATTTTTAGTTTGTATGATTCGACCAGAAGAATCTTGATCTCTTCATTAACTGAAAAATATTTACTGACAAGCTTCATCACCAGTACTCAACAGGGGTACTGACTGGGGTACTCTGGGAACCCATGCACTGGGAGGGTTTTGGAAAGGCGTCTCTCCCTTTAAAAAGGTTTCTTGCTCACAGTGGTGTAACCCACAGAGTGGTAAGGGGGCCGCACTACAGCGCACACTTGGCGATGGTTTTCTTGAAGTGTTGGGTTGCTCTCTTTCTGTCGGCAGGCATACCAGCGTTTGCAAATCCAGCAGCAGGTGCTGCAGGCCCAGCGGAACGTGTCCGGACCCGTGAGGCAGCAGGAGCAGCAAGTGGGTATCATCGGGGCTTAGCAGGTCCCTGAGCTCCAGTCCTCCCTGCTCCGGGAGACACTATTGACGGGCTATTCTACTGTCACTGGGTTTTCCCGATAAACCTCCCCTTTTACAAGTCTGGGGGTCACCTAGGTTTGGGAGCAGGTTGGCCCAGCCGGCAGTATAAATGTAGTGGAGATTGACAAACCGGTGATGGCGGGCATCACTTCCCCGCTGATGTGCACATGTCTGCCACCAGGTCGCGCGCACAATCACTAACCTGCAGCAGCAGATCCAGCAGCAGCAGCGCCAGCTGGCCCAGGCCCTGCTCGTGAAGCCCCCACCGCCCCCGCCGCACCTGTCTCTGCACCCCTCTGCAGGCAAATCGGCCATGGACAGCTTTCCCCCGCACCCTCAGGCCCCCGGCCTGTCCGACCTGCAGACCAAAGAGCAGCAGTCTTCACCCAACACCTTTGCTCCTTACCCTCTCGGTGAGTTTCCATGATTCGAGCCACCACCCCGCTGGGGGTGCCTGGAGGGACTGTGTGATAACCGGAGCTAGTGGGACACATGTTCCCAGTAGTCAGAGTAGCTGCCTTGGGCTTTGCTGTAAATACTTCCAGTATGAAATTTTTTCAGGCGGTATCGGCGGAAGCTCAGCGCCGCCCTCTGCGTTCAGGGAGCACAATAGTCTGCCAGTTAAGACCTGACTGGGAACCAGACCTGCCATGTTGCATCGCAGCTCTGCCACTGGCTGGCTCACCACTTACTTGCAAAACTTGCCTGACTGCTCTTAACCTCAGTGTACCCATCTGTAAAGTGGGAACGCTTGCCTCAGAGGGCCCTTCCCAGGGTTAAACAGGTCAACGTGGGACGTTCTTAGAATGGCACCGAGGGCACATCTGAAGTGTCAGCTGTTCGCAGAAGCACTTCGGTTTTAAGAATAGCATTTTTAGGGACAGACTCCATTCTAGCCGTTATCCTAAAGCGCTCTGATTCAGCTTCCTAGTACCCATCTGTCCTCTTAACTCCTGCTTGGAGAGTAACTCTTTAAAGATTTTTTCCCTCAGTACAAACGAAAGAATTAGTGCATTGAATCTTCAAAATTAGATGAAAAATAGTTTTGATAAAATGTTATAACATTTACATTAAAATTTACTGAAAATAGATAGCTAACAAAGTATAAGAAACTCAGCCTGTGAAAGCGCAGTCTGGTGGGCGCAGTTTTTCAGCGGCTGTCACTGTCGCCCACCTTCCCACAGTCTCCTTGTTCTGCTGGCTTCTGGAGCTTGGCCACACACAGATTGGGCGTATGCAAACAAAATGCCCTCAGCCGGCGTGACCGTGTGGACGGTGGTCGAGAGGGGGCTCACGCCCACCTGGATGGTGAAAGGGAACCCCAAGCAGGGTGTGAGCTGGGTGTGGGCCGAGGATAAGGTTCAGCAGAGGAGGAGGGAGCCCCTCCCAGGACAGACGGGCCTGCCTAACAGTGTCTTTATTCCTAGCTGGACTAAACCCCAACGTGAATGTCAGCAGCATGGACGTGACTGGCGGTCTGACGGTGAAGGACCCATCGCAGTCCCAGTCTCGCCTCCCTCAGTGGACACACCCCAACCCGATGGATAACGTACCCGGTGCTGCTTCTCCTCTCGACCAGAACCCCGGCAAGCACGGTACGGCTGAGCCACGGGCGCCGTGTAGTGCGCTCAGTTTGTTGCTTTTTCCCTTCGAAGGACTCAGTGCTGCAAGCCAAGTGAGAATACCCACTCCATTGCAGAGGACGTAGGCCCCAGGTAGTCAGGGATCCAACCTCTCGAAACCTCGAGTACCAGATCTTAGCTACAAACCCAGAAGAAACTGAAAATTCCCCAGAGCAGCAAACAATATAGGTCACAACCTGCATACTTTTATTCCTATCTGTATCCTTCAACAAAAAATTTGAGTCTACTGAAAAGAAATTTTTTTTTTATCCTCACCTGAGGATATTTTTGCATTTATCTTCAGATAGAGCTTGGGGAAGAGAGAGAGACGCATCGACTGGTTGCCACCCGCACAACCCCAACCGGGGCCAGGGACAAACTGCAACGGACGTATGTGCCCTTAGTGGGAACCGAACCCGGGACTCTTGTCTGTGGACCGACGCTCTAACCACTGAGCAAAACTGGCCAGGGCTGAAAAGAAATTTTTTTTAATGAAATGATAAAACGCACTAGGAAATCAAATGCTTAGAGAGGAGAAGGAAGCAAAAGTGCTAATAGCCATAGGAGTGATCTTACAATGTAGCATTAGAATAGGCTCTGTTTCCTGGTAGCGGGAACAACAAAGAAGGTTGAATAGGGTACATGATTCTCTCTTGATATGAAGTGTCTAAAAACAGGAAAATTCTTTCTAATAGCTAATTCTCTAAGAAAATCATCAGGTACTATCTGGGCACTTTCCTTGGCACAAGAGAGCTCAGTGGCCTGTGGCAAGGTGGATTAGCCTGTGGTTAAGGCCTCTGAGTTTACACACCAGTTTGTCCTTTCTAGTGAGGGCAACATCTGGAGGGAGCCTAGGACAGAGACACCAGCTCACCCCAGACACTCAGAAGTTGTTCCAAGAAAGGCTTACTGGGCCAACTGCCTGTGGTATGGGTATCGTTTCATCAAGATGTCCGATTGGCCCGGCTGGTGTGGCTCAGTAGACTAAGTGTCGTCCCATGGGCTGAGAGGTCCCAGTTCAATTTCTGGTCAGGGCACATGCCTGGGTTTCAGGCTCGATCCCCAATAGGGGATGTGTAGGAGGCAGCTGATTGATGTTTCTCACATTGATGTTTCTCCCTCTCTCCCTCCTTCTCTAAAAAAATCAATAAAAACTTGGAAAAAAAAAAAAAAAGATGTCCAGCCCTGGCCGGTTTGGCTCAGCGGTTAGAGCGTCGGCCTGCGGTCCGGAGAGACCCGGGTTCAGTTCCCGCTAAGGGCACGTACATTGGTTGCAGTTTGTCCCCGGCCCTGGTTGGTTGTGCGAGTGACAGCCACTCGATGTGTCTCTTTCACGTCGATGTTTCTCTCTCTCTCTCTCTCTTCCTCTCTCTCCCTCCCACTCTATCTGTACAAAAAATGTCCTCGGGTGAGGATAAAAAAAAAAAGATGTCCAACTGAACAAACTAAAGAGTTTATCTTTCAAGAGTGAAATCACTTATTCTCAGAGAATGCTGGAGCAACCAAGCTCAACAGGTCACATTCCTGGTGTTGGCAGGGAGGGCTGGGGGGTCCCCTGTTCACTCTTTGTTTCCTGTTGTACCCATAGGTGCTATCCCTGGAGGTCTAAGCATTGGGCCTCCAGCAAAGTCCTCCATTGATGACTCCTATGGCCGGTACGATTTAATCCAGAACAATGAGTCACCAGCCAGTCCTCCAGTAGCTGTCCCCCATAGCTGGTCACGTGCCAAATCTGACAGTGATAAAATCTCAAATGGCTCCAGCATCAACTGGCCCCCAGGTAAGCGGGCAGTCCTCTGCAGCTGCAGACCTCGTGCACGCCCCGCCCAGGAGAGCAGCGGCGGGCTCAGTCTGAGGCAGTTGCTTTGGCATTTCCCCAGAAGTCCCCTGGTCAGACCAGGTTTGGGTGCGGTTGGACCCAGCGCTTTTCTGTGGCCCTGAGTTCCATGAGGGCGGCAGCGGGACATGGCACTGTAGCCCATCCGACCCTCCCGTTTCTAGGTTCATGCACAGCTGAGCAGTCTCCCTGTGGCAGCTGTAATGCCTGGTTCTAGTTTGTTCCAGAGGATCGATGATTTACTGAAAGTCTAAAATTGTCCCTTTTGCTTTAATTAGCAGATTATTTAATTCCCGTAAATTACCATGAAGCAGTGTAAAGGTGCCCAGTGCTCATGTTTTGATCTCCATTTTGTTTGGAATTTTCCAGAATTTCATCCTGGAGTTCCGTGGAAAGGACTTCAGAACATAGATCCCGAGAATGACCCTGACGTCACTCCTGGAAGTGTCCCCACTGGGCCGACCATCAACACCACCATACAGGATGTCAACCGCTACCTCCTCAAGAGTGGAGGTGAGGAGGCCCGCCTGCGTGCGTGCGCCCTCTGCTGGTGCTCAGCGGTGGCGGGGGGGGGGGGGGGGACACAGTGGGTGGGCACCTTCTCTGACCACCAGAAGCAGCACAAGTGGAGGTCAGGTGGTGCTTACAGTGAAAATGGAGGTGGATTTGGGCTGAGTGTTTTCACTGGCTTTATTAACACACCATGTTTTATAAGCATTATATTATAAATCACAATATTAATATTAACTTTTTTTATTCTTTACTGACTGTAGAGAGAGAGGAAGGGAGAGGGAGAGAGATAGAAACATCCATGAGAAAGAACATCGACTGGCTGCCTCCTGCATGCCCCCCACTGGGGATTGGGCCCACAACCTGGGCATGTGCCCTGACTGAAAATCGAACCAGTGACCTCTTGGTGCATGGGTTGATGCTCAACCACTGAGCCACACCGGCCGGGCTTAACCATTACTTTTTAATGAAAAGATTTCCACCTGAAACCTCTTAAAACTAAAAATGAGTTAACAACCCTCCTCCACTCATTCATCTCAGTCTGTTTTTCATTTCCACAAAAAAATCTGGCAAAGGGACTGAGATCCAGGACCTTTTTTCTGGATAAGCTCATGGTTCTGAGCCTTGGCACACCGATGTCAGATGTGGGGATCCAGCAGAGGAGGTGGCAGGCGGAGCTGTGGGGCTCTGGAACACAGGTGGATTTCCAGGTCAGCCTGGGAAGGGCAGGATGGTTCTCCCTGAGGGCATGCAGGCAAGCTGGTCTGTGGGTGCCAGCACTCTAACATGCGAAGAAGAGCCAGGTTCCTATAGGTGCTGTCACTGAGAACACTGGGACAGTCCCCAGAACGTTGGTGTAGGTTTCTTCCTTCACTGTGACCTGCGGGAGAGAGGCATCGTTTTCCTGGTTCTCACAGCGATGGGCTTCTGAGTGTGCCCGGGCTGGGGAGTGCCAGCGGAACGCAAGCTTCCTGCTCAGCGCCGCGCCTTCCTTGCGGTTCCATGCGGCGGCTTCTTTTGGGGGTGTGTGGGCGTCCCCGCTGTCAGGCACAGGCGGGTGGCACAGGGGACACAGCTGTGGGAAGTGGAGCCTGTCTGGGAGGGCAGGGAGGAGAGGGCTGTGCAGGGTGAGCACAGCCAGAAGCAGGCCTCGGCCCTCGCTGCTCATCACCTCGAGGGTGGCCGCAAGGTTGTGCCCAGTGTATTTCGGAGGTTGGGGAGAGGTGTGGATAACTGCCGATCCAGGTATACAAGGCCTCGGAAAGAATCGGGGCTGCTGGGTATAGAGCAGAGCTTCCTGCCAGGTGTCCAGTGGATCATCCAGTGCTCCCTGGCCTCTGGGGGCCCTGGGGCATTGTGGGTGACCTCCACATTTGCCATGCTGGAAGAAGACAGCCTGGGGGAGCAGGAAGGTTCTGAGGACAGAACTCAGCAGCTGGGCCCCAGAACACGGGGTGCCTGGCACGAGGCAGACTTAAGGCAGAAGAGAATATAAGCCCAAGGGGGACGTTGGCGTCAGACAAAGAAGGAGGCAGGAAGTCCAGCTCTGGGATAGAGATGAGACAGCCATCCCCCTTGGGTGACTGGGAACTTCATGTGGCTCTCTTCACACAGTGTCACATGGTGCCCCGTGACGTCATGTTTTGTTTTTAAATTTTGTGGCTGTTGTTTGAGGTGTGAAAAGATGGCGATCGCCCTGAATTTTTATTTTTATCTTGTTTGCCGAGGATCAAACCTGCAACCCAGGTACGTGCCCTTGACCAGAATTGAACCCGGCGACCCTTTGGTCTACAGGCTGATGCTCTAACTGCTGAATCAAACTGGCCAGGGCCTAGGTGTTGAGTTATTTACATTTTTGTTTTTTACTTATTGCCATTGGCATTAAGCTCTGATTTGGTATTAAATTTTTGCATTAGTCCAGTATCTGCTCTGATGTCATTTATAGTTTCGACTCTTCTGAGGTGACTGTTAACCAGGATTGTGAAATTCGGCCACTTCACGGCACTGATACTGACACTCTCCTAGAAAGGAGAGTAAACTCCACTGTTAAAACCAAAAATTTTCAAATAGAACACTTAAAATCTAAGTATCCTGTTGTTAATTATAGAAGAAATACCGCATAGGATTCAAAGGTCTGTGATCTCGGGCTCTGGGGTTGATCTCGTGTGTTGGTAAACGAAAGGAGTGGGCTTCGTGTCGTAGGCGGCTGTCCTTCACCACGGAACACCTGCGGATCGCAGTGGATTTTGAAGTCATGAACTCAGGCGCCCTCAGCCTCAGGGAGCTGGTACAGCAGGGCAGCTGCAAACCGCTGTGCTGGGGACGCTGCACCAGCCTGGAGCCTCTGAAGGCTCCTCCTGAGGTCGTCCCCGCCCCGCCCCGAGGGCCTGCCACAGGGCTCCCCTGTCCTTTGAGAGTGTTTGTAATGCAGAGCGGGACAGCCAGACTGCTCTGTGCCCTTGTCCCCTCCCCCGGCCACCTCCACACAATCAAAGAGCTCCGGCTCCATCTGCTTTCACCCTCTAATGCATCCTGTTCCTCCCCAGCCTCCAGCTTCCTCTGAGAACTGAGGGGGGTGGAAACACGCCACCCAGCAGGCAGTGGGCTTTCTGGGGAGCGGGTTCTCAGGCTGCACACGCTCCGCCCCTCCCAGGCGCAGTCGCTCAGGTTCACAGGTAGTCGTACAGGTTTCTTTTCATTGCTCCTGTAGTTCATAGAGAAACATGGGAGGTAATGGGGTGCCTGAGACATCCGAGTCAGAAATTCGTGTTCATCTTTCATGGCAAAGTTTATAACAGAAAGGGTGGAGTTTTGTTTTGTAATTTTGTGGATATTGTGTGAGGTGTGAAGAGATGGCGATTGTACGATATTTTATTTTTATCTTGTTTGCTGGGGAAATTGGTGTGACCCTTTAAAACCCAGCATGGCATCTAAACATTCTGGTGATAGGCATCTCCTCGTGCCTTGAAACCCTGTCCAAGTTCTCGCTGTTTCTTGCTCGTTACCTCCTCTGCTGTCAAGAAAGTCCCAGACTTCTCTCTCCCTGTGGCTTGGGGGCCCAGAAGAGGAGGCATGCCTGTGTCTTCCTTCCCCCGCCGTGACCTTGACCTTATAATGCTGTCACTTTCAGCCACCTACCAGAAGCTGTCGCTCAGGTTGGCTCTGTGTCCAAACGCTCGTGCCCAGATAGCGGGCCCTCCCAAACGCCTGCTGCCCACTTTCTTAGTGCCATGTTTGGTTCTGCAGGGTCTTCCCCACCATCATCTCAGAGTGCCACGCTGCCTTCCTCCAGTGCCTGGCCGCTCAGTGCCTCCGGCTACAGCCCCTCTTTCAGCAGCATGGCGCCCGCGCCTAGTGTTGCAGGTACGCACCTGGCCTTTCGACTTGCAGGTAGCCTTTTCTTTCTTTCCCCAAACAAGATGGACAGGCCCCGCTTTTCCCGGTGGCCTGTCTACTCCCTCCCTGAGCTGGAGGCCGTGTGGTGTGATGGACTGTGGGCCTTGGCTCTGCCGGAGCAGCTGTGGGACCCAGGGCCCAGCGGTTCCCTTCGTGTGCAGTGGGGATGGTCAGGAGGTTCACTGTGAACTGCTACCCCTAAATGGACCTGCCTGCCTCTCCTCCTTCCCCCCTTGCAGCCACGAGACAAGGGTGTGGGTCAAGGTTTAAAGTCATGGAGGCAGCAGCACCTGCTTGGGACCTGCTGTCCCTTGCATCTGCCCCAGGGAGGAAGGCGACCACAGCAGGCCCCGTAGCTAACTCCCAGCACCGGTGACCACTTCTTGTTACTCTGGAAACGCAGCGCCCGAGTAGTTTCTCAGTCACCGCAGACTTTACCAGTCTTTCCAGTAAGAATTGAGAATAATTTGTCATGAAACTTCAGAGGAATTAGATTCTGAAATGTTAAGATCAGGATATAAAGAAATGTGGACACAGGCACGAACGAAATGTATAGCAGGTTTGTAAATAGAGAGCTTACATAAGGAGGCTTTACTATTTACAGTGTCTTCAGCTGTACTTTTGCTTCCCTGCCAAGCTCCTCGCTGAGACGTCTCCGACCCAGGAGGACGCTGCAGGGATGCTTGTTGCCGAGCCTGGGGAGAGGGTCATTTCGGTGTGTTTCAGCATCTTACTTAAAAGAGAGAGAGAGCTTCTGTGGTATTGTTATTCCTTCTAACGTTTGTTCTTTCTGATATTTACCAAAGGGATGTGTTTAGACCTTTAATACTTTCGTGGTCATTTGGCTAAAGAGAAGGCACAAATAAAACCTTCTTTCCAGTATCTGAGGCCGTTTTATGGTGTTTGCTTTTCTGATCTGTGACTCGTTTACTAAGATCAGCATTTGCTTGTCGTGAGGTTGTGAGGTCACAGCTGACGCTGGTGGCCGGTTGGAGAACTGCACTGGGGTGTGTGGGCCTGGCCCCGCAGAGCTGTGCGGGGAGTGGCTGTGCGAGGCCGGGTGGGGTGCGTGGCCGGCGCCCATGTGTCTGCATCTGCATGCCCCAGCTGAGCCCCGGGTGCGGCAGGGACTGGGCTGCTGGTCGTGACTGCGTAGTTTGTTCTCCCAAGGAGCCTTAAACATGCTCCCCCACCCAGGTGCCAAGATGCCAGACTGCCCAGCAGTCGGGGTGGCTGGGCCACACCAGTTCCACCATGAGACACGGAGGGCACATCTCAGAGCTGTGCAGATGATAGCACAGGCGGGTTATGTCAGAGGGGCACGGCTCCAAACAGGGCCAGACACCCCAAGAAGCTGCATTAAAGGTAGCCATCAGCTCTGACCTTGACCCGTCTGTTATGTTACATGTCCTAGCAGCATGTGTCGTGGGTTAGCGTGAACACCAAACTGCAGAAACACTATTTTCTTGATGGAAAACTTGTGTTTGGCACATTAAGTATCAGAAATACTGGCTAGATCCACACTGAATACAGGCAGAAGTTCGAGGGAGAGCGTGACCCATGGTTCTCTCATGGGGGTGCTTTACTCAGTGTTTCTCTTTCACCACGCAGTCTGCGGTGCCAGAGAACCCTTTGTGGGGGGCCCCAGCACTGCACTGACTTCTATCTCTCTCAAGAATTCCTGTGCTCCTGTCCCTGCCCTTCTAGGTAAACTGTCAGACATGAAATCGACGTGGTCCTCCGGCCCCGCCTCCCACACGCAAGCCTCTCTGTCTCATGAGCTGTGGAAGGTGCCCAGAAACACTACTGCACCCACGAGGCCACCTCCGGGGTTAACCAATCCCAAGCCTTCCTCCACCTGGGGAGCCAGCCCCCTGGGCTGGACCAGCTCTTACTCCTCCGGTATGCATCGTTCTCGTGTTCCGATGGGGAGGGGGCTCCTCGCCTGCTTTGCTTGCCCTCTAGGGAATATGCCTGCAGCTCCTTTGTGAGGACCCGCCACCCCCTGGACCCGGGGAGGGTTGAGAGGGGCCAAGGTACCCTAGACTCTTGGGACATTGTCTGGGCCTGGGTGAGCAAACACAGGGCAGGTCCCGGCGTCACAGCACATCCAGGGCCCACTGGGTCCTGGGGCAAGTCAGCCAGTACAGGGTCTCAGCTCCACTCCGATGTGTGCTTACCCACCACGCTTCCTGGAGCATTGGTTCCCAGTGTGTCACCACCCTTCCTGATGTTGCGTCTCCATGGCTTTCAGCAGGTGCCCACTGCTGACCAATAGGGATGGAAGACGGGCACTGGGAATCCCAGACACTGAGGCTGGAAGCGAGCCAAACAGTGTGAAACAGCTGTTTCTGCCCCCCCCCTTTTTTTTTCTTTCTTCATTGATTTTAGAGAAAGAGGAGGGGAGAGAGAGAGAGCGATAGAAACATGGATGAGTGAGAACATTGATTGGCTGCCTCCTGCATGCCCCTCACTGAGGACTGGACCGACAACCTGGGCATGTACCCTGACCAGGAATCAAAACTGGCGACCTCTTGGTGCATGGGTCGATGCTCAACCACTGAGCCACACCAGCCAGGCTGTCAGTGCCTTTTGTAGCAGCCCTGGGCTTTGTCTTAATAACAAGTAGACATTTCAAGCTAAATGGGAGGAGGCCAGTGGGGAGGCCCTGTCTCACCCCTGCGGTCTACAGGGGCTGTGAGGTGTGGTTTAATGCAGTGATGCTCGGCGCTGCCATCCTTGCTGGGGTGTGAGGGTTGTTGGAAAGGAGCTGACCGACCACACATGCAGCTTATCAACTGAGTTCTTCCCTGGTCTCGTGCAGGTTCTGCTTGGAGCACCGACACCTCAGGAAGAACCAGCAGCTGGCTCGTTCTCCGCAACCTCACACCCCAGGTACCATGGGAGAGTGTCACTGTGACCCAAGGCAGTCTGTGCTGGATGCCTCATCCAGGGCCCAGAGGGGGCGTGGGCAGCAAGGAGTGGGCATGCTCAGGAGCCCTTTAACCATGTTCCTGGAGAATTCGTTACTTTTTACTCTTTTGAGGCTTGAAAAGTATACCTTTGTAAACAGAGTTGCTCGCCTTTAACTGTACCCACCCACAAGGAATTTGGCCTGTGCCCCATCCTGGGTCAGGCCACAGGCTACTGGGAACCGCAGGCTCTGTGTGGTGCTCCCTGGTGAGGGGTCAGAACCAGAACGGGCTTTCTCCTCTGCTTGACGTCATCCAGCATAACTGAAAGGCCCCAGGGTTTCCAACTACGCAGCCACAGGGCTGTGAAAGGTTGTACTGTAGTCATACACCTTAAGCCCTCTGAAGAACAGATATTTCCCAGCATTCAGTGCACTGGATTTCATATGCATTTTCTTTGAAGAATATAGTGGAAGAAGTCACAGGAAGCTCGTTACCGCCCCTTCTGCTTCCTCAATCAGATCGATGGCTCCACCCTGCGGACACTGTGCTTGCAGCACGGGCCGCTCATCACATTCCACCTGAACCTGACTCAAGGCAACGCCGTGGTCCGGTACAGCTCCAAGGAGGAAGCCGCCAAGGCCCAGAAGTCCCTGCACATGTACGTCCCTTCTGCCACCCAGCTGCCCCGGTGTTAGCGCCACAGGCACAAATGCCGACTGGGTCATGGTTTTGGAGGCTGGAAGCCTGGTTCTTCCCGAGGCCTCTCTCCTTTGCTTGCAGACAGCCACCTACTCCCTGTGTCCTTGTGTGGCTGTCCGAGTATGTCTGTGTCCTAACTTCCTCTTCTTGTAAGGACAGCAGCCATAGTGGATTAGGGCCCACCCTAATGTCCTCATTCTACCTAATTATCTATTTAAAGACTTTTCTCCAAATACAAGAACATCCAGAAGTGTTGGAGGTTAGGGCTTCAACATATGAATTTGAGGGGACACAACTTACTCCTAACAGGTGTCTTCTGGGGTGTCGGTTTCTTCTGCTGAGTCTCTGTGGCCATGCCCTCCACTAGGGAAAGACCCCCCAGGAAACAGAGTGTGGAGCCCAGCGACCCCCAGGTAATGACAGGCATGGGGCCCACTCTTGCCACTGCTGGGCTGAGCCAGTCCTTACACAGTTCTTCCTGGTTAAAGCCCAGCTTTGATGAGATGTGTGAGTAGACCTCTTCAGTGACAGCACTTGAGACGTGGGCCCTAGAAATTAGTCGTCCCTGCCTTTAGCCCAGGATGTAAGTTACACGGATCCTAGGCGCTGCATTTCCACACCCTGGGAACCACTGTCGACAGCACACAGTGTGGCTGCGGGAAGGCTGGGGTAGAAGGCCGCACTCCGGCTGCAGAGCAGCAGCCGTGGACACGGAGTGCACTGCTTCCGGGTGGCCTGGGGCGGGAGCCCCCCACCGCGCTTTCCCCGCTCCAGAGGCCACCGACACGGCCCCTGACCCACTCCTTGTTTTGTGGCTTTGTGGAGACAGTTGACATGCAACATGTGTCTGTTTAAGGTGTACAGTGTGTTTATTTAATACATTCTGTGTTGTAGTATGACTACCACTGTAGCATTAGCTAACAATTCTGTCACACCACGTAATTAATTATTTCCTTTTTGTGGTAAGACCATTTAAGATCTACTCTCTCAGCAACTGTCAGGTGTACAGTACAGGATTGTTAGCCACAGCACCAAGCTGTACATCAGAGCCCCTGAACTCAGTCATCTTCCAAACTGACGTTTGTGCCCTTTGACCAACATCACTCATTTCCCCCAACTGCGGCTTTTTTTAGCCCCTACATATAAGTGACATCATGCAGTATTTATCTTTCGGCACCTATCTCTCTTACCATGATGCCCTCAAGGTTCATCCATGTTGTTGCTAGTGGCAGGATCTTCTTTCTTGTGGCTGAAGAGTATTTCTCTCTGTGTGTGAATCATATATTTATCCGTTCATCCATTGACAGACACTTAGGGTGACCCTTTCAGTCAGATTGCTGGGTTTTGGTTATTGAGTTATAGTTCTCTCTTCATTCCATAGGCTGTCTCTTCATTTTCTTGATGATTTCTTTTGCCTTGATGGCGTTTTTAGTTTTATGTAGTCTCACTTGTTGATCTTTGCTTTTGTTGCTAGTGCTTTGGGTGTCATATCCAAAACAAATCATGCCAAGATCAATGTCAAGGAGTTTTTCCTGTGTTTCCTTTTAGTTTTATGGTTTTAGGTCTTGTATTTAAGTCTTTAATTCATTTAGAGTTAATTTTTGTAAATGGTATAAACAGAGATCCAATTTCATTATTCTGCATGTGGCTCTCCAGTGTCCCAGCACTGTTTATTAGAGACTTTTATTTCTCCACTGAATATTCTTGGTGCCCTGGTCAAATATTAGTTGACTGTCTATGTGGGAGTCTATTTCTGGGTTCTCTATTCTGTTCCATTGCTCTGTCTGTTTCTATGCCAGTATCATACTGTTTTAATTACCATAGCTTTGTAGTGTAGTTTGACATCAGGATATGTGATGCCTCCAGGTTTGTTTTTCTTCTCAGTATTGCTTTGGCTGTTCGGGGTCTTCTGTGGTTCCATACAAACTTTAGGGTTGTTTTTACTATTTCTGTGAAGAATGCCATTGGAATTTTGATGGGGATTTCATTGAATCTATAGATGGCTTTGGATTGTATAGACATTTTAGCAGTTTTAATTCTTATGATCCATAAACAGGGGATATCTTTCCATTTTGTATCTTCTTCAGCTTCGTACATCAAAGTCTTGTAGTTTGCATTGTACAGATCTTTTTTTTGCATTTTATCTTGAGATATAGAGTGGGAGGGAGAGAGAGAGAGAGGGACATCGATGTGAGAGAGAAACATGGATCAGCTGCCTCCTGCACACCCCCTACTGGGGATCAAGCCCACAACCTCGGGCATGTACCCCAATCAGAAATCGAACCAGGACCTCTTGGTCCATGGAACGAGACTCAATTCACTGAGCCACACCAGCCGGGCTGGATGCCTTTAATTTCTTTATCTTGCTTGATTGCGCTGAGACCTCCAGTACTATGTCAGCGGACGTGTGAGAGTGGGTACCCCCGTCTTTCTCCTGAACTTGGAGGAAAAGCTTTTAACCTCTCAGTGTAGTCTCCTGACTTGTTACAGGTCTGTTTAGAGCTCCTGTTTCTTCATGATTCAGTCTTGGTAGGTCACGTGTTTCCAGGAATTGGTCCATTTCTTCTGGGTTACCCATTGGCTGGCATACAGTGGTCCACATCCTCTCTCAGGTCCTGTGCGTTTCCATCGTGTCAGCTGTACTGTCTCCTCCTTCACGTCTGGTTGTGTATATTTGAATCTTCTCTCTTTTTTCTTAGTCTAGTTAAAGATTTGTCAGTTTTATCTTTTCAGAAAACTAGGTCTCAGCTGTGTTGCTGTCCCGCTTTTTTAGGTGTGTCCTGGGAAACACTACCATCTTGGCCGAATTTGCTGGCGAGGAAGAAGTGAATCGTTTCTTAGCCCAAGGCCAAGCCCTGCCGCCCACCTCCAGCTGGCAACCCAGCACCGGGCCCAGCCAGACAAGGCTGGGCGCCTCGGGCAGCGCCCACGGCCTGGTGCGGAGCGACCCCGGCCACTGGAACGCCCCGTGCCTGGCAGGCAAAGGGAGCAGTGACCTGCTGTGGGGCGGGGTTCCCCAGTACTCCAGCAGCCTGTGGGGCCCGCCCAGCAGCGACGACGGCAGGGTGATTGGAAGCCCCACCCCGCTGAACACTCTGCTTCCCGGCGACCTTCTTAGTGGGGAGTCCATCTAGGACCGAGAGGACCCTGTGGGCACCGCAGTCATCAGCACTAGGAAGAAAAGCTGACCCTTTCCAGCCCGGGCGTCGCTGAGGACCCCACTGGACCCGAGCAGCCCGGCAGCCCTTTCAAGTACCTCTGTCCAGTACTGAAGACGAACCTGTGCCACAGTCCTTGCGAACTGTCCCCAAGACAGTGCGGGCTGCGCTTGGTCAGTGTCACATGCTAATGACAGGATGTTTCTCATAGCTTTTTATTTTGTGTTGTCTTATGTTTGTATGGTGTGTTGTCATTTTGATTTTTTAAGTATAAAAGCTGCTTAGAATAGTTCTATCATGAAGGGCACTTTTCAGATTGTGGGCTGGAAAGGGTTATTTTATCAAGGGGGAGGGAGGGAGGGAGACAGAAAGCCTATTTAAAACGAGCCTGTGCCGATTACGCACATTCCCAGAGGCGGACCCGTAATCAGGGAGCTGGCGCTCATCACTGGGCCGCGGCCGGGCCCATGGCCGTCCTGGCGCCCCGGTGGGCTGAGCGGAAGGAACGGTCTGCGATCTGTCCTCTGTTCCCACGGATCCGCCTATGCACATTACCCTTGTTTTCATTACTTTTTCATGTCATTTTTTTATCCCAAAAAATATTTTTTAAAAGTTAAAAAAAAGACATATCAAACATGCAAATACTTGAATCCAGCAGGCCACTAACGAAATGTGAACACTTTCTAAGTCTAACTCTACACTTCCAGGTCGGCGTCAGACGCAGAAACAGGCTCTAGGGAAATCGCTAAGTTCACAGCCTCTGTGTGCGTGTGTGGAAACAGAAGCGTGTGTGCGTGCGTGCGTGTGTGCGCACTTCCTGTGTTCGTGTGTCAGGTGTGTGAGGGATTTAACTGTGGGTTTTCCCTTTTATTCAGTATATGCTTTTTTTCCGGCGCATTGGTCAGACGTTTGTTATTATCAGCTTCTAACTTCGCACTGAGTGTGCCCGCCCTTCCTTCCGCTAACCTGCACGTTAAAGAGAGCTCACAGGACAGGGCTGGCGGCAGTCACGTGTCAATGTTTACTCAAGGACTCTACGCGTTTCAAAGTTACAGTGTATCTCTGGAGAAATAATATGTATACCTACCTTTAGCAGCTTTTTATTGTGGACTAATGCAAGAGAATTATTACCAGAGTATTGCACCGTTTTCCATTTGGAATATAAAGTTAAAGAGAAAACTGTTGTGAACTGTGGCCATAGATACTTGTAAGGATGGATGGTTCCGCGGAGGAGCGGGACAAGCACTTGGACGTGGGTTGTGACTGCTTTCGGGGGAGCCCGTGGTGGGGGCTCCCACCTGTTTACAGACCTTTTTTCTCCTTCAGACTTTAAAATAAAAAATTTTAAAAAGGAATTTAAAAAAAAAAAAGAAAAACAAAGACTTCCGTCGTAAAGAGACCTATTTTCAGAATGCAGATGCGCTACTTCAGAGCTCTGGGATCGGGCAGTGTTCTCCCGCCACCGCCGTGGACTGGCGGCTGTCCCCGCGTCCAGTGCCGAGACCTGCGGTCACTGTCTTGCACATCGGAAGCGCTCTCAGGAAAGCCAGGGCTCCGAGGGCAGCTCCACACCGCCTCATGTATTTTGTAACCCAACTCCTAGCACTGAAGATGTTATTAAAAAACAAACAAAAAAATAAAGAAAAAAAGAAAAAAGAGGAAAAAAACACAAAGAAGAAAAATACCTAATCTCTAATGTGTAGCAGTTACATATTTACCAAATAATGGACTCAAAAGAAATAGATGTTTGAAGAGTGCTTTATATATTAAAAATTGCTTTATGTTTTAAAATGATCAATGTTTTGATTGTTTTGCAAGAAAGAAAGACAATGGAGTAACATACCCTCAAGTATGTTTTAAAAAATATATGGACATTGTGCTCCCTGCCTGCTTGATCAGGAAACTTGTGCATTACATTTTTTTTAATTCGCTTTTTAATGGTTTTATCAAAACAAAAAAAGAAAAAAACAAAAAGAAAAAAAGAAGAAGGTCCTGCAGAATCGCAGACCCACAGACGCTGGTTTTACAGAGGATCACGAACTATGCACAGACTGGGTTCCAGACCTTTCTCTCAAGTTCAGCCGTGTACTTAGCTAACAGACCTTCCTCAGAGTGCCGCATCTCATTGCCACGGCACGCGCCCTGTACCTGACGTATGTGTACCTGCATATGTACATCGAATGTGCGTGCGTGCGTGCCCGGGCACCCTGCTCCCCGGCTGCCATCCAGGGCATTGAGTTGTAGAGAAACTCCTGATGTTGGAAAATCGGGGATGGAAGTAAAGAATCTGTTTGTTTGTTTCTGTTTTTTGTTGGGGGGGGGGGTGTTGTTTTTTTGTTTTGTTTTGTTTTCCAACCTTTTATTTTGAATTGAAGATGTCTGTAACTCTGAGATTAAGAAGCAAGTTTGTGGCTTTCAATGTTTTTCCTCATAGAATGTGATCGTTGAAGAACACGCACCGAAAGTTGCTTTCAAAAGTACAACGCTTTGTTGAATCCTAATAAATTGCAATTTTTTTCTTGGCTGTTGAAATAAATGTGGTTTTTTGTTTGTTTGGTTTTGGGTTTTTTTGTTTCCTTTTTCAAAGGCGGATATCATCAGTTTTCACTTGCGCTGGGCGAGCGCGGTGTCCTGCTGTACATACCCTGCGTGTGTACAATGGGCTGGACTCCGGGTCGCGGTTGCCTGACTTGTAACTTGACCGCTCGCTCTGTGGCTTTGCAGTTACCGTCGGGCCCTTGTTCGTGAGCACAGGGAGGTGCAGAGTGCCGCCACCCGCCACATCAGCCAGGTGATGCCCATGCTCGGGGGCACTCCCTGAGCAGCAGCAGTGCGGTGTCCTGGCCTCCGGGCCGGCTCCCAGGCGCTGTGAACACCGGACGCCTCTCCAGACTAGACTGTGTCTCGAGCAGTGGGACGTGGGCCCCGCCGAGGACCCAGCTAGGGCATCGGGAGTGTCGGGAGAGGACAGTGGTGGCAGTCGTGTTCCTGGACATCTGTTCCTTGATGTGACATCGCTTCGGCCAACTCACAGCGCAGAACTCCTGGTGCTGGCCAGAGCCTGCAGGCGCCAGTGTTCCAGGTGGGGCTGGACATCGGCCAGAGCACGCACGTGCCTTCAGCTCCACGTCAGCCTGCTCCGTTGGGACTACAGACCCCCCAGACACCAGCAGACCGAGTGTCCTTTTTGTCTCCGGTCCTGTGGGTGGAGTCCTTGTTTCACTGGGGACACGGGCCTGGGTTGCCCTCAGGCGAGGTGGGGAACCCCTGGCTGTGGAGGAAGCACTCAGGAGAGCACACAAAACACCGGAGGAGGAACCCGGCCGACAACGCACTGATAGCCTACTGGAGACGGGGTCACCGCCTCGGGAATGGCCCACGCGCGCTCCCTGGAGAGGGGCATCCGCCCCGGGCCTGGGAGGCCCATTGCATGTGGAAGCCTGGGGAAAGCGGGGGGGGCGGGTGGGGGAACAGAGCGCCGAGGTCTGAAGTGACGGCCTCGTGACCGGAGGGTGGGGTGGGGTCTGGACGCCATAGGTGACAAGGAATCTTGCTGCCTGGAACCAATAGACCATCTGTTTGGAGCGACACCGTGGAGCACAGCGGGGAAGGAGGGCGGATGCTCCGCCTCTAGCACGTCACCCGTGAGGCAGGGAGGAGGGGTCGCGCATGGCAGGTGCTGTTCTAGTGGCAGACAAGCTCCGAGCTGCCGGGCTGAGCACACGTCCACTGCAGACACAGACAGTGGGCTCTTCGGGAAGACCCCTCGCGGGATGGGGCGTTTGGGTGGGTTGAGAAGCCTGTGGAGGAATCATGATGGAAGCGTGCAGTTAATCATCAAACGGCTGTGCCTGTAGGGACTGTGCCGCAGGCCGCACCTCGAGTCTGCTCCCATTGGGGTGCAGACCAGAAGCATCTCCAGACGCCCCTGAGCGGGCCATACTGCCTCGGCCTCAGTGGCACTTCCAGGGCCGGGTGGAGCGAGCGCAGCGGTTCTCCTCGTGAGGCCTGTTTGGTCAGTTTCTCACACCCCAGTTTGGGGCGCATCCCGAGCTGTCCCTCGCCGCCCCCCCGCCCCCCCCCCCCCCCGCGCTGCCCCACTGAGCGGAGTCCGGAAGCAGGGCAGGCAGGGACCTTGTCCTCAGGTGGAAACAGCCGTCAGCCCCCACCCCTCCAAGCCAGTTCCCGAGAGCGCCCCTGGTCTGGGTTGGCAAGGACAGCAAGCGTTCTGTTTGCAGCCAGACTGCGTGCCCCAGGCCACCAGGTGACGCACAGCCGGCTCAGTCCGTCCTGGAAGGGGCATGGCAAGCTGGAGAACGAGGCCCCGTGTGCGTGGGGAGCAGCTTGGGGGCGGCTGTGCCCGGGGGCCTCCCCCACTGCTGCGGGCTGCGGCCTTGAGGCAGAATTTCTCTGCAAAACTCAGTTTTGTTCCAATTTGTCAGATGATTGGTTGAGGCCCCCACGTCATGGGGGATAATCTTAAAAGTTTAAACACATCTGCAGAACACCTTGACAGCAAACCTCGGTCAGCGCCCGAGCAGCTGCCCGTCCGTCACGCGGTAATTCCACAGAGACGTCTGGGCAGGCCCTCCCGCCGAGTCAGCCCGTCCTGACCTCAGCTGTCAGGAGGCGGGTGGGCTGGGCTCGGCCCGTCGGAACTGATGGCGATGCCGCGTCAAACCGGAGCAGTTGCCTAGTGTCCATCCACCCTAAAGTGCATCCTGGCTGTCTGGGGGGGCATCTGACGGTCTGGCCCAGAGGCCCCCACCCAGGTCGGTCACAAGCTTTCCAGACTGTCCGCCCAGTGGCGCTCATGCCCAGAGACAACCCAGGGGCACTGATGTGTCAGGGACACCAAGGTGCCATCCCCACCCACAGAAGTCAGGGTGATCCGGGTGACCGGCCCAGGCCCTACAGAGGGTGTGGCGCCCTCACTGTGGGTCTGACCCGCCCTCCCACCGCCTCTCCCAGGCCCCAGCTGGGTTTTTCCAGGTTCCGCCCTGACATGTGGAGCAGTGGGGCCTAGCGCTCAACGTCCCCCCACCCAGGGCCACTGCCCAGCTCGGGACACTGCGGCTGTGACAACCTAGGGCACGTGGCATCCCACAGGCTCTGCACACAGCCCAGTGGGACCTCGGGTTACTCAGGCCAGGGTGCTGGCTGCCCTGCTGCATGGCCGGCTCCTCTCCCCATGGCTTGTTCAGCACGGAAATGTCATCCCCACCCCCACCCCGTAGCCATGAAAGCATCCCTGCCGCTGGCTTATCTTCCTGGACACGCCCCCATAGTGTGCCAGCCTGCCTGGTTCACACCCCAGGCGCAGGCCCATCCCGGTGGCCTCAGCTGCAGTGGTCTGTCCCGCCATCCGGAGCTGGGCCAACAGTGGGCGCCCCACGCTGAACGCTTGAGCCCGGTTTGTCAGTATTGAAATAGCCCAGGCATCTAGAGACGCCCCACGGAGCCAGGAGGAGGGGCTGAAGGGGCCACAGGGGCAGGAGGCCTGGGGGTGACCCGCAGGGCCGCAGGAGGGAGGCTGCATACACCTGGGCAGGCCCAGGCATGTGCACAGGTTCCCAGGAGATGCGCCCATTTTACAAAACATATTTAATCAGAATAAATAGAGCCCAGGCAGGGTAGGGTCCCAGCCCCTTTTGCACACCCTCCAGCTCCAGCCACGGGCGGGCGCAGAGTCCTGTGGGCCTCCCCGTGTCCCAGCGGGGTCACCCGGCGCGGCCCGCAGTCTCAGGTTGGTGTCTGTTCTGCAGACCGTGGGGACAGCTGAGCCGGTGAGCAGACGTAGGGTTGCCGGGCTCATCGGCCCCGCAGTGTCCTACTGGGCATCCCGCTGGTCTGCCGGGGGCATCACAGCCTCCTGGGTCCTGCCACCCCTGCCGGGAGGGAGGGAGGGAGCAGCTGCTGTCACCTGCGGACCCGGCCGAGGCCAGACGCCCACAGCCTTGCTCCCGAGAGTCCCGGGCTGGCGGTCCTGCAGACTGGGCTGCCCCCGGTCGGTCTGTCTGCCTGTCTGTCCAGGCAGCAGGAAGAAGTCTGAGCTCCTCTCCCTTTCCCTGGGCTTAACTGAGGTGAGAGGCGGGGTGCTTTGCGGGCCCAGGGTAGCCAAGGCTGAATCGTGGCATTTCGGGCGTCAGCCCCCAGGAGGGAATGAGCAGCTAGGCTGCCCCCCAACACAAAGAAGGGGGAGAAGCGGGTGGGGAGGGGAGGAGGGAAGGGCACAGGAGGCCCCACCCTGCCCCCTGCATGCAGCCCCTTTGTTTCTTTTCCCTTTTTCACCAAACTCAACCGTCCCCCTCCTCCCCCATGCCCACACCTGGGGAGGAAAGGGGAAGGCGGGCAGAGTTCCAGGAGGCTGCGGGCACGTCAGGGAGCCAGGGCAGACGCTGCCCTCCCACCACCAACCCCACGCACCCCACGGCCCTGCCCTGTCCCTCTTCCCCCGACACACACGTGAGTGCCCCCCAAAGGCCCGCACCTGCTCCTCTCCTTCCTCTCGTAGACGGCGTGCAGCTTGTTGATTAAGAAGATCTTGTCTTCCCCCTCCTAGAGAGGCCAGAGCAGGAGGCGTGAGAACAGAGTGGTCCACCCAGAGCCACCCTGCTCCAGACTGCCCCAGGGAGGCTCCTGGAGAGAACACGAGCGAACAAGCTCAAAGGAAAGGCACCAGAGCCAGGACACGGACCACCCAGAGCTAGGCACAGGCTTCTCGGCAGCCCTGCGCTTCAGCTGGCCGAGGTGACCAGGGAGCGGGCCAGCCTGACTCAACTCCAAGCTGGCCCCAGCACTTACTGGCTCTGCCTGGGCCAGTCACCAACCTAACCTCAGCCTCCACGTGAGAGGGGTCGGAACGGCTGCTGCTGCTCTCCCCAATCACCACAAACGGGCTTAAAACAACCAGACTCATCATCTTTCATTTCTGGAGGTCAGAGTCCAAAAGGGGCCTTCCCTGGGTTAAAATCGAGGTGCCGGAGTCCTGGAAGCGCTCGGGGAGAATCTCGCCTCTGGGCCTGCAGAGGCCGCCCGGCCCTCGGCTCACGGCCTCCTGTCTGCTAAGCCAGCCGCACGAGCCCAGGCCTCCAGACAACGGAGTGTGCAAAGCACACACAGCTTGCACCTGCGGTGCGTCCGGGCCCCTGCTCGCCCGGGACGGCCTCATGGCTGCCTCGCATCCTCGCTCCCCCGAGACGGGGCTGGTGGAGGGTACACAGGCTGTGTGTGCACCTGAGTAAGCCACCTGCTCCGGCCCTAGCTGAGCTCAGACCTGCACCCCAAAGACTTGGAACTGGGGGCAGGGTCAGCCTGGAGAACACTGAACAGGGTCTGTGTTCCAGCCTAGGGCCCCAGGAGGTCCAACAGTCATTTCCAGGGTCTCAGAAGTCCTCACAGAGACCGTCTGCACCCACACAGGGCCACACCCCAAAATGCTGTTTCTCCACCACGGCCAGAACCGGATCCCCTGGGGCCCATTGACCCGCTGCCTCCGTCCTCGTCTCCACGTCACACAAACTCCGCACATTCATCAGTGTAATTTGTGTGGCAAACAAGTCCTTTGAAGGCAGGTCAGGGGCCTGGGGGTGGCTGGCAGGGGCCCCGGGGGGCAGGGAGGGGCACTCACATTGCTGATCTGCTCCTTGAGGAGGCTGATGACCTTCCGCTGGCCCTTCACCACCTGGATGTTGAGGTAGATCACGGCCCTGGGGAGCCAGGCAGAGGGTCAAGCCAGACCCCTGCAGGAGCTGGGGGAGGGCGAGGTGGGTGGGACCCCCCTCCCAAACTCACAGCAGCAGGGCTGACACCAGGTAGATGGGGAAGGTGTTTTCCACCAGGTACCGGTGGATCCAGGGCAGCCAGGAGACTCCGGGGCCCGCCCTCTCCAGGTGGCGCACCCACACCTTGCCCGCCTCGTACATGGTGTCCAGGGTCCGGAAGGGCCCACAGAGGCTGGAGGGCTTCACCCTGCGGGAAGAGGGCAGCCTGAGCCCCCGCCCGGAGCCCCCGGCACAGAGCACCTCCCGACCTCCCGGGGCGCCCCCCCCCCCGCCCGGCCGGCGCCCACTCACTGCCAGACGGCGTAGCAGAGGAAGATGGCCGCGCCCAGGAAGGACGGGAAGCACAGCAGCGAGATGAACACGGTGCTCATGTGGGAAGCCCGCCAGGGCCTTCGGGGCGCCTGGCAGTTGGCCATCAGACTCGTCTGGGGACAAAGGCTCGTCTGCCGCCACCTGCCACACCCTCCCCCAGGCCCTCCCAAGAGGAGGAGGTGAGTCTGGGCGGGGCCTGAGTGAGGCCCCGGGACAGGGCCGGCCACCCGACCAGGCAGGCCCTCCGAACCCGGGCCCGGGGGTCAGGAGGCACCAGCCAGACCGCCTGGTTTAGAGGGGAAACCAAGGCACACGGGCAGGGGGTGGCTGGCCCAGGGTCACCATATGCGGAAGGGCTAGACTAACAGCCACCTCCGCTGATTCGGGGTCTGGGCCAAGCCGGCACTGGGCCCAGCGGTGCCCCAGGCACTGTCCCCATGGTACCGATGAGGAAGTGAGGACGGGGTCAGAAAAGAGCCTGGGTCTCACCACCAGGCGCCGCCAGAGGACACGGGACCAAGGACACGCCCACAGCCAGTGGGCCTGAGGCTCAGGGCGTCTCCCAGCCCCCGCGAGCCCGGCACACACACCCAGCGATGACCATGGCCCATGGGGACACTGCCCAGCCTGCCACAGGCGGTGATGCTGGGGAGGAGCCAGGGGCCTGAGCCGGAGGGTGTCCGTGAGTTGCCAGCCCACTTGGGTCAGGGGGACGTGCCCAAGCCCCCCTCGGCTACCCCCCAAGGCCCCACCCCTCCTGGGCCCGGGGGCACCCTCACCTTCTTGACGTAGAAGAGCAGCAACAGCTTGAGGATCTGCACGGCGGGCAGGAGAGGGGCGAAGAGGACTCCCAGCCTGGGGAGCGGAGGGTGCGGGCCAGGGCTGGGGTCGTGACCCTGGGCCGAACAAGCTGCCCGAGCCCTCTGCCCCAAGACCAGGAAGGACACAGCACGGCTGGCCGCAGACTGGGTGCCCTGGGGGGGCAGGGGGCAGGGCCCACGTCTCCCCAGGGTCCCAGGGTTGGGCCAGTGGGAGGCAACTAGCAGATGCTCACCAGGTCAGGGTCTGCCCATGAATCAGCTCCAGAACGTTCCGGGCAATGTCGAATTCGGGCTTGCCCCTCTTCAGCTTCTTCTCAGAGATGAGCCTGGGCGGAGGACTCAGCGGTCACTCAGCGGGGCCAGTTCTTGAGACCCGCCCCGGACCCTGCCCGTCACTCAGGAGGGCCAGTCCCGGACGCCCGCCCCGGTCCCTGCCCGTCGCTCAGCAGGGCCAGTCCCGGACACCTGCTCCGGTCCCTGCCCGTCGCTCAGGAGGGCCAGTCCCGGACACCTGCTCCGGTCCCTGCCCGTCGCTCAGCAGGGCCAGTCCCGGACACCTGCTCCGGTCCCTGCCCGTCGCTCAGGAGGGCCAGTCCCGGACACCTGCTCCGGTCCCTGCCCGTCGCTCAGGAGGGCCAGTCCCGGACACCTGCTCCGGTCCCTGCCCGTCGCTCAGGAGGGCCAGTCCCGGACGCCCGCCCCGGTCCCTGCCCGTCGCTCAGCAGGGCCAGTCCCGGACACCTGCTCCGGTCCCTGCCTGTCGCTCAGGAGGGCCAGTCCCGGACACCTGCTCCGGTCCCTGCCCGTCGCTCAGCAGGGCCAGTCCCGGACACCTGCTCCGGTCCCTACCCCTGAAAGGCACCCACAGCCAAGCTCATGTCCCTGCCCACCCCACTCGGGCGCCCGGCCGATGTCAAGGGAGACGGCACCTTGGGGCCCCGCCCTGAAAGGCTCTGCGTGCCAGCTGACCTCTCCCAGCCCTTTCTCTAAGTGGTACAGACACCCCCAGGTGGGAAGACGCACAGCGCGTCAAACACTTGAAATCTGTGTTGTTCCCGAATCCCCAAGCTCTCAAAGGAAACGAGGAAGGAGGGAAGGCCCGCGGTGGGGCGCCCAGCGGCCGCCGAAGCCTGGGCCCCGCTCCCTGCCCCTGCCCTGTCTCCTTCCCACACCTGACACCAGACCACACCACGGGGACACCCGTTTCCTCTCGGCCCAAACACGGGCTTCCTCCCGACTCCTGCCGTCCCAGGTTCCAAAGCTGTGTGGTGGAGACCTGAGGCCCTCCTCGGGGAGGGAGCCCGGAGCCCAGCGGGCGAGGGCGGCCGTGCTCGGACCCTCACCTCCACACCAGCTCCCCGAAGAGCGTGTCCAGCAGCGTGAAGATGAAGTCCATCACCATGAGCCGGTACAGCTCCTGACCCACGAAGTTCTCCCAGCACTGAACCAGACAAGACCTCAGCCCAGTGCCCGGGTGCCCCGGCCCCCTCACCCAGCCCATGGGGGGCTCCTTCTGCCTGCAGGCTATGAGGGGCCGCCCCGCGCCCCCACCCCAGGGCCTGCCGCAGCCCCTCCGTCTCCCCCAGCACCGCCCAGGCCACCCTCACCTGGTCCTGCAGGGCGTCCACCCTGCGGCCCAGCCAGTGGTAGCAAAGAATCCCCAAGATGACCATCTTGAGGATGAGGTTTCTGCGGAGGACGAGGGGCACGGAGGTGAGGGGGAGGGGCCTGTCCGACACGGCCGCACCCCGGCAAGCCTCCCCTGCCCCACCTCGCCACACACCTGCAGATCGCCACGTACACCTCGAGCACGGGAGAGTCGTGCCGCTCCAGGGCCGCCAGGCCGCGGTACAGGTAGGGGGCCCCCAGGTTGAGGAGGCAGACCACCAGGGGCAGGGCGAGCAGCAGCCCCTCCTGGTTGGCAGACACGGGGCTCTGCGAGGGCGGGAGAGGGGCAGCCGTCACACGGGCACCCCACCCATGGGCAGGGCCAGGCCCACTGATGGTCCCCTGCCCCAAGATACACCCACCCCAGGCTTCATGTCCAGACCACACAGGAAGTGGGCGGGCCACAGGTGTCGGAGAAAGAAACAGGAGATGAGAAAGTAAAAGGAAATAAACCGGAGCGTGTGAGACAGAGGGGGGGGGGGGGGATGAGGCCCTGAGGGCAGTGGCCTCCAGGGAGGGTTCAGGGACCCTGGGCTCCCAGGACAGGGGGCGGGGCCAGGCGGACTTCCTGCGGAGCAGGTGCCAGTCACCGGGACCCATTTCCATGCAGCAGGATTATGGCGGGACGGTGCCCCCCGAGCCTGCCCACCCCGTCCCTGCACCTCGATCAGGAACTCCGAGAAGGAGTAGACGGCCACGGTGCAGCCCAGCGTGGTTCCCAGACACAGCAGCCACACGAGCCCGAGCAGGCCCAGCTGGCGCAGCCGCCCACACAGGCTCCTGGGGCCTCGCTGCAGCTGCCACTCGGCCAGCAGCTCCTGCAGGCGGGAGGCCGGCGTCACCTCGGCGCAGCCGCGCAGGCAGGCCTGGAGGGACCGGGTGCCCACCCCCAGCGCCACGGCCTGGCCCTCGCTCTGGGCCGTCTCCAGCCTCTCAGAGCTCAGGACTTGGACCCGAGGCTGTGCCCTGCCCTCGATCCCACCAGCCCCATGTCCCATCCTGAAGCCAACCCCAACTGCTCCCACTCGTCCTCTGGCCCCGGAGCTGTCCTGCTGGGGGTCCCAGGGGAGCTCCCTGAGGGCAGTGAAGGCGTTAGCCAGGTGGAGGCTGTGAGCCCCCCATGCAAATCCTGCGGCACAAACCCCAGAAAGGCGAGAGTTTCCGTGAGGCCCAGCTTGGCGCCGTCTCACCCTGCGGCCTTGGGCAAGGGACTAAACTTCTGTGCCTCAGTTTCCTCTCTTACAGCACGGGAGGTAGCAGTCCTTACCCTGGGCTACTGCGGCAAGCAACCAGCAAGAACCCCTCGGGCCTCTCCCCCCAGAACCAGAGGGCACAGGGACCCCAGAAGCCCCAAAGCAAACCTGACCCTCCCCCACTGTGAGCAGAAGTTTCTGTTGACAGGACTCCTGCATGTCCAAGGGCCACAGGCGCTCACACTTGCCGAGGAGAGGCAGACCTGGGAGCGTGTGGGCGGGAGGCAGGACGGGTGGGGGGAGCGTTTGGGAGCTAACTGGAATCTCTGGAACTGGGGCACACGAGACAGGTCACTGGCAGCAAGCAAAGATCCCCACCCCCACGTCCAGCCCACAGGCACTCAGCCCTGGCTGTTTGGTCCTCAACGGACCTGGACCGGGTCTTCAAGAGCTTAGAGGGCTAGAACGGGGTTCCAGGGACTCGGGGGGACTCAGCCCTGGCCCCTGGGAACCCTCACCTTCAGCTGGGTCCGGATGTTGTCGTGCTGGAGGCGGGAAGCCCATTTCTGAGTCACCTTGTGGTCCCAGGAGCAGAAAACAGTGATGGCATGGGCCCCCAAGGTGCTGCCTACCCGGTAGCTCTCTCCAAAAGAGTGGGACATGCTGTGAGGAACAGAGTGGAGAGGGGGTGAGGATGAGGGGCGAGGGAGCCAGGGAGAAGGCAGCGGACACTCCCTGCAGCCAAGAGCCACCGCCCACTGGGAGGAGCCCTCCTGGCAAGGATCAGAGGGTCGCTCCAGGGCCCCCACCTCCCTGCCCAGCTCTCGGCTTCCCGGTGTGGACCTCTGTCCTCTCTAGATCAGCCCTACTCAAATAGGGTGGCCACCCGTCCAGTCGTAAGTGGTAGAAGAGGGACGGGCGCCGGTCCCCACTGATGGGCCCCTGCGCCTATTCGGACGTGGCTGCAGGAGACGCTGACTCACCTCAGGCCCTTTGCACTGCCTCTGCGGATAACCGAACACCTTCCTCTCCTGCTTCACTGCCCATTGTACTGAACCTCGGCCTCGGAGGCCAGCGCACTTCCCCTAGGAAACCAGCCCGACTCCTCCCCAGGGCTCCAGACACACCCGGCTCCCATGTTTCCCAGCTTCCTCACTGAGGTCTTCTCCCCCGACAGCGAGTTCCTCGAGGACAGTCGCCACGCTCACTTAACTTCCTGCCCTGGGCAAGCACCGTGAGTTTGTGGAGTGGAGAGGTGGGTGAATGAAAGTGTGGGTGGGGGGAGGGAGGGAGGGAGGGAGGGAGGGAGGGAGGGAGGGAAGGAGGGAGGGAGGGAGGGAGGGAGGGAGAAGGGATTGCTCCATGGTGGGTAGCTGAATGAATGGGTAGCTGGATAGATGAAAGGATGAAGTAATGGATGGATGGACAGACAGAAGGATGGATGTACAGATGGATAGGTGGATAATGATGGGTACATGAAGTGATGGGTAGATGGATGGATGGATGGATGGATGGACAGATGAATGGATGAACAGATGATAGATGGATGGACAGATGGATAGGTGGATGGATGGATGGACAGATGAGCGGATGGACAGATGATAGATGGATGGACAGATGAATGGATGAACAGATGATAGATGGATGGACAGATGGATAGGTGGATGGATGGATGGACAGATGAGCGGATGGACAGATGATAGATGGATGGACAGATGAATGGATGAACAGATGGATGGATGAATGAACAGGTGGATAGATGAACGGATGGATGGACAGATGAGCGGATGAACAGATGGATGGATGAATGAACAGATGGATGGATGAATGAACAGATGGATGGATGAATGGACAGATGGATAGATGAACGGATGGATGGACAGATGAGCGGATGGACAGATGATAGATGGATGGACAGATGGATAGATGAACAGATGGATGGATGAATGAACAGATGGATGGATGAATGGACAGATGGATAGATGAACGGATGGATGGACAGATGAGCGGATGAACAGATGGATGGATGTATGGAAGGGAGGGAGGGAGGGAGGGAGGGAGGGAGGGAGGAAGGACGGACCCATGGGTGGGTGGCTGAGTGAACGAGCAGCTGGGTAGAAGGAAGGACGCCGTAGTGGTGGATGATGGGTGGACAGAGTGGTGCTGAGTCAGGGCCTGTGGCGGGGGCCGTTACCTGTACACCAGGGTGAGGCAGGTGATAAAGAAGGCTGCGCCTATGGTGAAGAGGTAGGCCAGGGGCATGTTGTAGGGCAGGCTGGTCGCCTCAGGGGCACACTGGCTGCCATCCAGTGGACCGGCACACCACTGGTTCAGGGTGGCGTTGCTGTAGTAGCCGTAGTACAGGACAGTGTCATTGAACCGGCCCTGTGGGGAGGAGGCCCAGCCAAGTCAGGCCTCAAGGGGCAGAGGGAGGGCAGCCAGGGGAGGGCCAGGGCCGGGCCAGCAAGGGCAGCAGAGGTAGACAAAGGCCTTGGCCATCCCAGGGCCTCCCAGGCCCACCTGGACTCACAGCACAGGGTTGGGGGTCTCCCTGGGGAGGCTGGGACAAGAGGGTGCCCCACAGCCCCACCACGCCCTCACCCCGCCCAGGAGCAGCTCCCGGCCGGTGAAGGCGGGTGCCGAGCCCTGGGGCGCCGGCGGGAAGGCGGCCTGCGGGCCCACGATGAACGCCAGCAGGGGGAGCAGCAGCAGCGCGTTGAAGGCCAGGAGGGTCTTGAGGAACAGGAAGTAGGAGAGCACGCTGGAGCCGAACTGGCCCCCGATCCGCTTCAGGGCGTAGTGCCAGGGCACCAGGGCGTGCAGCCCTGACAGCAGCCTCAGCCCCAGGTGGTGCAAGGCCTGTGGGGCAGCAACAGGGAGCTCAGGACTCTGATGTGGAGGTGCGGGGGCAGGAGCGAGAACACTGCTGGGGGACGGGGTCATGCGCGGCACCAGAGCTAGGCTGAAGGCCAGGGGACCCCAGGAGCAGGTCAGCGGAGGAAGGATGGGTGGCCACCCCCAGCCCACCTGGCACCCGCCCCCCCCGACGGAAGCCCCCAGAGGCTCTTACCAGGGCACAGGCGTAGCGGAGCTGGCTGCAGCAGGACAGGAGCCCGGGCCGGCCCAGCCGCGGCTTCCCCCTCGGGGTCCGGGCCTCCTCTCTGCGGGCGGAGGCAGCGTCAGCGCTGGACCAAGTTGGGGCCCGGCCCCTCCCGGGACCACCCGCCGCAGGCTCAAGGCGCCCCTCGCCCACCGCCGGGCACTGACCGCAGGCAGCGTTTCTCCGCCAGGCTGAGTGGCATTCCCCGGAGCAGGTGGTCCTGCTGGGCCGCCGCCAGGCCTTGCAGCTCCTTCACCAAGAGGACTCGCTTCTCTGCAGGGAAAGGCCCAGGGAGTCCTGTAGCCCCCCACGCCCCCTCCCTGCCTCCCGCCGCTGTGGCCATGACCCTGGACAGGCCTGCCAGCTGCCCCCGCCCACCTGTCTCACGCACCCACCCTGAAACCTCTCCAGTGCCCCCTCTCCTGGACCCCCACAAGCACCACGCTCCGACACCCAGTGACCCGCGCCCCATCCGCCCTGACCAGTGCAGGGGTCCCAACCCCGACCCTGCGCCCACCACTTCCGCTACACCAGCCCTCGTGGGGAGAGCAGGCACCGCAGGACCTGCAGATCCTGGATGGGAACCGGGGTGCTCGCCCTCCTCACCTCCCGCCCTGGGTGGGGGAGGCTACTTCAACCCCCATTTACAGCTAAGAAACGGCCCCTGACACGCTGACTGCCTGACCTGGTCACAGAATGAAACCGAGATGCTCACCCGGACCCCAGGGCCCCCCGCACTGCTCTGTCACCCCCCCGTGGAAGACAGGGGTAAACTGGAAGAGGACACAGCAAGGCCCTGAGAAAGTTCCCCAGAGTCCACAGGGAACAGCCCCGAGGTCTGTATCAGGGACAGCCTCAGACAGCCCATGAGAGCGGGCCCTGATCCCTCGACACACTCCCTGTCCCCCAGCCCCTCCACACTGGCCTCCGTGGTGCTCAGACAAACCAGGCACGCCCCCTGCCTCAGGGCCTTTGCACATGCCCCCTCTGCTCTAGTGTCACTTCCTCCAGGAAGACTCCCTGGCTCCCTCTAGGCTGGACACTTCCAGGATGCTCTCCCAAAGAGCGCCTTCCCTCAGTTGCCCTCGTCTAAGCTTTAATCGCCTGCTTCACATACTTGGTTCCTCTCTGACCACTGGGCACTCGGGTCTGCCTACCACCATCACAACCGAAAGCTGAGGCCCGTGTCACAACACTGCCGCGCAAAGGACACGGGGTAGGTGAGCAAAGATTCTGAGTGCCCGCCTGCCGGAGCCGAACACCTCACAGCCCCAAAGGCCCCCTTCTCTGCCCCAGGGGCAGGGACAGCGAGACAGGGCACCTTCCACTAAAGGGCCTCCCGGCTGGGGGCCTGCAGGCAGCCCACTGGGAAGCGGTCCCGGGGTCTGCTGCCCCAGCCCCTCACCCTGGCCAGCCTGACCTGCTCCCCACCGAGGCCCCAGCCCCCGGGCACTCACCCTCCTCCTCAAGGGTCACGGAGTCCAGTTCCAGGTCATAGAGGCGGAGGCTGGGCCAGGCCGAGCGCCCCAGGACCCGGAGCTGAGGCCTGCTGGCGCGCCGCCGCAGCCGCACCGAGCGGTTGTAGTACTGGGAGATGATGGCGCCCCGGCTGCGGCCTGTGGGGCACACGAAGGCAGCGGGCAAGTCCCTTTATAAGAGACCTCAGGCCTCCTAGGCTCCCAGGAGCCTATTTTTATCCCCGTGACAATCCTGGAGTCATTTTTAGAACCCAGGAGGCCGCAGGGGTCTGCGCGGGGCTCCGGGCAGCAGGCCGGGTGGGGCGGGAGCTCAGAGGGCCTGGCTCTGAGGGACACAGGTCCCCTGCAAACCCCAGCCCACCCCAGGGGCCGGCGTCTGGGACAGAGGGTGCCACTCACCAATGGTGCGACTGGGCATACTGGCCAGGATCCGGAGTGTGGCCGAGCTGTACACAGTGGCCCCCTCGGGTCCCAGGAAGGCCTGGTGGTGACCGCCTGTGAAGCAGAGAGCTTGTTCGGAAGGCTCAGGGACCTGCTGGCCCGCAGGCCCCACCGATCCGCCCACTCCAGGCCTGGGAGGCTGCAAGGCTCAGGGCCCAGCTCACACCGTCCCAGCACCTGGGCCTGGGCCAGGTGGGCTCACCTGAGGCCCCCAGGGCTCCGGCCCCCGGCCCCATGGACGGCAGCCCCAGCCCCTCCTCTGCGGCCCACTGACTCTGCTCCTGGATGAGCTGGCAGAAGGAGTGGTGTACCTCGCTCTCGTCGCAGGGGCTGGGCTCCTGGCTGCTGGAGCGAGAGAGGGGTGGGGGTCTCCCTTGGGCTGACCCAGTCACCCCAGCTGCCTGCCCCTTCCAAAGGCCTTGGTCCGGACGGCCTCTCCTTGGGGTGGTTCATCCCAGCCCTTAACCCCACAGCCCCAGAGCACTTACCCCAGGTCCTCTGGGGTCTCAGGAACATTGAGGACAAAGGCCATGTCTGCTGCCCACGCCCTGCCCGTCTGCAGACCTAGAGTAGTTCAGAGCCTGGCCGCTCGCAGCCCCTGAGTCCTCCTGCTGCCCATCTGATGAGACAGGGCGCATTGTCCCATACTCGGCCCCTGGCTCCAGGCCAAGCCGCCCGCTCCCCGGGGACTGTGGGAGGTGCCCTCACAGCCCAGGCTGCCTGCGCCCCTGCCCTGGCCCCCATCCACAGCCAAACACGTGATCAGCTGAGTGGGCCCAAATAAACTCAGAATGGACTGAAGGACACCCCCTTTCGGCGCCCGGGAAAGGAGGCGGGAGGGACAGAGGAGAGAAGGGAGTTCCCCGTCGGTTTGCTCAATGGTGCCAGTGCCTGGGAAATGGGGAAGGGGTGGGGTGCTGTGGGCACCGCCCTCCATCCCTAGGGTTCTGCCCCAAGGACACCACCCTCTTGGTGAGAAAGGTCAGGGCAGCTCTGAGACCTTCCCAGGGCCGGCCCTGTAACCCCACTGCACTTCCTCTCGAAGGAAGTCCTCGCCCCGCCCCCACCTACCTCCTGTAGCTGGGCCCCCACCCAGCCAGCATCCCCCCAACACACACGCACACGCCGTGGTTACCAAACCCTCAGCCTGCAAGGATGTAAGGCAGACAGTTTTCAGGAGACTAACCTCCCCCCCATCTGTCCCCAGGGCCATCCAGGGCCAGCGCAGCTGGCGGGGGCAGGGTGCTGAGCTTTAAACAGGCTGCCTTTGTCTGCGCAGAGGGCTCTGCCGTCACCCGGGACAACTGGGACCAGGGTGGCCTTGTCTGGGCTCTTCACCCCGTGGGATTGAGGCTGGAGAGCAAACTCCCAGCCACCAGCTGACCCCTGCAGGATTCGGCTCAGCAGGAGGGTCAGCCCCGCTCCCCAACCTCCCGCTCCTGCCCCCACTCCCAGAAAGTTCAGCACTCAGGAAGGCTGGCTTTGCTCAGAGGGACTTCCCTGAGGGACACCAGGGTGCCCAGACAGCACGTCCTGCTAGGGCTGTGCCCAGACAGGGTCCTCACTTAGGGGCGTCCAGGACGTCGTCTCTGAGCCCAGGTCCCCGCAGTCCAAGCCCTTCCCCTTCCGTCCGTCCGGCAGGAGCACAGTACGGGAAACCAGCAGAGGGTTCGGGTAGGTTCCACCCTCAGCCTGGAAAGGCGCTGGACAGGTGCCAGTGGTATGCGTCCCAGCCCAGTCCCTGAAGCTGGGATCCTTCACACGGACCCTCCCGTGCCCAGATCCACAGGCGTCCTGACTCACCCCTTCTCCAAACAGCAAAGCGGGTGGGAGTGGGGTTGGGAGGAGCAGGGAGGTGGGGTGGTCTATGGCCTGGTCCCAGCAGCCCTCGCCGGGACTGACTGCCCAGGACTGACTTCCGGCTGGCACCAGGCACCTGGCACCTGGCACCCTCCTTCAGGTTCGGGCAGGCCCAGTGAGTTCCCAGGTGCACCGTTCCTAAGCCCTGAGCCAGGTGGGGAGGGGCAGGGAGGGTCCCTTTCCAGGAAGCCCAGAGCCCCTCAACACTGCTGCCGTGGCTCCCCCACTCCCTGCAGGCGGTCAGCGGTACCCGCCTACCCACAGCCTTCCGGAGAGTCAAACCAGGGACACCCAGGCCACCCCAGGGAGGAAACTCGGCCCAGTGGCCCCAGGGGCCCAAAGGAATTCGGAAGGGGTGGAGCCAGGGAGCCAAAGGGGCTGGGAGGACGCGGGCACCGCCCCCGAGCCCCAGGTTAGGGGCACTTACCTGGGAGACGCCGGGAGGAGGGGCCCTGCACCAGGAAAGGGTGCGGGAAAGAGCCACTGGGCCCTGCGGTCTGGGCTCCACCACCTGGGGGCGGGACCAAGGCCCAGGGGCCGACCCAGCACCAGAGGGAGCTGCACCACCCAGCCCGGTCCACGTGGTGGCAGGCCTAGGCGCTCAAGACCTGGCTGGGCTCCGGGGCACACTCCACCCCTACCCGAGGCCCCTCCAGCAACTGCGCCCCTTCCGTGCTGCGGCCACCCCTCCGCGCACCCCACCCTGAGGCCTGAGCAGGGTGAAGGCTTCAATGTCTGTGGGACTCAGTTTCCCCAGGTTTCACATGGGGACAGTCATGGCAAACCCGCTCACTTCCAGGGCGTTTATCAAAACAACAGGGTGCTACCCAGTGCTACCAAACCCCAACAGCACACCACCTTGTGACACCAGATTGGGTCACCCCTTCCTTTTGGCAAACCCTGCCCCAGGCTGGCTGGCAGAACGGGGGTTATTTCCCCAGGCCTGGTCTGGGCGTGCCCTCCCCTGGGGATCTGCACTTCCTGTGTGCCCCTCGGAGGAGGGGCAAGATGGGGAGGCTGACCCTGTGTGACTGTCCCCACTGCTGTTCTCGGTTATTCCTCACAAGCCAGGGACATAAGCACGGATGTCCCTAGCTCACAGACGAGGCAACCGAGGCTGAGTGGTCAATCGGCCCCCAGGTGTCATCCACCAGGCCTGTGCCCCGTCCCCTGGGAACCCCGGAGAAGCCGGCCTGGAAAGCCTGGCAGAGAGCCAGAGGCCCCGTGGACCTGAGGCCATGGGGGTGTGGACAGTGGGGGAGGACATCCCTGCCCGGAGCCCTGAGGCGCGCAGGGTGAGAGTGAGCAGGAAGAAGTAAAGACAGGAGGCCCCAGGGGCAAGAACAGTGGACAAAGACAGTGATGCCTTTGGAGGGGAAGGGTCCTGGGGCTGAGCTGGCGCAGGGAGGTGCCGGGGCGGGCTCTTTTGCGGCAGTCACTGGGGTCCTCAGGGGGGGAACCTCAGGCTGGATCTTGGCAGAAGGCAGCTCAAAATGGAGCCGGTCTCTCCTCCCACTGCTCCCCACCTTCCTGCACACCCCTGTTCCCGCCTCCTGTACTCGCATGACCTCAGGCCAAACTTGAAGGTCACCTCCTCCGGGGAGCCTTCCTGGACTGAGCCCTGTTGGAGCACTTGCCATGTACACTTGCCACTCGGTCTCCACTGCCCCGACTCTAACCCCACCGTGCGCCCAGCACCACCACCCCACCTGGGGCTGGCGTAGAGGCCGGACTTGGAAAACCAGGAGGGGCCAGGCAGGGAGGCAGAAAAGACACTGGAGCTAGACGACTGGGTGGGAGGCCTCCCTGGGGTCCCAGGAGACAGGAAGGGCCAAGGTGGCTCTTAATCACTTACCAGGGGGCCGGGCACTGGGCCCAGGCCTTGGCGAGAGCCAGTGACAGAGGCGGGAAGTTAAGAAATAACAGCCCGAAGTGAGGGGCCCGCCCGTTAAGTCGCTATCGCACTGAGGGAAGCCAGGGCCACGGCGGCCACTGATAAGGGCCCGGCCCCTGCGCCCTGCGCCCTGCGCCCGCTGCCCCGCGGGTCTGGCGTCGGCTGGGGGGCGGAAGGGAGCAGCCCGGGCGAGTGGGGCTCTGAACGGCCACCGGGAGGCCCTGGGGGCTGGGGAGCGGCGCCAGGAGCCAGCGCCCCGGAGTCGGCCGGGCCTGTTCGGGTACCACACGGGGAGGGGAAGGACCGACAGTGCCCAGCGCGCACCGGGGGGCCGAGCTGCCCGCGCCTCACCTGCCGCCTGCGCCCCGCGCCCTGCGCCCCGCGCCCGCAGGAAGTGCCTGCTTCGGTGGCAAGCAGAGGAAACCGCCGGAGGTGGGGGCGAGGGGGAGAGGGAGGAGACCGCGGGGGGAGCTGGGGTTCCTGTCATGTGACCCCTCCCCTGGCTCATCACAGCCCTGCCTGGAGTGAAGGGAGCCGGTCTGAAGAGGGTCTCCTCTGGCCACTTGTTCCTTTGTCCCCAAGTGAGCGGGGTGCCGCCTGGAGGGGCGGGGGTGGAAGACAGATTTGAGGCCGAGGAGCTGCTGGGGCCCGGGCGGGGGTTAGAGCCGCTGCACCGGCAGCAGAGGGGTCCCGTCCGCCCCTTCCCGCGGCTGGGACGGTAGCCACGCCTCCTCCTCTGGGGCCCGGTCCTGGGGGCAGAACCGAGATAGACGACAGCACGTCCGGATCCGGGGTGCTGCAGGACCCCGGGTCCTAGAAACGGGCTGGGGACAGGGACGGCTTCCCAGGGGCAGAGTCCGCACGCGGAGAGGAGCAGGAATTGCCTCTGGCCCAGGGCGACCGGGAGGCCCGCAGCACAGGTAGCAGGCGAGTGCGGCGCCTTGGGGGCCTTGGCGGCCTTGGCTTCGGCTGTGAGGTTCCCATCTGTGCCCTTCCGACCTGTCTCCCCATTCCACAGACAGACAAACTGAGGCCTTGGCCACGTGTTGCTTTGGGAGGTGGATGGGGACTGAGGCCAGGTCTCTTCCAACAGGAATCGTTGTCTTCATTTCTGAGCATGCCCCGGCCGAGACCTTGAGGCTCACGGGACAGGCGCCCCACATCCTTCCTGGGAGGGGATGCTGCAGCCCTGGGCCCCGGCCCCGACGCCCCCAGCCGAGATGCTGCGGCAGTGGTCGGTGCAGTCGGAGCCAGGGGTCGCGGAGCTGTGGGAGCAGGAGATGGAGCGGCTGTTCTCCTCCCGGGAGCCCGTGCGGACTCTGCCCTACGCCATGGACGACAAGCGCTTCATCCGGTGGGTGCCCAGGGTCAGGGTCAGCCAAGGCCGGTGCCAGAGGGTGGAAACCACCTGCTTAGCAGCTCTGCCTGGCCGAGGTGGACACGGCGGGTGACTCAGGGACGCCCATCACCACCCTGTCCCAGGCAGCTGCGGGAGCCTGAGGGGGCGAAGGCCTCATGCTGGCAGCGGTGGCAGCAGAGACAGAGGACTGCAGGGTGGCGCCTGCAGGAGGCAGCACAGCGGCTGGCCCAGGGCGTTGGACTCTGGAAGGGGGCACTCTACGAGATTGGGGGTAAGACCTGCACCCCACCTCCTGCCTCTCCTCTCTGGAGTCTCATTGCTCAGTTTAGAAATGAGGAGGGCATCCCGTTGCCAATGCCCCCCTCTGCCCCACGAACCAACCCCCCACCCTCACACCCCTTCACACCAGGGATGGGGCCCAGACATTGGTGGTTGACAGCACCCCCTGGTGGCTGTCAGCGGTACTGTTAGGAGGCCTCCAGGATGGGACTGCTAAAGGGAGGTCTCAGAGGCCGATCCATCACCCGGGCCCCGCTGGGTTGGTCAGCCCCGGGATTCTAGCTGAGCCTGGGCTCAGTGCCTCCCTGGCCCACCTGCTGTTCTCTCCACAGGCCTATTCGGCACCGGAATTCAGTCCTACTTCACCTTTCTTCGCTTCCTCCTGATCCTCAACCTGCTGACGGTGCTTCTGATCTCCAGCTTTGTGCTGCTGCCCCTGGTCTGGTTCCGCCCCCCAGACCCAGGCCCCGCCCCTAACTCCAGTGAGTGCCTGGCACCTGAGGGAACACTGACTCGGAGCCCAGCTGCACCCTGGCTCAGAGTGTTGGGACAGCCCTGACTGTGTCCCAGCCCTGGGCATCCTCCTGCTAGGGTCCAGCCCTGGAGCCTTTGCGTGGCGTGCCTCCGGACACAGCCTCAGGGCCCTGCCCAGGCCTCCCTGGGGGGTGTGCCTTGGGGCCTCTTTCCCACTGGCCCTCTCTCTGTCCTCAACAGCCCTCCAGTGCCCTGGTGGCCTCCCGCCCCACGCTGATATTACCAATTTCCACAATCAACTTTGGAATGTTTTAACTGGCAGGGTAAGTGGGCTCCATCCTGGCTATGGCTCCAGAGGGCTGGGGGACCCAGGGGACTGGCCTCAGGGAACCCCAGTCTAAGTGCACCCCCACCTCTCCAAGGACATTTTGGCTTTTAGGGGGACAATCTTACATAGTCGGGCTGGCTGGGCCAGTGATGGGGTCAGAGAAAGGCTGAGGCCGCTGCACACAGCCCAGGCCTGGGGCGCGTGCCCACAACCCTCGGCGCCCCGCTGGTGTGGGAGTGTAAGGGACAGGGGACCTGTGTCTGGACCTCTGAGATAAGCACTGCTGCACCCTCGTCCCTGAAAGCCCTGAAGGGTGCCTTGGCCAGCTCCTGTGTTCCAGTCCTTTCTCATCCTCAGACGGTGTGGCCCTGGGCACGTTGCCTAACCCCTCTGAGTCTGTGCAAGGAGGGTTCCCTCGCTCGCTCCCCATGGGGTTACTGTGAGAGTTCACCAGCACTTAGCCGGGCAGGGACTTGCGCTCAGTGGTCCTCATCTGTGTCCCCAGGCCTTCAACAACACCTACCTCTTTTATGGCGGGTACCGGGCGGGGCCCGAGAGCAGCTCCGCGTACAGCGTCCGCCTGGCCTACCTCCTGAGCCCGCTGGCCTGCCTGCTCCTCTGCTTCTGCGGGGTTCTGCGGCGGTGAGTGGGCCCCTGCCGCCACCTCTTAACAGGGGCAGGCGTCTTCCCTGCTCACCCCTTCCCGAGCATCGTAACCCCTAAATTGGCAGGAAGGTCCCGGCTCTAGTTTGAGAAGGCTCATAGGTGCTTCCAGGGTCCAAACTCTGTCCTCAGCTGCAGGCCTCAGGGTCAAGGGCCCCTGCCTCTGGCTCCCCACCCCCCACCCAGGCTGAGGCCAACGGCTGCCCAGAGGGCTGCCAGGGGCTTCCCGCCCAGAGCCGAGCCGAGCCGAGGCTGAGGCTGGCAGGCAGGAGGTCCCCTCCCCCACAGGCCCTGACCTCCTGTCCCCCCAGGATGGTGAAGGGGCTGCCTCAGAAGCTGCTCCTGGGTCAGGACTACAGGTCCCCTCTGAGCGCCAAGGTCTTCTCCTCCTGGGACTTCTGTATCCGAGGGCAGGAAGCGGCCGTCATCAAGAAGCATGAGATCAGCAACGAGTTCAAGGTGTGCATGAGGGTGTGTGAGTGTGCCCGCGTGAGAGCATGTGTAACTGTGTGCATGAGGGTGTGTGAGTGTGCCCGCGTGAGAGCATGTGTAACTGTGTGCATGAGGGTGTGTGAGTGTGCCCGCGTGAGAGCATGTGTAACTGTGTGCATGAGGGTGTGTGAGTGTGCCCGTGTGAGAGCATGTGTAACTGTGTGCATGAGGGTGTGTGAGTGTGCCCGCGTGAGAGCACGTGTAACTGTGTGCATGAGGGTGTGTGAGTGTGCCCGCGTGAGAGCATGTGTAACTGTGTGCATGAGGGTGTGTGAGTGTGCCCGCGTGAGAGCATGTGTAACTGTGTGCATGAGTGCGTGAGTGTGCCCGCGTGAGAGCATGTGTAACTGTGTGCATGAGTGCGTGTGAGTGTGCCCGCGTGAGAGCATGTGTAACTGTGTGCATGAGTGCGTGAGTGTGCCCGCGTGAGAGCATGTGTAACTGTGTGCATGAGTGCGTGTGAGTGTGCCCGCGTGAGAGCATGTGTAACTGTGTGCATGAGGGTGTGTGAGTGTGCCCGCGTGAGAGCATGTGTAACTGTGTGCATGAGGGTGTGTGAGTGTGCCCGCGTGAGAGCATGTGTAACTGTGTGCATGAGGGTGTGTGAGTGTGCCCGCATGAGAGCATGTGTAACTGTGTGCATGAGGGTGTGTGTGTGTGCCCGCGTGAGAGCATGTGTAACTGTGTGCATGAGGGTGTGTGAGTGTGCCCGCGTGAGAGCATGTGTAACTGTGTGCATGAGTGCGTGTGAGTGTGCCCGTGTGAGAGCATGTGTAACTGTGTGCATGAGAGTGTGTGTGTGCCCGCGTGAGAGCATGTGTAACTGTGTGCATGAGTGCGTGTGAGTGTGCCCGCGTGAGAGCATGTGTAACTGTGTGCATGAGTGCGTGTGAGTGTGCCCGCGTGAGAGCATGTGTAACTGTGTGCATGAGTGCGTGTGAGTGTGCCCGTGTGAGAGCATGTGTAACTGTGTGCATGAGAGTGTGAGTGTGCCCGCGTGAGAGCATGTGTAACTGTGTGCATGAGAGCGTGTGAGTGTGCCCGCGTGAGAGCATGTGTAACTGTGTGCATGAGAGTGTGTGAGTGTGCCCGCGTGAGAGCATGTGTAACTGTGTGCATGAGTGCGTGTGAGTGTGCCCGCGTGAGAGCATGTGTAACTGTGTGCATGAGAGCGTTTGAGTGTGCCCGTGTGAGAGCATGTGTAACTGTGTGCATGAGAGTGTGTGAGTGTGCCCGCGTGAGAGCATGTGTAACTGTATGCATGAGTGTGTGTGAGTGTGAGTGTGCCCGTGTGAGAGCATGTGTGCATGAGAGTGTGTGAGTGTGCCCACGTGAGAGCATGTGTAACTGTGTGCATGAGAGTGTGTAAGTGTGCCCACGTGAGAGCATGTGTAACTGTGTGCATGAGAGTGTGTGTGTGCCCGCGTGAGAGCATGTGTAACTGTGTGCATGAGTGCGTGTGAGTGTGCCCGCGTGAGAGCATGTGTAACTGTGTGCATGAGAGTGTGTGAGTGTGCCCGCGTGAGAGCATGTGTAACTGTGTGCATGAGTGCGTGTGAGTGTGTCCGTGTGAGAGCATGTGTGCATGAGAGTGTGTGAGTGTGCCCATGTGAGAGCATGTTTGCATGAGAGTGAGCGTGTGAGTGTGCCCATGTGAGAGCATGTGTGCATGAGAGTGTGTGAGTGTGCCCACGTGAGAGCATGTGTAACTGTGTGCATGAGTGTGTGAGTGTGCCCATGTGAGAGCATGTGTGCATGAGAGTGAGCGTGTGTGTGTGTGCCTGCGTGAGAACATGTGTGCATGAGAGTGAGCATGTGTGAGTGTACCCGCGTGAGAGCACGTGTAACTGTGCATGAGAGTGTGTGTGAGTGTGCCCGTGTGAGAGCATGTGTAACTGTGTGCATGAGAGTGAGTGTGACCCGTGCACACATGCGTACACAGGGCCTTACACGGGGAGGTAGGGGCTGTGCGGGGCGGAGGTGTGAACGCTCACCTTCTTCCCTGCGCGGTGCAAGATGGGGTAGTCTAGATGAAAGCAGCTGCCATACCTGGGCCTGTCCCTGCTCCTGTGTCACCCAAACCCTGCCTAGATCCTGGCAGCCTGTCACCCACGAACATTGACTCCCACTTCATGTACCACCCAGCCCAGCATCCCTACCTGACTGCCTCCGCCCCCACGACAGGTGGAGCTGGAGGAAGCCCGCCGCTTCCAGCTGGTGCAGGAGCAGACCCGGGCTCAGAGAGCCTGCCGTCTGCTCACCTACCTACGGGTCAACACCCTCAACGGGCTGCTGGTGGGCGGGGCCATCAGCGCCATCTTCTGGGCCACCAAGTACTCGCAGGACAACAAGGAGGTGCCAGGCAACTGATACGGGTTTACCTAATCCCGGCCAGAACTGTGGGAGGAGATGAGATGATGAGGAAACTGAGGTTCGGAGAGGTTAAAGCGATGCGCCCAGGTCACGGCCCAATCCGACTGGCTCTCCCTGTGGATGACCCTTGACCACCAGGCTGCCGCAGCCCATGGGCTTCCAGACCAGGGTTACCTGTGGGGGTGTCAGGGAGGGGGAGCCCCTGGGGCACCTCAGCCCATGCACCCTTCCCTGCTTTCTCCGCAGGAGCCTCTGTTTGTGTTGCTCCAGTACCTGCCCCCGGGGGTCATCGCCCTGGTCAACTTTCTGGGTCCTCTGCTGTTTGTCTTCCTGGTCCAGCTGGAGAACTACCCTCCCAACACTGAGGTCAACCTCACCCTCATCTGGTGAGTGCCACCTGTGGGGTGGCAGATGGGACCCCGAGGGAGGGCAGGGAGGGCTCAGAGGCACCCGAGGAGCTGAGCCCTGCTGCCCGTCTTGCTGTCTCCTGGCCCCAGAGGTCCCAAGCAGGGGAGGCAGGAAGGGCTTCTCAGGGCCTCAGACTGAGGTGCTCCAGTCCCGCCTCAAAGATTCAGAGGGGCCAGCGGCTGTTTTGCCAGAGGGTGTCGGGAACTAGCTTCACACAGAGGAAAACCAGGAACACGGATACGCAGTTCCCACAGGCCCAAGGGCTTACACCCCTTATGTGACCTGTGAAGTCACAACCATTCTCACCCCCTTTGGACAGGTGAGAAAACTGAGGTTCACAGGGACCAAGCCCCTCCGTCAAGGTCAAGCTCACCGTGCCTGCTGGGTGCAGGCTTAAACATACGCCCTCCTTTGCCCCCCAGGCTCTGCTCTGTCTCCCACTCCTGGCGAGGGTCCTGCACGGACCCGCAGCCCCTCCTTGGACCACCCTCATCTGAGCTCCATCTGCCACCCCACCCACCCTGCCTCCCAGCCTCCCTCAGAACCACTGTTAACAGCCTGTCATGTGTCAGCATTGGAAAGTCCATACTTAGGCCCTGGCCAGTTTGGCTCAGCGGTTAGAGCGTCGGCCCTCGGACCAAAGAGTCATTATTGGTTCGATTCCAGTCAAGGGCACGTGCTTCAGTTGCAGCTCAGTCCCTGGCCCTGGTCAGGGTGGTGCAGGAGGCAACCAGTCGACGTGTCTCACATTGATGTTTCTCTCTCTCTCTCTCCCCGACTCTCTTGCTCTATCTGAGGCTAAATGGAAAAATATCCTCAGGTGAGGATTATAAAAAAAGAAAAGCAGCCCTGGCCGGTTTGGCTCAGCGGTTAGAGCGTCGGCCTGCGGTCCAGAGAGACCCAGATTCAGTTCCCGCTAAGGGCATGTACTTTGGTTGCGGTTTGTCCCCGGCCCTGGTTGGTCGTGCGGGTGGCAGCTACTCGATGTGTCCCTTCACGTCGATGTTTCTCTCTCTCTCTCTTCCTCTCTCTCCCTCCTGCTCTATCTGAACAAAAAATGAAAAAATGTCCTCGGGTGAGGATAAAAAAAAAAGAAACGAAAACAAAAGTCCACACTTAGCTGTGACGTGTACCTGTTTGACACAAGGCAGTGTGAGTGGGCTGGGTGTTACCAGGCGGTGGAGAAAGGACGCTGTGGCCTGCAGTAAGGGTGTTAGAGGCCTGTCTAGGCCTGTGAGTCTCCAAGCTGGGTGTCAGGAAGGACGGCTGGGCTGGGCCGTGTTTCCCAGACTGAGTTAAAAACGGAACCCCTCGCACTTGAATCATCTGCAGACCAAGATTCTGGGGAACACCGCCACAGACAGCAGGTGGGACGGGGGCTGGGCTGTGGATTCAGAGGGTGCAGTTATCAACCACACCTGTATCCTGGGCCCCTCCCCTGACTCGGTGCCCTGCCCCCAGGTGTGTGGTGCTGAAGCTGGCCAGCCTGGGGATGTTCTCCTTCTCGCTGGGCCAGACCGTGCTGTGCATTGGCAGAAACAAGACCAGCTGTGAGTCCCACGGCTACAACGTCTGTGACTACCAGGTGGCTGGTGGCTCCATCAGGGCCTGTCCCCTTGGGTGTCTCCCCACCTCTTTGATCCCCCTGCCCCTTTGGTCTCCTTGTTCCTCTCCAGCACTCACCTTTGTGACAGGCGGGGGGTGGAGCTTCCCGTACTGGAGCACACCTCCAGGGGGTGCTGTTTCCTTACACCGGCTGTCAGGTTTCCCTGCATACATATATACTTCAGGCCCGGGTTTTAACTCAGCAGCCATATCAGACTCTGGGCAAGGCCCCTGTCTGCAGAGAACCCCCACAACGAGTGGGTGAGGGGTGGCTGTGACGGTGGGTGGTGACCCGGGCCATTCTGCCCCAGTGCTGGGAGAACTCGGTGGGGGAGGAGCTGTACAAGCTGAGCACCTTCAACTTCCTGCTCACCGTGGCCTTCGCCTTCCTCGTCAGCCTGCCTAGGAGGTGAGCCAGGTGGGGACACCCTGGGGGGACCCAGGCATGCCTGGGGGTGGCCAGTGGCTGCAGCCAAGGGTGGCAGTTCCACATGCGTGTGTCTCTGTTCTGCGTGCGGGATGGTCTGTGGCCATGACCATGATGGACGTGGTCCACACACTCATGCCCGGTGGTGATACCTGGACGCGTCCTGTGCCCAGGCTGCTGGTGGAGCGATTCTCGGGCCGGTTCTGGACCTGGCTGGGCCGGGAGGAGTTCCTCGTGCCCAAAAACGTGCTGGACATCGTGGCGGGGCAGACGGTCACCTGGATGGGCCTCTTCTACTGCCCCCTGCTGCCCCTGTTCAACAGCGTCTTCATTTTCTTCACCTTCTACATCAAGAAGGTGCGGGGTCACTGGCCGCACCTGGGTGGGCACCTTGAGTGGGGCTCACATCCTGCCTGCCCCCCAGTGTCACGTCCCTGGGCCTCAGACTCCCTGGTTTCTGCAAACGGGAGCTGACAGCCCCACCGTGTTGCTTGTTCCCCAGTACACCCTCCTGAGGAACTCCAAGGTGTCCCCTCGGAGATTCCGAGCTTCTAGCTCCACCTTCTTCTTCCAGCTGGTGCTCATCCTGGGTCTGCTTCTGGCCACGGTGCCCCTGGGCTATGTGGTCAGCAGGTGAGGGGAGCAGAGGGGCGGGAAGCTGAGGGGTGGGCGAGCGTCTCCTCACTGGGGCCCTGACCGGCCCTGCTCCGGCTCTGGCCCTTTCTCCGTAGCATCCGCTCCTCTCGGGATTGCGGCCTCTTCACCAACTACTCAGCCCCCTGGCAAGTGGTCCCGGATCTGGTGGACCTCCGGCTGTCACCCTTTGGCCAGCGTGCCCTCCACTACCTGGGCTCCCACGCATTCAGTTTCCCCCTCCTCATCCTGCTCAGGTACCTCTCAGGGTAGCAGGGATCAAGGGACGGGGCACCTGGGAGGGGGGTTCTTCCATGGACACTCCCAGCCTGTCCCATGGGATCTGGGAGCCAGACAAGCAAGGAGAACCCAGGGAGGCAAAGGCCGGGAATACGGAGCATGAGCCCCAAGGGAGGTGGCCTGGGGGTTCCACTTGTGCCCATGGGCAACCCCCTTGGGGCTTCACCTGTGAATTGGGCACCTAACCTGACCACTGGGGAAGCCCAGTGCCTGGCGCATGCTCTGAACACCTGCAGAGGTTATTGTCATTTAGGGGAGCGGGAGGAGCGGTGAAAGCCGTGTCTGCCAACCAGGCAGAGAGAAGACCCCACTTTTAAGAGACTCAGGTGGGGAGGGAGGAAGGAGGGATTCGACTGATCTTGGTTCCCCGTCTGTCCACAGCCTTGTCCTGACCGTGTGCGTCTCCCAGTCCCAGGCCAATGCGAGAGCCATCCGGGGGCTCCGGAAGCAGCTGGTGTGGGTGAGTGTCAACCGGGCTGGGAGGGGCCACCGACTGCAGGCGAGACCCCATCCGGGAAGTGTGGCCTCAGGCTGGGAATAGAAGGGGGGACGGTGGAGGGAGAAACCGGGCTAGAGGGGCCTCAGGCTGGGAGACGGAGACAGGAACCTGGCCTTGGACCTGGAGACAAGTGCTTAACAGGAGTGTGGCTGAGGGCGGGGCCGGGACGCTGCTGGGGGCGTGGTCTCGACCGGGCTAAGGCGGGACCGCGATGGGGCGTGGCCTCGCCGGGGAGAGGCGGGGCCTCCCTGGAGGGGCGGGGCCTCCGGCGGGGGGCGGGCAGTGGGTTTCGGAGGCGGATCAGCAGCTGGGGCGCTGACTGCTCCCGGCCTGGCCGGCTCGTGGGAGGCGGTGCTGCTCGTAACCCGCCGGTTGCTCCCCCGCAGCAAGTCCGGGAGAAGTGGCACCTGGTGGAGGACCTGTCTCGGCTGCTCACAGAGCCGGGCCTCGCTGACTCCGTGCGGCCCGAATCCCTTTACTCTCGATCTTCTTCGCACCAGCGATCCTTCTGCCCCGGATTCCCTTGCCCCGGCACCCCGGGTCCCAGGTCCCCCGAGGCCCCCAGATCCCCCGGAGCCCCCAGATCCCCCGGAGCCCCCAGGTCCCCCGAGGCCCCCAGATCCCCCGGAGCCCCCAGATCCCCCGGAGCCCCCAGGTCCTCACCCTCCCACGCGGATCCCGCCTGTAGATTTAGCTTCTCCAGCAGCGCGGAGCAGTAGCTCCCATCCCGCCTCTGCCCTGCCGGACCTACGGCCCCCACCTCGGCCCCAGAGTCGCCCTTGCCCCACACTCCTGCCCGACCGCCGCCGGGACCACCGACTCTCAGTGAGCTCCCCAAAGCGGGTTCACACACCCAAGGGCAGCAGGAGGAAACATGGAAACTTGTGTTTATAGTTTACATTTTTATTTCTTTAAATGTTCTGTTGATTGTTTTATAATGTGCATGATATATTAGTATAATAACCCATGAATACAATTTATAAATAGACATCCATTGGGAGTCCTCAGAAATTGTCTACCCTGGGAAGTGCCTTGGTGAAATTCGAGGATCTCCACCTGTGGGAAGGGAGGGCACACCCGCTCTGGGGACTTGCTGTGTCCTAACTGCACACTGTCCCCCACAACCTCCCGCTGGTCCTCCATCCGTGAGGCAGTTGAGACCCACAGAGGTGCCGTGGGCTAGGGGCACAGCTGGGATTTGAACCCTGGCCCTTGGTTCCCGCTGGGACCTAGCGGTTGTTCCCCACCCTGACCCCAAGGGCATACAGGGCTTACCTGAGTCACGGAACCGTGCGGAGTTGGCCTTGCCCAGCGGGACGTCTCACTGCCCTGTAGCTGACCCAGAACCCACCTCCACAAAGTGGCGTTCCCCGGGAACCAGAACAGAGGACCCCTGCCATGCCTCTGCCGGACCTGTTCTCCCGCCCTCTCCGCGCTGCCTTCAGGAATGGTGGGGGTGAAGGTATCCCTCCAGGGCCTGGAGGTGGCAGGGCGGAGATGCCACCCAAGGCTGGGTGTTTGATTCCTAAGCCTGTAGCAGCTCCCTTTCCGAAGCCTGAGACTGCAGCAGTTCTAAATCCACAGACCTCTCCTGGCCAGGGTGGCTCAGTGGTTGAGCATTGACCCAGGCACCAAGAGGTCGCCAGTTCGATTCCCAGTCAGGGCACATGCCCAGGTTGTGGGCCTGATCCGCAGCGGGGGGCATGCAGGAGGCAGCCATTCTCTCTCATCAATGTTTCTATCTCTCTCTCTAAAAATCAATAAAGAAAAATAAAATAAAAACAGCCCTGGCTGGTTTGGCTCAGCGGTTAGAGCGTCGGCCTGCGGTCCAGAGAGACCCAGGTTCAGTTCCCACTAAGGGCACGTACCTCGGTTGCAGTTTGTTCCCGGCCCTGGATGAGTCATGGGGGTGGCAGCCACTCCATGTGTCCCTTTCATGTCGATGTTTCTCTCTCTCTCTCTCCCTCCCACTCTATCTGAACAAAAAACACACAAAAAAATATCCTCAGGTGAGGATAAAAAAAAACAAAGAAAGAAATCCCAGACCACAGACGCGGAGAACACCTGGAAAGCTCAGTGCTGGCCCTGAGCCAGCGGCTCTGACGCTACTGACCCGGACGCAGCCAGCAGCCGGCAGCCGGCAGCCGGAATGAGGGCTTTCTGAAGCTCCGGTGACTTACCACAGCGGGGCTGGACTGCTTGTCCAAAGAACCGTCCGCAGGGGAGTCAGGAGAAACCCCACCACCTCCAGCAGGGGTCCAGCGCCTGGCTGTGACCAGAGCCCTCAGGCCGGGGATTCATATGGTCACTAAAGCCTTGGTGATGCTGCCGCTCCTGTCCCTGTCCTCACTCACCCAGCATCACGAGACCCATCAGTCTGTCAGCACGTGCTGGGCCCTGTTCCAGGGCCGGCTGGTGTTCAGTCTAGGAGGCCACCAGCCTGGCCCGCTGAGAGTGGCACATGCTAATTCGCAGCCTAGGGCCTGAGGCCTGGGGACTGGTTAGAAATGCATATTCTCAGGCCCCCCAAGGCCTCCTGAATCACAACTCTTTTTTTTTTCTTTTTTTCTGGTGGTACGTGCCCCTAGCAGGAACTGAACCCGGAACTTTCTGGTCCACAGGCCAACGCTCAACCACTGAGCCAAACTGGCCAGGGCTGAATCACAAACTCTTTTTTTTTAAATTTTTTTTTCCTTTATTGATTTTTAGAGAGAGAGGAAGTGAAAGGGGGAGAGAGATAGAAACATCGGTGAGAGAGAACATCGATTGGCCACCTCCCGCATCCCCCCCATTGGGGGTCAGGCCCACAATCCGGGGCATGTGTCCTGGCCGGGAATCAAACCGGTGACCTCTTGATGCTCAACCACTGAGCCACACCAGCCGGACTGAATCACAAACTCTTAAGGGTGGGGCTGACCTGTGGGTGATGATGGGCAGGTGCTAACGAGGGAGAACCGGTGCACAGGACCACAGGGGTCCTTTCCTTATCGCCTATGTCCCCCCAGTGATCATGCACTGCGAGCCGCCAGGTGCAAGGCCAGGCTTCCTGGGAGCTGGAGGGAAAACAGGCTTGGAGGACGCGGGGAAGTCAGCAGACTTGGCCTCAGCCCCCTCTGCCGGATTGTGGGGGTTAAATAAGCAATTGTTTATACGGTGTCCCTGGGGTGCCTTGCCCTTCCTCGGGGTGCGGTCCCTCCCTCCTCAGCTCAAGGGCGATGTTTGAGCTCAGCACCTGCTTGAACTCACTCCTGGGCTGACCAGGGGCCTCACCCAATCTGAGGTGAAATTTGGGCGCTGAGCCCAGCATCGGCGCCTACCAGGTGCCCAAAAGGTGGTTCTGAATGCACCAGCATGAGAAGGGTAGAAGTTGCCTGTCCACCCACCAATTCCCCAGCCTGTGGAGCTTAGGAGGGGTGCTCATGATCCCATCAGGTGCACCCCAATAATCTAGGATGACCCCCCACCTCGAACTCATCAGATTAAGAACTCAAGTCCTCCCTACCAAGTAACACATCCTCCAGGAGTTAGGACTCGGACATCTATGTACCCAGCAGGCCAGCTGCTCCAGGGCCCAGGCCTCCTAATCCCCTGTGGGTGTGGCAGAGCCGCTGTTCTGGGTCCAACCCTGTGCTGAGGCCCTGGGGCCTCTGGGTTATCTCCCTGCTGCAGGAGCATTCTGGGAGTCCCAGGGTGGGGGGTGCCCCTGACCAAGGGAACTTTTCTGAGCCTGGGCAGAGGGCTTTGCACTGACAGAGGCATGAGGCTCCTGCTGCTGTTCTGCTTGGCCTTGCTGGGTGAGCCCACTGGGGACATCTTGGGAGGGGCCGCTGTGCTGAGAGTGTGGGGTCCTGGGGGCCCAGAAGAGGGGGGACCTGAAGGTATGGACACCGCTGAAAGCATAGGACAGAGAGGGAAGGTTTGGGCTTGAGTCTCAGACCAGCCCCTCAGAGCATATGTGGCCCAGTCACTGCTTCTCCATTCCGGGCCCACTGTTTACACATCTGCAAAATGGGTTGATGATACTAATCGTGGGCTCAAAAGAGCTTTCGCGAGTGAAGATGAGTGATACGTCCTCGGCCCCCCATCTGGCCTCAGGAGGAGGCTCTCTGGGTGGACTCCAGCCTCCCCCCACCTGGGGCTCTTCTTACCACCCTCTCCACCTGCCCTGTCTTACAGCCTCCGGCAGCTTCTCCGTGGAGCAAAAGATTGGTGAGTAACCCCGCAGGCTGGAGGGAGAAGGGCCCCCACCATGGTGGGTACCTAGGCTGGGGGGAGGCTGGGGGTCTGCTGATGGACAGTCGGACAGTTCTAAAACCCAGCAGAGCCCTGGGGCGAGTGGACAGGAGAAGGCTGGGGAGGGGGCCTCCAGGGGACATGGGACGACGAGAGTGCTTGGCTTTCTGATGGGCTGTGTGTGCGCTGGGGGTGGGGTGCCCCTGGGCCAGTGTGTTCCATTCACTCTGCCCAGGTGCCAGATTTGGAGCAGAAACCAGTCCAGAGCCCCACAGCGCGGCTGGGCAGGGGCATTCTGGGGGGCCCCGTGGCCCAGGAAGGGGCAGAGAGTGAATGGGAAGTCCAGGCTCCCCAGAGGGCCAGCAAATGGGAGGCTGCCTTACGCTCTGACAGCAGGAGGGCTCAGGACCTGCGCTCCATGAGTCGAAGGGGGTGGTACACAGCCAAGGAGAGGGGACAGTCCTGGCCCAGCCGTCTCCCTAAGACTTTGCCCCCCACACACACTTTTCTGCTCCTCTCCCTTCTCCTGCACCCATTTCTGTGGCCCTTACGGTCAAGGTGGTGGGTCACGTCCTCTCCTGGTCTCCAGGCAGGGGAGCCGCTCTTCCTCTTGTCTGGTCACAGGGTCAAAGAGCTACATCCGCCTCCGTTCCACTGAAGGGTGGGTCTCTCTTGAAGGCAGCACAGGCTGAACTATCATTTCCTCATTTGCTTTCAAAACAAACACATTTTGTGCTCGCTTCGGCAGCACGTATACCAAAAATTGGAACGATACAGAGAAGATTAGCATGGTCCCTGAGCAAGGATGACACGCAAACTCGCGAAGCGTTCCATGAAAAGCACGCACGTTTTGGTGTTTTCGCTGACAAAAGAGAGCACAGGGCACAGGCGGCTGGGACTCTGGGAAGTACCTGGGCGGAGGGGTCCTCGCTCTCAGTCCCCTGGCTGCTCAGATGCTACCCCAGCAAGTCCTGCTGCCTGAACTCCTAGAGACCAACTGGTAAATCATTCATTCACTCGTTCATTCATTCATTCGTTCGTTCAGCTATGGCTGAGCACTGGCTGGGTGCTGGGCCTTGCTTTAGGCCCCAGGATGAACACGCAAGGCGCAGAAACAGAGATCCCCGCCCTCAGGTAGCTTCCCTTCCCTTGGGGCTGGGGGAGCAGGGAGGAACATTAAGCGCACTCTCCAGTGAGAGTGTGTGATTCGTCCTGGAGAAAAGCAAGCAATGGGAGGGAAAGGGGCCCACGGTGGGGGAGGGAGGCAGGGCAGCGTTTACTGGCAAGTTGGCACTGAGAAGGGGACCCCTAAGCGAAGACACGCAGAGCTGGAGGTGCCAGAGGGGGGCCTCAGGGCCAGAGCACAGGACACCGGGGAGGGGAGTTGGGGGAGGTCAGAGGGGCGGGAGAGGGTTGGGGAGGGAGGGCCTGGGGCGAAGCTGTTCCTATAGAGGGTTTACCTGGGGACACAGTCGGATGAGACTTCATGGGTCCTTCGGCTGCTGTGCTGGGTCCTGGGGTCCAGGGTACAACCCCAGAGAGCCGTTGGGCTGTTCCCTGGGATCCAGAGGAGAGGTGGGGGTCAGTCTGAAGGTCAGGCCAGTGCACTTGCTGGAGGGTGGGTACAGGCAGGGCTGTGGAAGAGGACCCCAAGGTTCCCCCTGAGCACCTGCGGGCCTTCAGGTGCCGCCTCACAGTGGGACCTCGGAGGGCGGGCACGGCAGCGAGACGTGGGGCAAAGGACACGGAATGTGAAGGAGTGGAAGAGCCAAGGCCCTGGGAAGATCCTCTCTGTGTACTTCGAAGTCCCCAAGCGTGGTGGCGGGGGTAGGGTTGAGAGGAGAGTCATGGGCCGCTTCACCGCAGGGAGACTGAGACGCGTCGCTAGGCGACCCCGTGGCGGGAAGTCGCAGCTCCCTGGCCGTAGGCCACAAGCCTGCGCCCCGCGGTCTGGGCCCCGCAGCAGGAAACCCAGCCCGGCACAGGTGCGCCGGCCACGGAGGCGGCAGAGAACTGAGCTGGAGGAGGCCCTGCCACGGGAACACGGCCCCGCAGCTCTTAGCTTCCGCGTATTTACTTCGTGGTGGTTCATCCTTGCCCGAGGACATTTTCCCACTGATGTTTCAAAAATAATTTTTCTTGCCCTGGCCGGTTCGGCTCAGCGGTTAGAGCGTCGGCCTGCGGTCCAGAGAGACCCGGGTTCGGTTCCCGCTAAGGGCACGTACCTCGGTTGCAGTTTGTCCCCGGCCCTGATTGGTCATGTGGGTGGCAGCCACTTGGTGTGTCTCTCTCATATCCATGTCTCTCTCTCTCTCTTCCTCCCTCTCTCCCTCCCGCTCTACCTGAAGATAAATGCAAAAATGTCCTCTGGTGAGGATTAAAAATAATAAAAATAATTTTTCTGTATTGATTTTAGAGAGAGAGGAAGGGAGAGGGAGAGAGGGACAGACACATCGATGAGAGAGAACATCGATTGGCCACCTCCTGCATGCCCCCCACTGGGGATCGGACCCACAGCCTGGGTATGTGCCCTGACCGGGAATTGAACCTGTGACCCTTCCAGGACCAGGGATTGAACCCGCAAGCCAGGTAGGTGCCCTTGACCCGGAACTGAACCTGTGACCCTTCGGTGTGTGGGCCGGCACTCTAACCACGGAGCACACCAGCCAGGGTGACCGCAGCAGACTTTATTTGTATAGGTGGAAAGAATACACTCTAAAATAACGATAAAAAGTACAGTAGAGTGGACACATAAGTCAGCGACATGTCGCTTGTCATCATGATCAGCAGGATGGACCATACAAACCACGTGCTGTACTCTGACCCGCCTAGCAGGCCGGTGGGTTTTCTGCACCAGCGTCCCCGCGGACACGGAGCAGCGCCTGGGGCTGCGATGCTAAGACGGCTCTACAGTCACTAGGCGATGGGGTCCTTCGGTTCCGGTGTGACCTCACGGCGCCACGGTGTTCGCGGCCTGGCGTTGACCGAATGTCCTTACGTGGTACATGACTGTGGCAGGAGCCAGGGCAAGAATCTCCCAGGAATGATGGGCGTTTCTGGGGCATTGTAACCCAGAGGGGCCGGTGGGACATGTCTGCAGACATGAGGTTTACGGCTGGTGTGTGGGAGGAAGGAGAGAGATGGTCCGGAAATAGCAGGAGGACGTCCAGGCCCGCTGTCCTCGTCACTGCCCAGAAGGCCGCCTTGAGGCAGCCGCCGGTGCGGGCCGTGCCCGGGGGGCTCTGTTCCTCTGGGTGTGGGAGATGAGAAGACGGGGGGGTCTGGGGATGTCGAGGCCAGCGGAGCCCCGGTCCAGAGGGCGCAGGGAGAAGGTGTCAGGATGGGGTGGGTTGGGAGGCAGGACGTGAGGGGGGTGATAGGGGCCGGGGCAGGAGGACAGGGTGCGCTGGGAGCTGGGGAGTTCCTGTGGGGCTGCCGGTCAGACAGTGTCCTCGCTCACAGGGGTATCTGGTTGAAGGACGGATTTGAACTAGTGTCCTCCCTTGAGAGCAAAGGGACCTTGACGGATTGTCCTCCGCTGACTCCGAAACACGCGTGCTGCTTCTGAGCGAGGCGCTGGACCATGTCACCAGAATCACTCGGAGGGGCACTGCTGGTGGCCTGTGGCTGCCATACCCCGGTGCCACCAGCCAGGTGTTAGAAACAGACATCTTTCTCCCTGTTCTGGGGGCCAGAGTCCAAACTCCAGTGTGGGTACGGCTGGTTCCCTCAGGAGGCCCTGAGCAAGGGGCCGGCGCCGGCTCCTCTCCGGCTTTGGTGACCGCTGGTCATCCTTGGTGCTGGCGGGCGAGTGACCAACCTCTGCTTCTGTGTTCACGTGGCCTGTGTGTGCACACGTGTGCGTGTGTGTGTCTAATTAGGGCCACGCTAACGCAGTGTGGTTGGGGGTACATCTGCAAAGACCGTGTTTCCGAATAAGGTTGCACTCAGAGGCCCCGGGGGTTCGGACTTGAACGTATCTTTTTGGAGGACGCAATGCAACCCTCAACAGGTGGGCTGCTCTTTCGAAATCCGGTCCCTGGGTCCTGCCTCAGGTCTAATGAGTTGGCTCTCTAGGGTTGGGACACAAATCTCCAAGCTTCACTTATCAGAGACGAGTGTGGAGAGGGTGACCCCCAAGGGTCTCTGAGCTATGCTGGGCAGCAGCGCCTCTGCCCTGAGCCCGGGCACAGCTGTAGGCGCCTGAACTTATTTAGCAACAGACAGTCTCTGCCCGGCTGCCCACGCAGCGCCGCTGGGCTCAGCTTCTAGTCCCAAGGGTGGCCCTGCTGTCACCTCGTGAAGTTTTGAGTGTGCATCTTGTCATTCAAATGTCCTGATGCGCTTGATGAATTTCAAATTGAGGGATAGGCCGCTTGTAATTGGTGGGCTGGAGGCATACGTGAAACAATCCAGAGAAAAACACCACTCAGGTCTCATTAGAATAAAAAGTGAGCGCTCCGTGTGTAGTGTACAAAAAGTTGGGTCCTGTCTGTGAACTTATGTAAATCAAGCTGCTATTAATAGCCACGGAAGTGGAAATGGAGGTGGGCCGGCTTTTTCCTTCCACTTTTATGAGTCTGGGCCATTTCTCTCTGTGCAGGGAGCAACGAGAGAGTGTCACGTGGCCTTGGGCAGTGGGTCGGGCCTTTGGGCCCACGGGTGCACTGATGAAATTATTAGAAGCAATTTGCGAAATGGTGCCCCAGACAGGAGCTTCGAGTCTAGAGACAACTTTACTTACTTCAGATCAAAGGTTCTGCATGAAGCGCATTTGAAAACAAGTCACAAAAAAGGGGGGGTTCCAGTCCGGCTCGTGTGGCTCAGTGGTTGAGCGTCGACCCTGCACCAAGAGGTCGCCTGTTAGATTCCCGGTCAGGGCACATGCCCAGGTTGTGGGCCCGGTCCCCAGTGGGGGGCATGCGGGAGGCGGCCAATGGATGTTCTCTGTCACCGATGTTTCTATCTCTCTCTTCCTCTCCCTTCCTCTCTCTAAAATCAATAAAGGGACAAAAAAAATTTTTTTTAATGGGGCTTCTCATGAAGTTTAGTGAGAGGCGCAGATGAGAAAGCATCTGTACGTGACCATGGCCCTGGGCAGTGAAGAGAGCCCGATTCCCAAGGCCGGAGCAGCTATCCACTGTCCACGCCACAGCTTCTCCACGTCAAAGCCACTGACACCGGGGCGGCATGATCTGTTGTGGGACCGTCCTGCGCACTGTAGGATATTTAGGGACATCCCTGGCTTCTCCCCCACTAGATACCGGGAGCACCCTCCACTCGTGACAACCAAAAATGTCTGCAGACACAACGGTCCCCAGAGACAGCATCACCCCAGGTGAGAACCACGGGTCTAGAGAGAAACATGCCCAGTGGTCGGAAACCAGATTCCTGGGAAATGCGTCGGGGCCCACCGCGTTCTGGCTGGTGCCGAGTCTGCCTGGCGAGCTGTTTGCTGTCCGCAGTCCCCAGAGCCAAGGTGCCAGCAGGGCCTGGAGGGTGCATGAGGCGATGGAGCTGGGTCCCAGACGCCACCCTCCGCAAGCTCAGCCCCACCCACGCCCTCTCCCTGACCCTCATCGGGGGCGGCTCTGATTGCTGTTGTGGGAAATTCGCTGTGGACAGCCGCAGAGGCCCGGCTGGAAGATCTCGGAGGTGTTGGCTCCGTCCGTACCCGCTCCGGGATCTGCCTAGGAACAGAAAGTGACTTCCAAGCCGAAAGGTGGTCTAGATGGATGCACCTGCCGGGAGTGGCTGAGAGTAGGCCGGAGCCTGGGTTCGGGCTCGGGTTCGGGTTCGGGTTCGGGCTCGGGCTCGGGTTCGGGAGAGGAGGCGTCTGGGTGCCGTGAGCCCGCGGCCTCCTTTGGAAGCTCTGTGTTCCCCAGCCGGCCTCTTGCTCTCTGGCTCCACCGGGACCCCTGCGCTGTAACACCGCGGTGGACCTGGGGCACGCCATCTGCCCCCTGCCTTCTGACTGTCCCTTTAATGTTGACCTCTCTGGGGGCCGGGCCTGCATCCAGGTCCCGTGGTCGGTCTGACACGAGGAGGTCTCTGGTATGCGAGGGGGACACGCGAGTTCCTCCCGGACACGGCCCCGCTCGGGCCTGCACGCAGCGCCAGTCCCCTGGGCACCGGGGCCACTTCGTCCCTCCCTTGTCCCCACCCGTGAGGAAATCCCAGCCCAGTGCGTCCTCACGGGACACCTGGCCCTCGGGAGCAAGGTGCCTTGACCACAGAAGGAGGTCCCTGGACCAGAATGTAGGCCACGATCCAGCACGTCACCGGACAGTGACGACCCTTCCAGAGAGTGGATGACCGGTGTCCACCGCGGGCCAGGCAGACAGTGACCTGCAGGCGTGACCTGCCTGGCCCTGCCGCGCGCGCCTGACAGAACTGGGAGTCTGGACGCCGAGCCCGGGGTCTGCCCCCCTCACCTGCATCCCAGACTTCCCCACGCTCCCTCCTCGTGTTCAAATCATCTGGTTTTTATAGCAAAGCAGTCGGAGCAGAAGAGTCTCAACCCACGAGGCAGACTTTTCCCCGGCAGTTTTATTTTCCTTGTCTTTTAAAAAAAAATGTTGAGGTGAAATTCACGTGACAAATGTAGCCATTTTAAAAGGATAACGCGGTGGCGGTCAGTGTGTTCGCAGTGCTGTGCCAGCCTCCACCTCTGAGTTCCAGAACTTTCTCCTCACCCAGAGGAGACCGCTGGCCGGGAAGCAGTGGCCCCCAGCCCCACCCCCACCCCCACCCCCGCTAACCCCAACCTGCCTTCACCTCTGGATGTTCCTACTCTGGACAGTTCACTAAACGAAATCACACAGTATGTGGCCTTTGTGTCTCCGGTCACTGAGCACAGTGTCTTCCAGCTTCACCCACACTGCAGGGTGTCAGTCCTTCACCCTCTTAAAAAATTTTTTCTTCTTTATTGACCCTTAGAGAGAGAGGAAGGGAGAGGGAGAGAGAGATAAAAACATTGATGAGAGAGAACATCAATGGGCCGCCTCCTGCACGCCCCCCACTGGGGACCAGGCCCACAACCTGGGCATGTGTCCTGACCGGGAATCGAACCAGCAAGCCCTTGGTGCAGGGTCAACGCTCAACCACTGAGCCACACCGGTCAGACTCCTTCAACCTTTTTTAAAAATGTTATTGATTGATTAGGGAGAGAGAGAAACATCGGCGTGTTGTTGCCCTTACTCACGCTTTCTTCGGTTGATTCTTGTATGTGCCCGGACCTGGGATCAAACCAGCAACCTTGGCGTATCGGGACGACGCTCTAACTAACTAAGCGACCCAGCCAGGGCCCTTCCCTCTTTTTTACGGCTGAGTGCTATTCCGTCGTGTGGATGGGGGTGTTTTATTCATGCACCTGCTGACAGACAGGACAGGCAAGCGGCGTGAAGCCTGCGCCCCGCATGTGCCCAGGGCCCCGTGTCGGCTCTCCCGCGGGTCACGTCTGGGACGGGCACTGCTGCGTCAGGTGGCTCCTGGTTGATCTTTTTGAAGAAGCGACACCCCAGCCTTTTCTTACCTCGCCTGATAAATGTTGTTTTCCTTCCTCTTCCTGTTTCATCTCCCAGGGCTCGTCCCTGAGGTCACCATTGCCTACCAGGTCCTGGAGGTCTTTCCCAGAAGCCGCAGGGTGCTTATCACCTGCCACTCACCGCAGGGGACCCCGCCTATCGCCTACTCCCTCTGGGGGAGCCAGGACATTGAAGTTGCCAGAAAGGTGGTGAAGAAACACACGCCGGCCTCCTTCAGCATCAACGTCACACTCAAGTCCAGGCCAGACCTGCTCACCTACACCTGCCAGGCGGCCACCTCCTCAGGCCCACGCGGGGCCAGCACCACGCTGCAGATGTACTGGGAGCTGTGGGCCAGTGAGTGCGTGGGGGTGGGGCCCGTGGGGTGCAGAGTCTGGGAGATAAACGAAGCTGCTGGGGGTGGGAAGCGTGAGGACTAGGGTCTGGGCCAGAGGCTGCCGAAGAGAGCGGGCAAGGCCCCGGGCTTGCTGAGCGCTGACCGCAAGCTGATAAGCTGCACGCCGTTCATGTTTTATCTGGTTCAATCTTCTCAGTCGTGAGGGTGGGGTAGGGGTTCCAGCCTCTAGGGCAGGAAGCTAAGCTCCTGGACATGAAGACGGTTGTCCCAGCTTGGCAGTGGCAAAGGATGGCTTCGACCCCCACGGAGCTCCAAAACCCACGTTCTTCCCATTTCTCTCCTGAGCTGAGCTCAGACACCTGGAGGGAGGGAGGCACTGCCAGGCCAGTGCGGGGACTGTGACCCCCTGGACTCGAACCAACTGGGGGCAGCCTGGGGAGAGAGCCCTGGGTCTGGAGCACTACAGGTTGAGGGTTCAAACCTCCACACGTACAGGCTGTGGGTTCTTGGGCAAATCACTCAACCTCCCTGAGCCTCAGATGCCTCATTTACCACACACAGACAGTAGTACCTTCTCCAGGAGGGGGCGGAGTCTGTGGAGGCTCCTGTTAGTGAGTGGCAAGTACTGGACAAGGGCTTTAGGTTGAAGGCCCTGGGAGATTCTAGGATCTAGACTCTTCTAAGTAACAGTTCTTGTCCTGAAGGAGCATCTATTTCAGTACAAGCGTCGAGACTGAAAGAATATAAATAGGACTGCTGGATACAGTTTGCATAGGATATACTCACACTAAAAAAATTCTCTTGGTTGCCCTGGCCTATGTGGCTCAGTTGGTTGGGTGTCATCCCATGCACCAAGAGGTCGCAGGTTTGATTCCTGGTCAGGGCACGTGCCCTGGTTGCAGGTTCAATCCCCAGTAGGGGGCGTGCAGGAGGCGGCCAATCCCGATTTCTCTCTCTCACATCCATATTTCTTTCTCTCTCTCCCTTCCTCTCTTTCTAAAATCAATAAAAAACATATTTTAAAAAATTATTCATTGTTCATTGAAATTCAGATTTAACTGGGCATCCTGTATTTTTTTTTTTTAATTTTTTTCTTTATTGATTTTTAGAGAAAGAAGGGAGAGGGAGAGAGATGGAAACATCGATGAGAGAGAACATCGATTGGCCGCCTCCTGCATGCCCCCACTGGGAATTTGGCCCACAACCTGGGCATGTGCCCTGACCGGGAATTGAACCGGTGACCTCTTGGTGCATGGGTTGACGCTCAACCACTGAGCCACACTGGCCAGGCAGGCATCCTGTATTCTAATTTGCTAAGTCTGGCCATCCAGAATATACTACCTGAGAATAAAACCAAATGAGGTGGTACACACTGCAAGCAAGGTAGAAGCCCAGGTGGAGGGAGTAACCAGAAGGCTGCCTGGAGGAGGCGCCATCAGTTAGGCCTCCAGGTTCATTATCCTCTAACAAGGGAACTTGCTGGGTAGAGGGTGTTCAAGTCTCCCAGCCATGCCAGTGCTTCCTGTCCCCCCTGCCAGAGCCCGTGTCCCAGCTGCAAACTAACTTCACCCTGCTGGACAGAGGGTCAGGCCCCAGGGTGGAGATGTCCTGCCGGGCGTCCTTGGGCAGCCCACCCATCACCTACAGCCTGGTGGGGCCGGACGGGCACGTCCACCTGCAGCAGAGACCGCACTACGGGCAGCCTGCTAACTTCTCCTTCCTGCTGACCGAGACGCCACGCTGGTTCCAGTGCCAGGCCCAGAACGACATCAATGTCCAGAGCAGCCCCCTCACGCTGGTGCCCCCAGGTAAGAGGGCCCCTTGGTTTCCAGAGGGGCAGCTGGGCCCTGGCCAGTTTGGCTCAGCGGTTGGAGTGTCGACCCGCGGACCAGAGAGACCTGGGTTCAGTTCCCGCTAGGGACACGTACCTCGGTTGCAGTTTGTCCCCAGCCCTACTTGGGGTTGTATGGGAGGCAGCCAGTTGATGTGTCTCTCTCACATCGATGTTTCTCTCTCTCTTATCCCTCCTGCTCTATCCGAAATGCAAAGATGTCCTTGGGTGAGGATAAAGAAAACACACAAAAAACCCAGCGGGGCAGCTGGCGCTCTGGGTAGATGGGTGGGGGGTGCCAAGAGCTGGGAAGGGCATTGGTAAGCAGCCATGCCTACCCTGGCCCTCCCTGCCTCCCTCCCAGGACAGCTGCCCAGGGGACCCACCTTCGTGCTGGCTGCCAGCCTTACCTCCATTGCAGCTATCGCCTCTGGCATGCTGGGCCGGACCACGTGGACCAGGTAGGAGGTGGGTGCTGGGCGCGGGGCAGGAAAGAGGAGCTGATGGCCTGTGTGGAGGGCAGAGGGTGGTGGGTTCGAAGGGCAAGGCTGCCCCCAGGGCAAAGAAAGCACCGTATCACGTGTGTGTGACTTGTAGACGTTAGTTCAGGGCCTCCTGTGCCTCACGCCTGCTGAGGGCGTGCGGAGGCCTGGTTTGCTGTGACCCTGACCATGGTCCAAGCAGGCCTGCCCTGCAATGCAGCCAGCTCGCCTCTGGGTGGCGCACTTTCCTGTGTTCCTTAAGGGTGGGAGGAGGGATGTTGGGATGGGGGACATGCCTCCAGGGACCAGGGACCAGGGTGGATCAGGGGCTTCTGACCTCTATGGGAACCACATAGGTCACTGCTTCCCAGCTGGTGACAGGAGTCAGGGGTCCCCATTGCAATGACTGGTAAAGTGACCAGGGACCCTGTGCTGTCCGACCCCAGGCACCACAGGCTTCTGCCTTCACCTGTCTGCCCTGCAGCAGCAGTCACCTCTGCCCCTTCAACTTCTCACTTCCCTTGGCTGCTGTCTCCCGGTCCCGCCTCTTCGTGGGCACTGTCCAAGAATGTGTCCTGGGCACTCTCCTTGTCTTATCTCCGGGTCTCTTCCTCCAGTTTCTGTCCTTTCCGGAGGCCAGACTCATGGGCGAGCCAAGTCACCTCTCTGAGCCTCAGTTTACCTTTCTACAAAATGGGGTATAGAGTTCTGACTCCCGCTTGCCTTCTGGGTGATTCAGTGCCCCTCTTCATTTAATGGGGTGACAAAGCCTCACGCCCCTGCTCCTGCCCTGGGCACTGATGCACTTGGCACCATAAAATTCCAAGAGGCCTTGGGAGGGGTGGCTGGGAGGTGTGCTCACCTAACCTGGCACGTCTCCTCCTTTGTCATCCAGGTTGTGACCAGAGGTGCGAGCACAGCCGTCTTCCAGGACAGCCCCTGTGCTGGCCCTACGGGGGGGCCCCCCATTTGAAGAACAAGCCTGCCAGCCTGGATTCCTGAGCCCTGGTGCTCCGCAGGGAGGGTTTCAACATGGGGTGGGGCTGTGGAGGGAAGAAGAGGTGCACAGGACAGAGGGGGCTCTGTGTAGGTCCCCGACTTTGCTCCTCAGCTGCTTGTCATCATCTATGCAGGTCTAGGAAGAAGGTGGGGGTACACTGTGAAAAGGCCCAGCTGCACCCCCACCTGTGGCCTCCTTCCCCAACACACACCGGCTCCCCTCTTCTCTGGAGTGGCACCCCAACTCCTGGTGGCCTAGTCCTCTGGCTCCACCCGCTGATGGTCCAACTCATCTGGGAGGACTCGGCCCCACCTGGCCAGCACCCCTCATTAACCTTACCTGCAACAGCAAAGCAAGGGTGTCTGGGATTCCTCCCTCCTCAGCCTGCCCCCCCCCCGAGAAGGCATCCCCCTACCCCCTCACCGAGCCTTCCCTGTTCAGATGCTCTGAACCATTTCAGGAAAGAAGTGGATTAAACTCCGCCCCCTGCCTGACACCCTGGATTTCCTTTTCTGTCTGCACACCATCCTGGAGCCTGGAAGTCTGAAGCCACGCTGCCTTGCACAACCTGGGGGTGGGGGGACCCCACCTGGAAAGAATTGGGGGTGGTATCTACCCACCCCAGGCTTAGCTTCCGAGAGGAGGAAAGAATGAGTGGAATTCGGAAGTGCACATGGGTGTGCAGATGGGCCTGGGTCCCCAGCAGGTGAGGCCCAGACAGGTGGGGTCCGGAGGGCTTCCTGGAGGAGGAGGCGGGAGTGCTGGGGCAAAGGGTGGGGGGACCGAAGGCCGGCCCTCCGGGAATCCTTTTCCTGGGGACTCTGGGCCCCTTTCGGGTCGCACCGCGGGCCCCTGTCGCAGGGGAGGAGACCCCGGCCGCGAGGACGCTGGACGGGTGTCCGCACCGCAGTCCCCGCGTCTCGCCGCGGCTCGCGGCCTCCCGCTCTTTGCCCTCGGTCCCTGGGGCCGCGCTGGCCACGCCCCGGGGGCGGGGCCGGGGCGGGGCGCCCGGCTAGCTCCTCGGCGGTCGGCAGCAGCGACGGCGACAGCAACGGCGACGGCGGCGACATGGAGAGCGGGGCCTACGGCGCGGCCAAGGCGGGCGGCTCCTTCGACCTGCGGCGCTTCCTGGCGCAGCCACAGGTGGCGGCGCGCGCCGTGAGCCTGGTGAGTCGGCGGGGCGCGGGGCGCGGGGCGCGGGGGGCCGCCTCCGCCCAGGCCCCGCCGCGAGCCTGCGAGCGCGACAGGTGGAAGCGGCCGAGGGCCGCGGCGTGGGGGCGGCGCGCGCGGGCCGGAGCGAGGGGCCGGGACCGCCACCTCCCAACGCCCGGGCCCCGCCGCCCCCACGCCGCCCCCCGGCGGGGCGCCCTCCACCGCGGGCTTGGGCGCAGGTGGCCCGGGAGGCGCGGCGGGGAGCGGGCCGGTGTCCCTGCCGGCGCGCCTCCAGGGCAGGTGGCCGGCCCTCGGCGACTCCAGCTCTCCAGCTCGGGGAATCACCTGGAAGGGGCTTTCCCAAGCCAGGTGGGGTGCGGGTGGGGTGTGTGCGCGCGGGGCGGCCTAGCGCCCTGGAACAGGATCTCCTTTCCACGCAGGAGTGGCCCACAGGTCTGCTTCCCCAGCCAAGATCGGGTGGCTTTAGGCTGTACCCCTCCCCGTAAGCTGGGGAGCCCTCCAGCACCAGGTTCCTGGGGGAGGGAAGGCTGGGGACGGGCCCGTATTCCTGGACAACTGGCTTCCAAAGCTGAACCAGGTGGGCAGGCAGCAGGTTGGGCCTGCCCTGCTCACACCACACCTGCCTGGGACTGGAACTTTCTGAGACGCCTGCCGCTGGCGACACCCCTGCTCTCTCCCTGCCTGAATGAAGGGTCTGCCCCAGGAGCAGATGCCGGGGTGTCGGGAAGGCAGTGCCAGCAGCTGGGCCTGGCAGCCGCTCCCAGCATCCTGGAGTTCCGCCTTCACCTCCTGCGGGGGTGGGGCCTGTGACCGCCCTAAAGCCTGTTGAGAGGGCCCGGGCCGCGTGGGGCAGGGGAGGCCTGGGCCCGGCCCACAGGGAGCCAGACGTCCACTCTGGTCCTGCATCTGCTGACTTAGGGCGGAGATGGTGGTGGCCTTGAAGGCTGGGGAGGAGACCAGGTGACAGGAGGCTGTTCGCAAGGGCCTAGGCCAGTCCCGGAGTTCTGGCTGGTCACCTTGCAGCCCCCCAGGGCTCTGAGTGGAGCTGTGTCCACAGGCCTGCTGGTCAGACCGGCCTGGAATGGAGCACCCTGTGTGATCAGGATTCACTAGGCTGGGAGGCCGACAGGGGTTTTCTCCGAGGGGAGGAGCCACGCGCCAAAGAAGCAGGAAGTCCTTGTAGAGAGAGCTGGGCTAGCTCTGAAGGCTAGCCTGGAGCAGGGAGGGGGGAGTCTTCCTGCTCACTGTGCCCCCCCATGGCTTTTCTGAGCGGTGGGGGTCTCCCAGCACTGGGGCATTCAGGCAGAGGCTGGGCACCGTGCCTGTGACTCAGGCCGGTGATCAGGGGCTGAGACTCCAAGCCTGAGTTTCTATGATTTGATGGCCCCTCGTGTTTAAAACTCATTGGAAGTGGGGACGGGCAGATCACCTTGATCCCTATCACAGCACAGCCACGAAGAGGGCTCCGTGCAGGCAGCTGGGACGGCGCTCGCCCCTCCCAGGAGATCCCCATGTCTCCTCACGCCAGCCCAGGAATCCCCAGCCATGTGCCTTGCGGGGCAGTTGTGATCTGGTCCCTGGAGAAGGCAGAAGTGAGAATGAGGCCCTGGGCACCAGAAAGCGACCTGCCTATCGGCTCACCCCCCAAGTTCAGAGGGCGACAGGAGGAGAGGCCAGGGTCCCCACTCTGCGTGCCCCGGGGAGTTTGTCCGCGGCCACTCAGCCTCTCCCCGCCTCTGCCTCCAGGTCTTCGCCTTGATAGTGTTCTCGTGCATCTTCGGCGAGGGCTACAGCAACACACACCACTCCAATCAGAGGTACTGCGTGTTCAACCGCAACGAAGACGCCTGCCGCTACGGCAGCGCCATCGGGGTGCTGGCCTTCCTGGCCTGCGCCTTCTTCCTCGTGGTCGACGTCTATTTCCCCCAGATGAGCAACGCCGTTGACCGCAAGTACCTGGTCATCAGTGACCTGCTGTTCTCAGGTATCTTCTGCCTGTGGCACCTCTGTGGCCCTCAGGAGGCGGATAGGAGCAGACGGTGTTCCCAAAGCTCGAGGGTCCTGTGATTGCGGGGTCTCGGAGGAGCCCTCGGGAGGGGCAGGGAGAGGCGCAGGGTCCCAGACAGGCTCATGCACAGGATTCCCAGCCATCTGAAACCCACTGGTGCCGGGTGACAAGCATGGGTCGTTCCGAGCTGGCACCCAGTCCCCACCCTGGCTCCTGCCTCAGTGCCTTGCCCAGCCCTGGAGGCTCCTGGGAGATGCCTGCCTCCTCCGTGGAGCTGACCCTGCCCTCCTGCCCTTCCCCCAGCCCTCTGGACCTTCCTGTGGTTCGTTGGTTTCTGCTTCCTTACCAACCAGTGGGCGGCCACCCCGCTGGGAGACGTGCTGGTGGGAGCGGACTCGGCCCGCGCAGCCATCACCTTCAGCTTCTTTTCCATCTTCTCCTGGGTAGGTGCCCGGGGGCCAGGCTCCTGGCGTCTTTGGTGAAGGGTGGTGGCGGGCTTGGTGAAGGGTGGTGGTGGAATCTACCCTCGGGACTCCCTGCAGGGCCTGCTGGCCTTCCTGGCCTACCAGCGCTACAAGGCTGGGGTGGACGACTTCATCCAGAACTACGTGGACCCCACCCCAGACCCCAGCACGGCCTACGCCTCCTACCCAGGCCCAGCTGTGGACAACTACCAGCAGCCACCTTTCACCCAGAATGCTGAGGCCACCGAGGGTTACCAGCCGCCCCCTGTGTACTGAGCTGCACCGGGATGGTAAAGGGCGCAGGGAGGGTGCCTGGGGGGCACCCTCGGTCCTGGACTCCTCCCACAAGGCTTGCCTCCTGGAGCTGCTGGCCCCTCGGGTCCCACAGGGCCTGTCAGGGCCCGTGCCCAGGCTCGAGAGCCTCTGCCGTCCCTGCCCGTGCCCAAGGGCTTCCCCCACCCCTCCTCAAGGGCATTTTTTAGAAAAGGGTTTTTAGCCCCACGTTTGTTGTTGCTTTTCATGGTCCCCAACCCCGCTGGTAGCTAGAAGTGCCTTCGTTTCCCCAAGCCCGTAAGGAGCTGGGCCCAGGTCCAGGCCGAGGTGGCCAGTGATTTGGGGTTCTCTGCCAAAGACGAGGCTGGGGGGCCTCCCACATGCTGTTGCTGGTGCCAGGCAAGGTCTCCCTTCCTCCTCACTCAGGTCTGTTCTGTTCCCTGGTGCCCCCACCTCCCTCCCGCCCCGAGGTCAGGCAGCTGCGCTCGTTGCTGCAGGGTCTGCTGACCCTGGGACCTGGGGCCTTTTCCCTGTGCCAGTGCCTCTGGGCCTTCTTCCCGACAGCCATGGGACAGGGCTGGTGCCCACCCCAGGGGCCACTGGGCAGCACTTCCTGCCGGTGATCCTGCCAGCCCCCATCAGGAGGGGCTTTGCCTGACAACACCCAGCTTTATGTAAATATTCTGCCTGTTAGCCGGGTGGTTGGGGTGTACCCACAGCCCCGAGCTGTTCTGAATGTATTAGAGCTTCGAGGGAAGACAACCAGCCCCTCGGATTCTGGTTCTGAGATGGAATAAATGTTTTTCTCGTTCATGATCCCCACGGTCTCTGTTGGGCCTCGGCAGGAGGAAGAGGAGTTCCACTCTGGGGGGCCCCGAGGGGCGGGGTGGAGGAGTCAGTTTGGACAGGTTGCGGCAGGCAGCCCCCCCAGTGAGCCCAGTGACCGCCCTCTCCCCGTCTGGGGTCCCGTTCCTCACGCTGCCTCCATCGTCTCAAAATAGCAACTGTGCTCAGCTTATAAATAAGGCAGGTGTTCTGGGCGGCCTGGCCAGGGTCCCGCTGTGCCCTTGCTGGTCTTGGTGGAGGCGCCCGGGCACTGGCCCTCAGAATGCCCCTTCCCCAGTGACCCTTTCCTTCCCAGCCTCTCACAGTGGAGGGGCACCCTGGCAGGGGCCAGGGTCCTCTACTTCCTGCAGACAGCACCCCCCGAGCCCGTCCCAGGGAGGAGGCGGCAGGGAGCAGGCTTGGCCCCCCACCCCCACTCAGGGCCAGACCCTGACGCAGCCACAAGCTTCCCTGTTGAGCAACGACAGTACCTTTCAAAGGTGGTCCCGCCCTGGCTAGTTAGCTCAGTGGTTAGAGCAACAGCTCTCAGACCAAAGGGTCCGATTCCCAGTCAAAGGCATGTACCTGGGTTGCAGGCTTGATCCCCGGTCCCGGTCAGGGTCGTGTGGGAGGCAACTGATGTGTGTCTCACATTGATGCTTCTTCTCTCCCTCATTTCCACTCTCTAAAGAATCAGTGGGAAAATATCCTCGGGTGAGGATTAAAAAAAAATAAAGTGGGACCCACTCTTGAGTAGCCCTGGCCGGTTTGGCTGAGCGATTAGAGTGTCGGCCTGTGGACCAGGGAGTCACAGGAGTCATGGGTTCAATTCCGGTCAAGGGCACGTTCCTCAGTTGCAGTTTTGTCCCCGGCCCTGGTCGAGGGTCCTGTGGGAGGCAACCAACTCTCTCTCTCACATAGATATTTCTCTCCCTCCCTCCCTCCCACTCCAGCTGAAAACCAATTGAAAAATATCCTCCAGTGAGGAGTAAACAAAATCCTGAGTGAAAACGACGAGGGTTCTGGGTCACAGCCCCTCCGCTGTGCTTCACCTCGGTGTTACCTGGGACCCCGACCCCAGGCGCAGGGCACAGCTGCGGCCCCACCCCCACCCCACCCGCAGTCTCCCTCCCTGGGAGCCTCCTGCGGCTCAGCTGAGCTCGTTTTCTTGGCTCCGGAATGGCCAAGTGTCTGTTTCACAAACACAACCTGACCCCACAGCCCCGCTGGCAGGACGAGCGCAGCCTCCTCGTCTTTCCAGCCCGGGCCCCCGGCGCCTGTTCACCCATTTTGTCTCGAAACCTATGTGGACAGAAGGAACAGCGAACGTTCCTCTTAGGAGGCTGTGGTCAGGAGCGGCTGTGCTAGATCAGGCCGTGGAGAACCCCCAGCTCACGTCGGCGACTGCAGCGCCGCGGGGAATTCCAGGTGGTGAGGGGCGGGCGTTCGGCCGGCTGGTGCCCTTCTAAATAGGTTTCTACTGATGTTGGGGGGGGGGATGCGAGAGAAACGCTGAGTAGGGGAATTACCCACAACCTGGACATGTGCCCCGATTGGGAATCGAACTGGTGACTTTTGGTACATGGGACGATGCTCAACCAACTGAGCCACACCGGCCAGGGCCTCAACCAGTACATTTTAATGTTAGTTATTAATTTCACACACTACAACAGAAGAATCAGGGACCTTGTCCCCAACTACTCCTGTCTGCCCCCCTCAAAAGACGAGCAAAAGGGACCTGAGCCCCAGCAGGTAAGTGTCACCCGTGATAGAAGCTGTAATTCTGGAGGAAGTGATCATCAGACTAGGAAAGATTTCCAGCCCAGAGGGAAGGAGAGAAGCAAGAAAGCACAAGTGCAGCGGTGCCCAGGTGCCCGGAGCCCACCCCGGAGAGGTGGGGAATGACTGCGGAATGACGCAGCGCCGAGCCGGGGCTGCTGGTCCCCGACTTGCCAGTGAGAAGAGAAACTCAGCAGCAAAGCCACAGCGGGAAGAAGCCTGCCCTGCTGACGTCAAACAGCAGGGGCCTGCCCCCCGCCCCAGAGGAGCGGTCGCGTCTGCAGAACTGGAGCCACGGCCAGCTCCGGCCTGCGGCGCATCACGAGTGACAGCAGCGGGGAAGGGAACTGAGAAAGACCAGGGAGCAGGCAAAGAGGGAAATGGGACTGCAGACCCCCAGCCCGGCAAGGGCCCTGCAGACAGGAAATTCCACAAGCCAGTGGAACCTCCTCTGCCCCCACTTCCTCTTCTGAAAGGGCTGCTCAGCACAGGGTGCAGGTGTCCGCTAGAGGGCGCTGCCCCCAGGCTCAGTCGGCGGGGCTGCACTGCAGGACCTGATGCGGGGCCAGGGGCTTCCTGGTGGCGGCTGCCTCCCCCAGCTTCCCCAGCGCCAGGAAGTTCTCCTTATCCTCCTCGCTGTCCAGCCCGGCGGGCAGCCCCGGCTGACCCGAGGCCTTCTGGAAGTAGCAGAGGCGGCACACAGCGTGGTACTTGTCTGCTCCTCCAATCACCTCCACCTGGCCCGGGGGACACAGCGGGGCCTGGGCTGAGCGGGCACAGCCCCCCCAGGCTGCCCCCGCCCCGGAGAAGCCAGGCGGCAGTTACCTCCTTCTCCATGCCCAGCCTCTTGGTGTAGGCGGCCTCTCGGAAGCACTCCATGCACACGGCGTTCAGCTTCACCACGCTCTCGGCCAGGGGCACCAAGTTCAGGATGGCCCCGAAAGCCTACACGGGGAAGGCAGCGGGTGGGCGCTCACCTCTCCGGGCGGCAGGTGGGCGCTCACCTCTCCGGGCGGCAGGTGGGCGCTCACCTCTCCGGGCGGCAGGTGGGCGCTCACCTCTCCGGGCGGCAGGTGGGCGCTCACCTCTCCAGGCAGCAGGTGGGCGCTCACCCCTCCGGGCGGGTTGTCTTTGAAATCCTCCGATTCACAAGCACGGAAGCCAGGAAGCTGCCTGGACCTGGCTCTCCCTGCCCCGCCCTCCCGAACGCCAGCCCCTGCCAGAGCGGGCATCCAGGCTGGGGTGGACTCCTCCCGGGCAAACCAGGGGGCTGGGGCTGGCTCATCGAAGTGCCCGGACTCGGGCAAGGAGGGAGTGCATTGTCGAGAGGGAGAGGGGCCTGCTGAGCTGCCCATCTCTACACGGGCCTGTGCCCACCCGGCCCTCCCTGCCTCCGGGACCCCACCCCAGGCCCCGGCCCGACGCCTTGCCTTCCTCTGGAAGGTCCCATCCAGTGCAGCCACGATCACAGTCTTCCCAGCGTTGGCCATGGTCTCACTGAACTCCACAATGTCAGGGAACTGGAAGGGGGGCCAAGGAGCGAGTGAGCTTCCACCCTGAGCCCCAGCTTCCGGGCCCGGGAGAAGACCTGCCGCCTGGACCAGCACCCCCTGCGCACCGAGACGGTGGGGACACAGGTCCTTCCACACTAGTCTGTGGGCACGAAGAGGGTCCTCAGCTCCCCTACTCACAATAGTGACGCCCACAAAGAGCAGGTTCTTCAACCTAAAGGCTTTGTCCTGTTCACATGCAACCCCCTCCCCCGGAACACCGAACCCTGGGCCGCAGCAGGGCTTCCTGAGTCATCAAAGGTAGGTGACTGCCAAACACCCCCTGGTGACCACGCGACTGGCATTTACTGCCATTACTGTTTTGGGTTATGTTATGGGTCAAACTGTGTCCCCTCCCACCCCCCAAATTCATACATTACAATCCTGCCTCCACCACCTCAGAACATGACCTTATCTGGAGACAGGGTCTCTGCAGAGCTCATCCAGCTCAAGTAAGGTCAGCAGGGTGGACCCAACCTGATGACCGGGGTCCTTACGAGAAGGGAGATTTGGACAGAGATACAGAGATGCTGATGTGAAGACAGAGAGACGGCAGCCAGCTACAAGCCCAAGGGAGAGGCCTGAACGGATCCCCCATCCCTCCTCACCACCCCAGACCAAAGAGCCCTGCCCACAGCGAGACTGCAGGCTTCCAGAACCCTCAGAGAAGACGTCTGGGTTGGTCAAGCCTCCCAGTCTGCAGGACTCCTTATGGCAGCCGGAGCACATCGACCCAGGTTACATTTGAAACGGAACTTCAGCCTGGCCGGTGTGGCTCAGGGGATTGAGCCTTGCCCCATGGACTGAGAGGACCCAGTTCAACTCCTGGGCTTGATCCCCAGTAGGGGGCGTGCAGGAGGCAGCCGATGGATGTTTCCCTATCACATGGATGTTTCTATCTCTCTCTCCCTTCCTCTTTCTCTGAATAAATAAATGTAGAAAAGGACGACGGTGACACATCTGCCCACTGGCGTTCCTCGGCTGGGCTGCACCCCCAGGGAACAAGGTCTGATGGTGGAGAGGACCCAGAGGGGGTCAGGAAGCCCGGAGGTGGATTTGCAGCCCCATCGTCATCCTGCCAAGAGCTGGCTGGCTCAGGCGGCAGCCAGATGACCTCTGGCTCCGCTCCCTGGCAGTCACGCTGGCACTGATGGCACAAAGGCCACTGGGGACAGGAATGAAGCCTGTGACAGTAAACATTCAACTGCAAACAGTAAAAGGCTAAATGAAATGGCAGACAAAACCCGACCTCCGATGAACAGGGAAGGAGTATTTGCAGCATGCGACAGCGGCCCGGGTATGTCACATCCGCTACAGGACAAACCAAGGGAAAAACGGGGAGGCCTTACAAGGAGGCTTGCAGCGGAGAAGTGAATCCAGCAGCTGTAAACGTGGGAAGGGACGTCAGCCACAGTGGGAGAGAAACGCAGCCGGCACAGGACGCGTGCAGAACGGCGTCAGGCAGAAGGAAAACAGCGCGTTGCTACATGCCCACGAGAGCAGACCTCCAGGGGCCAGCTGGAGAGCCCAGAAACGGAAGCTGGTCCTCGAAACCCAGCACGCTGGGACACAGTGGCTGGGACTGCTCACCGAAGGCTCACAAACTCGCCAAACCAAACCCCGGGGACACGCTGTCCTGAGAGCAGACCCTGGCCTGCCTGGGGGAGTAAGCTCTAGGGTGACAGTGACCTCATCAGCAGCAGGAGTGCTAATGCGTTTCCAAAGGAACACCGGTGAACCCACCACTGGCTGCCCAGTTTAACCCAGAGAACAAAATGAGGGGGACGGTCAGGGGGATCGCAGGAAGACCAGGGCCATGACAAGCCAACTTACAAACTGCCCTTCGTCGATGCCGATGACAGTCACGCCCATGGCCTCCTGGGCCACGTCCCGGAGCAGACAGGCCGGCAGCGCGTCCATGGTGTTCCTGGGAGAGAAAGCCAGAGTGTGAGCAGGCAAGGGAGACCGGGAGATGAACCGGGAGGCAGGGGCCAGGGCCCGGTGCTGGGGACCACACTGCTGGCAAAGCAGACTGCCGTAGGCTTGGCTCAGTGCCCGAGCGAAGGGGAAATTGAAGGCCCTTGTGTGGAACTGGTCTTGCCACACAGGCTACTTCACTCCCCACTCAGGACTGGAAATTAGTCAGGTCCATGTGTAGCTCTCCTCTGCCTCTGCTGGGGGCCCAGACAAGGCCCCATCAGGCAGCGTCCAGGGCCCACGGCCCTTTTAGGGGCCAACAAAATGTTTTAATTTTGTTTAAAAATCAGAAGGATAAATGCAACTCAGCCTTGCATTACATTTGTCTTCATATCGATGCAGTCATAAAATATCATGTTGTATTTTTTCTTTGGATGGAGGAAGAGACCCACGAAGGCAAAGTACCCAGGGCCCAGGAAAGCTGTGACATGGCCCTGGGCACACCACCGGCACCAGCCTCTGACTGTGGGTCCTGCATGCCCGGGCAGGGTGATGACCTAGAAGAATTCCCTCCACTTGGCTCCTCCGGCAGTGAGGGGATTTCTCCGCGATCAGAGTGACCAGGTGGCCGGGCCAGGATTCCACCTGCTGCCTCCTGTGTCCCGGGGGAGGGTCCCACCCAGCCATTCGAAAGGCCTTGTGTGGGCATGTTCCAGGGTGTTAAACGATACCCTGGGCTCCACCCACCCCCACAGCCAAGGCCTTTTGGAAAAGGAGTGCTGTTTTTTGTCCTGTCTTTTTAAATAGTTTCTATGTTTTTCTACAATGTTTTCTTATGTTTCCATTTTTGCCTGCTCCTGAGCTAGTCTTCAGAGAGGCTCAGCAGTTTGCAGCTGTATTTATAAGAAAATAAAGCGCCTACAGCTTAGTCATCATCTTGCCATCATCCCACTATTTCGTGCACTTTAAATTTCCCCTCTCCCCCCGAAAGGGAGAAAAGCAGGGGGCAGGCAGGGAGCAAGCCGGCTCCAGCTTCAGCAAGGGCGGAGTCGGGGAGCTTTGTCACACATGCCAAGCACTGGGTGCCAGTCACCACCCCTACAGCCCCTGCTCGACAGGACTGTGACACTCAGCCAGAGCTCGTATTTAACCCAGATCTGACCAGCTCCAGAAATCGAACCTCTAATCACTGCAGTGTTGCCGCCTCTGGTTTTCCGGTCCTCCCCGAGGTACCCAGATGTGCAGCAGACACCACGTTTGAGGGACGAGCAAGCAAACTGGGAGGCACAAGTGGACCCGCATCAGACAGCACGGCCCAAAGGACGCTCTAATTCCAGACACTTAACTCCAAGTCCCGCACCTGCCCCACCACCTGCCTGGCTTCCGAAACCCCATACTCCCAAGCACGGCTTCGCTGCTGGGGGCTCAGGTGGACCCGTCCGGAGGGTCCACCTGGGAAAGCTGCTTCAGGCTCGGAACACCAGGCCCCAGTCCGCTGCCAAGGAGCGGAACCCGGTTTAACCCCAACCTCAGGGTGCAGACTGAAATGTGCGCCGAGCGCAGGCAGAGGAACGAGGGACGCACGGAGGCCACAAGACCACAAGGAGTCAGCGAGAACAAGCCCACTTAAAAGTTAAATCAGCCCTGCCTGGTTTGGCTCAGCGGTTAGAGCGTCGGCCTGCGGTCCTGAGAGACCCGGGTTCGGTTCCCGCTAAGGGCATGTACCTCGGTTGCAGTTTGTCCCCGGCCCTGGTTGGTCGAGCGGGTGGCAGCCACTCGATGTGTCCCTTCACGTCGATGTTTCTCTCTCTCTCTCCCTCCCGCTCTATCTGAACAAAAAATGGAAAAATGTCCTCGGGTGAGGATAAAAAAAAAAAAAAAAAAAGTTAAAACCAATGTGTAGGCCGAACAAAACCAGCTCTGCACAGGTGCCAACTCCAGAAGGGGGTTCTCACCCTGGCAGGGGCTACTGACAACTGTGGTGGGTCATTCTGTGTCCTGCGGGCGCCTTGTGCTTTGCAGGGTGCTCAGCACAGCCCTGGCCTCCGCCCACTAGGTGCCAGCAGCACGCACTCTCTCCTCCAGTTGCGAAAACTAAAAATATCTCCAGACACTGCCAAATGGACTCTGGAGTGCAAAACCGACCCTGGGGCTAAGAACCACTGGGCTAGAGTCCCTTGAAAGGCCAAGTCTTAGGCTACCTGGAAAGTTTGCTGATTTGAACATTCAGTGCCAGGCATCAGCCTTCTTAACCCTTCCCACTGAAGAGGCCTGACAGCACGTTCTGTGCCCTATGAACTTGCATGGGGCTTCTCAGATGAGGTGTCAGGGCAGAAGGGGCGGGGGCTCACCAGTCATGCGTGGAGAACTTGCTGCTGTACCGCGTGTCTTTGGCGTATTTGATCACCAAGCACTTGTACTGAGCGATCTGGAAGCGCCGGACCCGTCTCATCAGCTCAGTACTGCGAAGGCAGAGTGACAGGTGAGGAGGACCCGTCCACCAGTCCAGGCTCCCCCACCTTCTGGGGGCTTACAGATAGCCACTGACGGACGGAAAGATGCGGGCAGAGTGTGGGAAAGGCCAGGAGGAATGGCCTGTGGCGGTCTGGGGAAGGGCTGGGGGAGTAAGTTTCTCGGGAATTGGGGGCGGGGGGATGCAGAGGCCACAGGAAGAGGAAAGGGGTCTAGATTGCATTCCAAAGTGATCCCCTCCCAGAGGTCTTCACAGTCGGAACCAACTTCACAAAACCTTTTTGTGCCACGAAGAAAGCCCTTTGCTTCTGGGTCCAAGAGCAAACCCTGAGCCTCACCATAGCAGGCCAGGGATTTGGGGGGGGGAGTGTTCCCCAGGGCCATAGACAGAGGGCCAGGAGTTCTGAGGGGCTCATAGCCCCACCCCATCCAGTTCTATTACATAGGGGGCGTGTGGGGGGCAAAGCCGCACGGGTGTGGAGGTGTTTCCTGACCATCTAAGGAAACAGTCTCACCGGGAGGAGGCACGGGTCTGGCCCCCAGGGGATGCAATTTGTAAAAGACTTGGACACTCCCTTCTGAGTGAGAGGTGAAGCTCTAAGCAGCTGGGATGGGCTCGGGGAAGCAAGGTTTGACCTGGGTGGGCAGGGGAGGAGAGCCTCCTCTAGGACCAGGTTTCAGGGCGTGGCCCCCGGGAGGGAAGGCATGGGGGGGAGATCCGGCAGTGGAGGCTGAGGTCCTGGGGAGGGGGAGCAGGGGGAGAGGGAGGAGGAGGAGAGGGAGGAGGAGGAGAAGGAGGGAAGGGAGGCTGAGGTCCTGGGGTGGGGGAGGAGGAGGAGAAGGAGAAGGAGGAGAAGGAGGGAGGGGAGGCTGAGGTCCCGGGGTGGAGGAGCAGGGGGAGAGGGAGGAGGAGAAGGAGGGAAGGGAGGCTGAGGTCCTGGGGTGGGGGAGGAGGAGGAGAAGGAGAAGGAGGAGAAGGAGGGAGGGGAGGCTGAGGTCCCGGGGTGGGGGAGCAGGGGGAGAGGGAGGAGGAGAAGGAGGAGGAGGAGAAGGAGGGAAGGGAGGCTGAGGTCCCGGGGTGGGGGAGCAGGGGGAGAGGGAGGAGGAGAAGGAGGAGGAGGAGAAGGAGGGAAGGGAGGCTGAGGTCCCGGGGTGGGGGAGCAGGGGGAGAGGGAGGAGGAGAAGGAGGAGGAGGAGAAGGAGGGAAGGGAGGCTGAGGTCCTGGGGTGGGGGAGCAGGGGGAGAGGGAGGAGGAGAGGGAGGAAGAGGAGTAAGGAGGGGAGGGAGGCTGAGGTCCCAGGGTGGAGGAGCAGGGGAGAGGGAGGAGGAGGAGAAGGAGGAGGAGTAAGGAGGGGAGGGAGGCTGAGGTCCCGGGGTGGAGGAGCAGGGGGAGAGGGAGGAGGAGGAGAAGGCGGAGGAGTAAGGAGGGAGGGAGGCTGAGGTCCCGGGGTGGAGGAGCAGGGGGAGAGGGAGGAGGAGGAGAAGGAGGAGGAGTAAGGAGGGGAGGGAGGCTGAGGTCCCGGGGTGGAGGAGCAGGGGGAGGAGGAGTAAGGAGGGAAGGGAGGCTGAGGTCCCAGGGTGGAGGAGCAGGGGGAGAGGGAGGAGGAGGAGAAGGAGGGAACGGAGGCTGAGGTCCTGGGGTGGGGGAGCAGGGGAGAGGGAGGAGAAGGAGGGGGAGTAAGGAGGGAAGGGAGGCTGAGGTCCCGGGGTGGAGGAGCAGGGGGAGAGGGAGCAGGGGGAGAGGGAGGAGGAGTAAGCAGGGAAGGGAGGCTGAGGTCCCGGGGTGGGGGAGGAGGAGAAGAACGTGGTCCCAGACCACTCCTCAAGCCCCGAGCGGCCATTACCTCTTTCCTGAGAACATGGGTCCGAGAATCACCTAGGGGAGAAGGATCGGTCAATTTGGGGCCCGCTGCGCAGGGACGCCAGGGCACCGGTCACGACCCCAACCCCGACCCTGTATGCCAGGACCCCGCCCCCGCACCTGGATCTGCCCCCGGGTCTTGCTGGGGGAGCCGGGGAGCACGGTGGGCAGGTTGACGCAGCTCATGGCACCCAGGAAAGTTGGCACAACTGGAAGCACACAAACCACCGCTGCGGAAGCTCGCGCCGGTTCCCGCGCGCCCGCCTTTACCCCGGCGCGTGGGCCAATCACCGCGCGGCCAAGGAACTGGCGGGAGAGTTTATCCGCAGCCAGTCCCTTCGTGGGCGGGGCCCGGGGCGAGGCTGGGCTCGGGGCACCAGCACGGGGGCGGGGCCCGGGGCGAGCGCGGGGCTCGGGGAACCAGGACGCGGGCGGGGCCCGGGGCGAGCGCGGGGCTCGGGGAACCAGGACGGGGGCGGGGCCCGGGACGAGCGCGGGGCTCGGGGCACCAGCACGGGGGCGGAGCCCGGGACGAGCGCGGGGCTCGGGGAACCAGGACGCGGGCGGGGCCCGGGGCGAGCGCGGGGCTCGGGGAACCAGGACGCGGGCGGGGCCCGGGACGAGCGCGGGGCTCGGGGCACCAGGACGGGGGCGGGGCCCGGGACGAGCGCGGGGCTCGGGGCACCAGCACGGGGGCGGAGCCCGGGACGAGCGCGGGGCTCGGGACACCAGGACGGGGGCGGGGCCCGGGACAAGCGCGGGGCTCGGGGCACCAGGACGGGGGCGGGGCCCGGGACGAGCGCGGGGCTCGGGGCACCAGGACGGGGGCGGGGCTCGGGGCGGGGCCCGGGACGAGCGCGGGGCTCGGGGCACCAGCACGGGGGCGGGGCTCGGGGCGGGGCCTGACCCCCGCACCGCACCGCCTCTCCGCCCAGGGCTAAGTGGTTCGCCGAGCGCGCGCCGATCCGAGCGGAGAGCGAAGACGCCGGGATGGACGCTGCCCGGGAGGGTGGCAAGGGCGAGGCTCCCTGGAAGAAGATGTCTGAGACGGTAGGCGGCTCGCAGGCAGAGGCTGGGGCTGAGGACAGCAGTCAGAGGGGACTAGCTGCAGATTCTAAGAGGACTCCGGTGGGCGCCTTTGCATGCCCACCGCGCGCCCGCACCGAGAGCTTCGCGCGGCGAGCGCGCCCCCGGCAGGCCCTCGGGAGCCCGGGAGCCCGACCTTAAGGGTAGGGAAAACTGAAGTCCTGGCCACGTGACCAGGCTGCCAGAGTCGGGTCGAAGTGTCAGACCCGAGGCTGAGGTTGTGAAATGAGTGTGAGGTTGTGCCCGACGCTGAAGGACGCAGGGACCGGTGTTGACTGCAGGGTGCTGGTGAAGGTCCGAAACCACCTGCGCAGCGCACCTGTGACTCCCACTCCCTTACAGCCTTACAGCTTCCTCACTGGCATGCCTGCGTTTGGTGATGGGAGCTTCTGAGAATCGGATGAGTCGTGGATCCTGCCCCTACGCAGTCCTATTGTCTGGCTGACTCCCTCTGTCACACACTCACCTACAATATCAGAGGGCTATCAGAAACCCACTGCAATGCTATTATCATAAACAATAACGATAAAGATGATGGTAGCAGTTGCGGAGTGTGCCAGGCATGGCAGCGAACATCCTACAGACAATAGCACTCACAGGTACAGATCCAAAAACCCCTGGCCAGGAGCCCTGTTCCATAGGAAGAGGAGGTAACCCGCACTTGAGTGGTTAGCTTTACTTGGTTTACATACATGCCTTATGTCTTTGAACCTTGTGAGGCTGCTATTATTACGCCCATTATATAGATGAGGGAACTGAGACCTAGAGACTGTGATTTGTCTGGGGTAAAAGAACCTATAATTGATGGAGCTTGGATTACACTCAGCCCATCTGACTCCAGAGCCCAAGACCTTTCCATGAGGCCACCCTGTTCCCAAGTTCAGCCTTTGCCACTCTCCTTTGCCTTCATGCCCCTGCTCCAGATCCCTGATCCTTGATACTTTCTGAAGTAAGTCTGAACATCTTAGCCTGACATCCAAGGACCCCTGTCCTCCGGCCGCAGCTTCCCAGCCTCACCTCTGCGTTTTAGCAATCTGGCCAGTCAGTGTTTCCAAACTGACCTTTAGTTCCTTATGACCTCTGCCCTTTCGACTGTGCTGTGTCCTCCTGCAGCCAGAATTGTACCCCCTTTTGAAGATCAACTCCACATCACTTTCTCTGCAGCGGCCACCCCAGCTCCCTGGTCTGCAGTGGTCTGAGCTGCTGGTGTTAATCGGGACACATTTATGAGATCTCATCCTTCCTTTAAGGCTGTTTGCTGGTGAAAGGCATGGTTGTCCTTCAAGGCCACTGATCTGAGCGCGTCTGTGATGTAGCTGAAGCATCTGATTAGTTAATGGGGGAGAGAAAGGCAGGATTGCCGGGCTGGAGACTGGAGGGCTTGAAGGGAGCTGAGGGCGCCTGTGAGAGCCTGAGATTCTGGGGAGGGAGCTTCTCAGGGCAGAAGAGCACCCAGGCATGTGGCAGGTGGGGCACACTCTGTGTGGAGAACGAAGATCTCACGGAACCTATGTCTGTGTCCCATAGGAGTTGGAGAAGCAGTACAGCCCCAGCAGATGGGTTGTCCGACTGGGAGCAGAGGAAGTCATGAGGACTTATTCGATGATTGGAAACGAGGGTACCGGGAGACCTCTCCGTGGCCGCTTTGGGTGGACTTTAGCATGTGGCAGTGGTTCAGATTGCTGGGGGTGGGGAGAGGAGTGGCTACACAGCCCAGCTCTCAGGGCAGTTCCCAAAGGTCAGGACCTGCGTAAGCCTCCCGGTGGGCTCATGACTAGGAGCGGAGGAGCCCTCGCTGCAGAGCAAGAGAGGCCCAATCAACCATGAGCCACCGCCCTCCTGCTCCACCAACCGTGCCCAGGCCTTAAGGCCACATGCCACAGTAGCACGGGGAGGTGGAGTGAAAAGAGGGAGGGCCTCCTTTTTTCTTTAAAGAAGTCAGGACTTGGGAACCTGTGAGCTAGCGAGGTATCGAGGTCCTTCCCATCTCCGCTCTGTTTCCGGCTGCTGAGCTGCATTGTGCCCCCTGGCGAAGCGCGTGCTGGGCTGTGGAAGCAGGCTTCACGGGGAAGTGTGGGCGAGGAGGCAGCCAGCCTCGCCCCGCGGCTGGGAAACCTGGTGTTGGCAAATCTGCTGTATTGCACGGACTCATCGGAGCACCCGGGCTGGTGGCTCTCCAACCTGAGATAACCCAGCAGGAGGCACGGGCTTGGGGGGCTTATTCCAGCACCACTGTCCCCACAGAGGTGGGTAGAGCTGTGTCCTGGGCTCCTCGGAGTTCCCTGCTAGGCCCAGAGCTATGCCAAATACTCCTCTATTTGCTCAGTAAATATTTGAGTGCGCAGGGACACCTGCGTGGGTTTGTAGAACACCTCCCTGTTTGTCTGTCTTGTCCATCTTGAAGGGGAAGAGCTAACCCTGTTGAGAAAGGGCATCACTCCTAAGTGGCAAGAGCTAAGGCCAGGGTGTTGCCTCCCCCACCCCACCCCGCCAAACTCTGGTCAGTAGCCGTTCTGCAAGCCCTGTGGTCAGCTTTCAGTTCGGGTTCCACTCCCTTCCTTTCCCGCTGCTCCTGCTGGCCCCAAGCCGGTTCAACTGACCCAGTTCACAGATGAGGGCGGTCTTAAGCACTATTCCCTATTCCTCTTAAACTTGTTTTACCAAGTCTCATATATGCATACGTTAGGACCCCGGTCCTGCCATTCTGGTTCTGCAGGTTTCGCCTTCCTACCTGAGTTCCAAACCCTCCCCCAGGAGGACCAATCACCAGCCAGGTGGGTGGGGCCTTGTGATTGACAGCCCCTGCCACTGACAGGGTTTCCCAGGGCCCTTAGCACACTCACAATGTTGTGCAACCATCACTTCTAGCTCCAAAACACTTTCCTCAAACTGGAAAGAAAAACCCCTACCAGTTAAGCATTTACTCCCATGCCCCCACCCCCTGCCCCTGGCAACCACTGCTTCCTGTCTGTGTGGATTGGCCTATTCTGGACATTTCATGTAAATCGAATCATATGCATGTGGTATCCTGTGTCTGGCTTCTTCCCCATGCCGCAATGTCTTGGAGATCCACCTGTATTGTAGCATGTGTCCGGACTCCATTCCTGTTTATGGCCGAGTAATATTCCATTGTGTGGACATACCACCTTTGTTTAGCCATTGAACAGTTCTCACCCTGGAGAGGTGCTTGTGCTGGGCTGTGGAAGCAGGCTTCACGGGGAAGTGTGGGCGAGGAAGCAGCCAGCTTCTCCCCTCGGCTGGGAAATCTGGTGTTGGCAAATCTGCTGTATTGCACGGACTCATCGGAGCACCCGGGCTGGTGGCTCTCCAACCTGAGATAACCCACCAGGAGGCACGGGCTTGGGGGGCTTATTCCAGCACCCACCTGTCCCCACAAAGGTGGATAGAGCTGTGTCCTGGGCTCCTTGGAGTTCCCTGCTAGGCCCAGCGCTATGCCAAATACTCCTATTTGCTCAGTAAATATTTGAGTGCACAGGGACACCTGCGCGAGTTTGTAGACACCCTGTCTGTCTATTTTATCTAGTCAAGGGCATGTACCTGGGTTGCAGGTTCAATCCCTGGCCCTGGCCAGAGTAGAAGGCAACCAATCGATGTATCCCTTTCATGTCAATGTTTCTCTCTCTTTCTCTCCATCCCTTCCACTCTCTCCTTTTTTAAATAAATTTTTTTTTCTTTATTGATTTTATAGAGAGGAAGGGAGAGGAAGAGAGAGATAGAAACATCGATGAGAGAGAATATTGATTGGCCGCCTCCTGCATGCCCCCCACTGGGGATTTGGCCCACACTCTGGGCATGTGCCCTGACTGGGAATCGAACCGGGACCTCTCGGTGCATGGGTCCATGCTCAACCACTTAGCTACGCCGGCCGGGCCCTTCCACTCTCTCATAAAGAACAAAAAATCAATGGAAAAATATCCTTGGGGGAGGATTAACCCCCAAAAGGGGGGGTAGGGGTAGTCACTTTGGCGGGGGGTGGGGGAACATTTCACTGAAAAGCCTTTTGTGTATTTTTTTTAACCATATTACGGTATTATTTCTTCACAGGAAAAGTAATGGCACTCACTTATTTTTTAAACTTACACTCAGTTTGCACATAACTTTCACAGACTGAATCCTCCAAACATTTAAATGATGTGCCCAATGCAATACGATTCTTAAGAAGCTCTTCAGCTTACTCACACACGCAATGTTTGATTCACGTAACAAGGTCTTGTAGTTCTTGTAGTTCTAACCAATTAAAACTTGCCTAATTAATAATAGATCAGTTCTGTTCAGTATGCCCTGCAGAGTGGTCTGCACCCCTGTGGCACATGGACCTCTGTGGAGCCCGTTGTGTTCTGGTGGCTGGTCCTTGCAGAACTCACACATCAGGCTCCGAGCAGTTGGTCAGCTGCAGCTTTAGATGGGACATCTGCCCCCATCCCTCTATGGGGAGGGACCCACAGAACACACCTCTCGCTGGCCTTGCCCCTTCACCCCAGGGACAGGGGTCAGTAGAGAGGTCAGGGATGGCAAAACTGGTTTGCAGCCACTTCACCCCTGCTTTGGCACGTGGGAAATTTGGCATCTACCATCATTTTTATTTCTCTCAGCCTTGAGCAGCCCAGCTGAAATGGCACAGCCCATTTTGCACACTTACAGAAACACAGTTTATGCAAACCATCTTTACCTACCAAGGCTGCCTGTTCTGGTCCTGGCCAGTCTGGCTCAGCGGTTAGAGTGTCGGCCAGCGGACCAATGAGTCGCGGGTTCGATTCTGGCCAAGGCCACGTACCTCATTGCGGTTCATCCCCGGCCCTGGTGGGGGTCGTGCGGAAGGCAACCAGTCGATGTTTCTCTTTCACGTCGATGTTTCTCTCTCTCCCTTTCTCTCATTCGCCCTCCCCCCCACTCTATCTGAAGATAAATGGAAAAATGTCCTCGGGTGAGGATTTAAAAAAAAAGCATTTCTCCCTGACCCGTTTGGCTCAGTGTTCGACCTGCGGACCAGAGAGTCCCGGGTTCAGTTCCCGCTAGGGGCATGTACAAAAAAAAAAAAAAAAGACTGCCTGTTCTGGAGTTGCAGAATCATCCACCCCAGGGGCCCACTGTGGCCACCAAGGTTGGGGTCCCGGGGACCTCCAGGACGTGGACCCCAGGTTGCAGTTCTCTTCTTGCCAACCCTTAGCATCGGAGCTGGCGCTGATGACGCTGCGTGACATCCGTGAAACCTGGTCTTGCTCTTTACATCATGAAATACAGTTTTTCCTTTTCAAAAGTGCATTTTGCCCAGCCAGTTGAGTGTCCGTCAACCTATGCACAAGAGGTGAGCAGTGTGATTCCTGGTCAGAGCTCCATCCCCAGTGGGGGACATGCAGGAGGCAACCCATCCATCTCTCCCGTTCCCTTCTTCTCTCTCTAAAAATCAATAAAAACATATTATTTTCTTTTTCTTTATTAATTTTTAGAAGGAGAGAGAGAGAGATCGAAACATCAATGAGAGACAACATCAATTGGCTGCCTCCTGTGTGCCCCTGACTGGGGATCGGGCCCACAACCTGGGCATGTGCCCTGACCAGGAATTGAACTGGTGACCTCTTGGTGCATGGGTCAATGCTCAACCACTGAGCCACATTGGCTGGGCTATTATTATTTTCTTATAATGAGTCAATTTTTATTTTATTTTTATTTTTTAATTTATCTATATTGTTGAATGTATTATAGATGTTCCTTCCTTTTCCCCTATTGACTTCCTCCTTCCTGCTCCCTCCCCCCTCCTGCTTCCCCACACTATTGTCTATGTCCATTGGTTATGCATATATGCATATAAGTTCTTTGGTTTATCTCTTCCTGCTGCCCCCTTCCCTTTGAGGTTCATCAGCCTAACAACCAATTTGTACTTTTTTTTTTTATCCTCACCTGAGGACATTTTTCCATTTTTTGTTCAGGTAGAGTGGGAGGGAGAGATTGGAACACAGAGAGAGAGAGAAACATCGATGTGAAAGGAACACATCGAGTGGCTGCCACCCGCACAACCGACCAGGGCCAGGGACAAACTGCAACCGAGGTACATGCCCTTAGCGGGAACCGAACCCGGGTCCCTCAGGACCGCAGGCCGACGCTCCAACCGCTGAGCCAAACCGGCCAGGGCCAATTTGTACTTCTTAATCCCTTCACCTTTTTCACCCAATCCTCCTCCCATCTGTCAACCAACAAAAAGTTCTCTGCATCTATGAATCTGTTTCTGTTTTGCTTGTTCATTTTGTTTGTAGATTCAGTTGTTGATAGATATGTATTTATTGCCATTTTATTCATATTTTTTATTTTCTTCTAGAAGACCCTTCAGCATTTTATGTAATACTGGTTTGGTGGTGATGAACTCCTTTAGCTTTTTCTTGTCTTAGAAACTCTTTATATGGCCACTGATTCTAAATGACAGCTTTGCAGGATAGAGTAGTCTAGGTTGTAGGTCGTTGCTTTTTATCACTTTGAATATTTCTTGCCACTCCCTTCTGGCCTGCAAAGTTTCTTTTGAGAAATCAGCTGACAGTCTTATGGGAACTCCCTTGTAGGTAACTAACTGCTTTTCTCTTGCTGCTTTTAAGATTCTCTCTTTGTCTTTAAACTTTTGCATTTTGATGATGATGTGTCTTGGTGTGGGCCTCTTTGGGTTCATCTTGTTTGGGACTCTCTGTGCTTCCTGGACTTGTATGTCTGTTTCCTTCACCAAGTTAGGGAAGTTTTCTGCCATTATTGTTTCAAACAGGTTTTCAATTTCTTGCTCGCTCTCTTCTCCTTCTGGCACCCCCAAGATGCTAATGTTGGTGTGCCTGAAGTTGTCCCAGAGGCTCCTTACACTATTCTCATTTTTTCGGATCCCTTTTTTTCTTTTTGCTGTTCTGATTGGATGTTTTTTGCTTCCTTACATTCCAAATCGATGGTTTGCTTCTTGGTTTCACCTACTCTACTATTGATTCCCTGTAAATTATTCTTTATTTTAGTTAGTGCATCCTTCATTTCTGACTGATCTTTATTTATGGTCTTGAGGTCCTCACTAAGTTCCTTAAGAGTCCTTATAACCTATGTTCTGAACTCTTTATCTGTTAGATTGCTTATCTCCATTTCATTTAGTTCTTTTTATGGAATTTAGTTTTGTTCTTTCATTTAGGACGTGTTTCTTTGTCTCCTCATTTTGGCTGCCTCCCTGTGTTTGTTTCTATGTATTAGATAGAGTTGCTATGTCTCCTAGGCTTCATAGGGTGGCCTATGTAGTAGGCGTCCTATAGGGTCCAGTGGCACAGCCTCCGTGATCACCCTTGAGGTGCACCCCCCCAAGTGACTGTAGACCCTTCTGTTGTAATTGAGTCTTGATTGCTGTTAGCAGGTCAATCAGAGAGATTTACTCAGGCTGAGAAGCTGCAAGGATTGGCTGTGCCCACTGACCTCTGACTACCTTGGAGGATCAGCTGTGCAGAGATCCAACACACAGAGCAAGACTTACTGCAGCAGGGCTCTGGTACCCACTGAGCCCACTCCTTGAGTGTGTCGCTTGTGGAGGTGGTTGGGTGATGGTGCAGCCTCCCCAGCTCTCGGCCCAGTGCCAAACAACTCAGCTCTTCCCCGTGTGTCTCTGGTGCCTTTCAAGCTGCCTCCCCCACGCTGGAGCCTGGAGGGAGCGGGTCTGAGTAAGTCCATGCTTGGACCCTTTAAGAGCAGCTGCCTGGGGTTCCAGCCGCCTCAGCCTCCCTGAGCCTCAGTTTCCATTAGATTTACAGCCAGAAGTGATGGGGATTCTCTTCCTGGCGCAGGAACCCTGAGCAGGGCATCTGGTGTGGGACGGGGACCCCTCAGTTCTCAGGGAGGACCTTCCCAGCCGAGGTGTCCTCCTGATTTTTATCCACCACATGTGGGTGTGGGACCAGCCCCTCAACCTCTGCCCCTCCTACCAGTCTCAGTGTGGCTGCTGCTTTAATTCCGTAGTTGTAGGACTTCCATTCAGCTTGATTTCAGGTGGTTCTGAATGATTGTCCTGTAGTTTAGTTGTCATTTTGATGTGGTTGTGGGAGGAGGCGAGCACAACTGTAACAACAACAAAAAGATGTACCCCCAAAAAAGTAGAAAATGCATTTTGGATTCTGTTTATGCAACCTTTGCCTGTCCAAGGTCACGAAGACCCCATTTCCTTTTCTGAACGCTTTGTTGTCTGTCACGTGCAGATCTAGAGTCCACTGGAACTGATCCGGCTGGTGAGGCAGGGGTCACGGAACCTTCGTTTTCCCATTTGGGTGTTCAGTTGACCCAGCACCTCTTATTGAAATCTTTCATTATGACACAATTTTCTTTTCCTTTTTCACACACATTTTAGAAGTGCTTCCCATGGTCTGGCCAGTGTGGCTCAGCGGTTGAGCATCGATCTTGCATCCAGAGGTCACCAGTTCGATTCCCGGTCAGGGCACATGCCCAGGTTGTGGGCCCGATCCCCAGTGGGGGGCATGCAGGAGGCTGCCAGTCGATGTTCTCTCTCATTCATGTTTCTGTCTCTCTTCCCCTCTCCCTTCCCCTCTCTCTAAAAATCAATAAAGGAAAAAAAATGTTTTTAAAAATTAAAAATACAAATAAATAAAAAACAGAAGTGCTTCCCGTGTATCGGGTCCTGGGTGTACAGAGGAGGGGAAAGCCACGCCCCTATCCTCACAGAGCTGTGTGCTAGGCAGGGCGGCAGACAGACGAAAGCGAGAAGAAACCTGTGGAGGATGATGGATGCTGAGATAAATAACACGGCAGGGACGGGCATACCAGCATGTGTCCAACCTGTCTAACCCGTCTTCTCTACAGGCCACGGGCTGGGACCGGTGCTTTGCTATTATAAATAAATAGTATGACTGTGGGCATCTTCAAAACAAGTCCTTGGGAATATTTCTGATTATATTTTTATAATAAATATATGGGTAAAGACTTATGCATCGCCCGGCTGGTGTGGCTCAGTGGTTGAGCGTCGACCCTGCTTCAAGAGCTCACCAGTTCGATTCCCGGTCAGGGCACATGCCCGGGTTGTGGGCCCGATCCCCAGTGGGGGGCATGCGGGAGGCGGCCAGTCAATGTTCTCTCTCATCGATGTTTCTATCTCTCTCTCCCTCTCTCTCTCTCAAATCAATAAAGGAAAAAAAAGTGTCATTCTCTAAAAAAAAAAAAGAAAAGAAAAGGAGTAATGCGTCAATGGATGTGACCTTGGGCTTCGATGCACATTTCCAAGTTGCCATCCAGAAAAGCTTGCCATGTGCCCAGTGTTGGGGGTAGCTAACCTACCAGGATTTCGGTGATTGTTGGGGGGACTCTTGGGAGCATTTTCTACTGCAGCATGACCATGCAGAGTCCCCTCCCACCCCCACCTTCGCTGTGGTCTTTACATACAGTACTTAGGATTCTCTCCAGTGCCCTTCCTCCTTGTCCCTGACCCTGGTGCTGCCAATTTTCACATCACTCTGACCTTTTTCATCTCGGCTCCCAGGTCTGTATTTCTACAGTTTCATCACCTGTTTATTTCTAGTGAGTTTATATCTTGTTTCCCTCGTGTTTTTCCAAATACTTGGAGAATGTTTCCTTCCCAGAGCACGTAGCAAAGGGTAGCACACACGAGGGCACGTACTGCAGCGATCGGAGCGGTGCCTCTCGGAACTGCCAGCTCACTCACGGGCAGACGTCAGCAGAAAGGGTTGGGCCCGCTTGGACGGGCCAGTCTGGTCCCTGTCACCACACACAGGTGGGGTGCTTCCGAACCCAGCCCAGGGTCATGAGGACTTGGGGAAGCATTGACAGCTGGAGCCGACTGGTCAACCCAAAGGGGCTTCTAGCGAAAAGGTTTCTACCTGAAATCAAGTAGGAAATCAAGCGACTTGTTTGTTTCCTGAGACAGCCACCAAGAGGGCCCGGGCCACCAGGAGGAGCCTGCTGGATGTCCCCTATGGAGACGGGGACGGGGACAAGCTGGACATCTACTTCCCCGACGCAGTGTCTGAAGGTGAGCAGAGGGCTGGGGTGCCCAGGCAGAGCCCCGCTGGGGCCCCGCTCAGCCCGCGCCCTGGTTCTGTCTTACAGCCCTGCCTCTCCTCGTGTTCGTTTACGGAGGGTACTGGCAGAGTGGAAGGTGGGTCGCACACCGGGATGAGCACAGACCCAGGGAGATTCGTCTTCACCTGGCCTATGAGTTCCCGCGGCTGCGGCACAGTGGCCACGCGCTGGGGGCTGGCAACACGGGGATGGGCCCGAACCCCGGGGCCAAGGTGTCAGCAGGGCCGCGCTCCCTCCAAAGGCCTGAGGGGAGGACCCGTCCTGGCCTCTCCCCGCTTCTGGTGGCCCCGGGCGTTCCTCGGCTTGTGGCCGCATCGTTCCCCTCTCGGCCTCTGTCTGCACACGGCCTCTGCGTGTCTGTCTCAGAGCTTTCTCGTGCGCGGTCGCCCCTCGTTGGATTTCGGGCCCATTCTACATTCGGGATGAGCTCGGCTCAAGATGCTTAGTTACATCTGCAAAGAACCTATTTCCAAATAAGGTCACCTTCGAAGGCGCTGGGGCTTCTGTGGACGCATCTTTTCGGGGAACACCATTGGACTGTCGGTCTGCTCTATGACCAAAGTCTGCTCGGCCCTGAGTGGCTTCCCAGGACATGGGCCTTCTGGTGATAAAAAGAGAAAGTCCTCCCCGGCCAGCGGCTCGGTGGATTGAGTGTCGTCCCACAGGCTAAGTCCCAGTTCCATTCCCGGGCAGGGCATGTGCCCAGGTTGTGGGCTCGATCCCCAGTAGGGGGCGTGCAGGAGGCAGCTGATCGATGTTTCTCTCACATTGATGTTTCTATCTCTTTCTTTTTTTTTTTTAATCCTCATCCGAGGACATTTTTCCATTTTTTGTACAGACAGTGTGGGAGGGAGAGAGAGGAAGAGAGAGAGAGAGGGAAACATCGATGTGAAGGGACGCATCGAGGGGCTGCCACCCACACGACCAACCAGGGCCGGGGACAAACTGCAACCGAGGTACGTGCCCTTAGTGGGAACCGAACCCGGGTCTCTCCGGACCGCAGGCGGACGCTCTAACCGCTGAGCCAAACCGGCCAGGGCTCTATCTCTTTCTTAAAAAAAAAAAAAAATCAATAAAAATATATTTTAAAAAGAAAGAAAGTCCTGGGCAAACCAGGACAGCTGGTCACCTTCAGACAAGCTGAGGGCATCTGGGATCTTCAGGGACACCTGCTCCCTGGGCTCTTACTAAGGGGGCGCCTGTGATGGGACCCTCACCCTCGCGCGTCCACGCTCACCGCGCGTCTGCTGTGCTCTGCCCTTTGCCAGGTGACGGTCTCTGCATGCCTGGCCTTCCGTTCTCAAAACAGCATGTGAGAGGGAGAGCGTAGTCAGGCTGAGGACGAGACCAGGCTCGGGTTCTAGGAGGCCCCGAGTTCCCATCACTCTCATGGGGTGTGGCGAGGACAGAGCTGCCCTTCTCCACACCACACAGGGTCAGCGAGAGGCAGTGCTCCGGGTGGTCAGGACACCGGCGCAGTGTGGTGGCCGAGTTGCCGCCGGTTGTCACCTCTTTGTCTCTTTCTGCAGCAAAGACGAATCAGCCTACATGGTGGGCCCGCTGACAGCTCAGGGAGTAGCCGTGGTGATAGTGGCTTATGACACTGCCCCCAAAGGTAACGACAGAGGCTTTGCAGGTTTGGGGGCCCGCGGGCGTTGGAGGGGAGCCCGCCCCTGACGGAACCCAGCTCGCGCTCTCTGTGTAGGTACCCTGGACCACATGGTAGACCAGGTAACCCGGAGCATCTTGTTTCTCCAGAAGCAGTATCCACGCAATGAGTGAGTATCACTTCAGGGTTTCCTGGCCGATGCTGGGGGTGGGGGCAGAGGAGGACACCGGATTCAGCCCCCCGATGCCTTCCAGCTGTCCTGGCCTGTGGAGCAGAGGGCAGCTTGGGACTCCTTGCTACTGGCCGGATGTTTTGGGAAACTGAATGCAAACCCGCTCTGACTCCTACCAGGGGGATTTACCTTTGCGGACACTCAGCTGGGGCCCACCTGGCTGCCATGATGCTCCTGGTTAACTGGACCAAGCAGGGAGTCGTACCCAACTTCAAAGGTTTCCATGGGTGCCTGGCCTGCTGGGCGGCCCCCACCCCATGGGGCCTGTTTGCTTCTTCTCTGCCCCCTGTTCTGGTCTCGCCTCCTGGTCCTGGAGCCTGGGCTGGCCCCATCTTGCCCACTTGGTGCCCGCTTGAGACTTAGTCTGGGTGGGGTGATGGCCCCACTTGCCCCCGGGCCCTCTGACTGTTTCTCCCCCCAGGCTTTTTCCTGGTGAGTGGGGTCTATGACCTGGAGCCCATTGTGTACACCACTGTGAACAACCCTCTTCACATGACCCTGTGAGTCGCTCCCCTCCCCCAGCTGGCTGAGATCCTGTGAGGGCTGCAGGGGTGAGGGCCAGGCTCCTCTCTCCTGACCGCCCACCCCCTGTGCCAGGGAGGATGCTCGGAGGAACAGCCCACAGTGGCGCCTGGAGGTGACCCCCACACAGCCCATGGACCCAGCCTGCCACGTGCTGGTGATTGTGGGCCAACATGACAGCCCCGAATTCCACCGACAGGCCTGGGATTTTTATCAGGTACCCCGAGCACCCTGCTTTGGGCTGGAGGTTGAGGGTCATGCGAGCTCATTAACTTTACCTTTATTTCACCCAAATGGCCCTAAGCTCATCCGTCACTATTCAGCAGATGTCTAGTGAGCTCCTGGTCCGTGCCCCGTACAGGGTGAGCCCGCCTCCTGGGCCTCATGCACCTTTCTGTTCCCCACCAGACGCTGAGCAGAGGACGGTGGGAAGCCTCCTTCAGAGAGCTCCCCGACGTGGATCACTTTGAGATCATTTGGAAACTAACCCAGGAGGACTATGCGCTCACCCAGGTGGGCACGTCCCTTCGCTGAGGATGGCGTGGGTCCTGTCACAGCGCCTACAGGAACGGGGCGGGGGGCGCGGCCGGCCGGGAGCACAGAGGAGCCACTGGCCAGCTTTTTGTCATCTATTTCCATGTTCTACCGAGAACATGCATACTTCTTTTTAAAAAAATTTTTTCCCTGCATTGATTTTAGAGAGAGAGGAAGGGAGAGGGAGAGATAGAAACATCGATGAGAGAGAACATCGATGAGAGAGAACATCAAGTGGCCGCCTCCTTCATGCCCCGCACTGGGGATTTGGTCCACAACCTGGGTATGTGCCCTGACCAGGAGTCAAACCCATGACCTCTTGGTGCATGGGTCGATGCTCAACCACGGAACCACATCGGCCAGGCCATACATACTTTTTCGACTGGGAAAAACAAATATCCCTAAATGACATCTCTCGAAAAATCTAAGAAGTAAATATTTTAGGAGTTGGGAGCCCTCGGTCTCCTACACAGCTATCCAACTCGGCCATTGTAGCTGAAAAGCCTCCACAATTCATAAGGGAATCGACGTGGCTGGGCTCCGATAAGCCTTTGTTTATAGATGCTGAAATTTGAATTGCTATTATTATTTTTTTAATTTTGTTTTTCTTTTCTTTTTTTATTTTATTTTATTGATTTTAGAGAGAGAAGAAGGGAAAGGGAGAGAGAAATAGAAACATCAACGAGAGAGAGTATCAACTGGCCGCCTCCTGCATGCCCCCCACTGGGGATCGGGCCCACAACCTGGGCATGTGTCCTGACCGGGAATTGAACTGGCGACCTCCTGGTGCCTGGGTCAACGCTCAACCACTGAGCCACACACTGGCTGGACTTAATTTTGTTTTTCAATTACAGTTGCATTCAATATTATTTTATATTAATTTCAGGTGTACAGCATAGTGGTTAGACAATTATATACTTTACAAAGGGATCCTCTGTGAAATTGGAATTTTATATCATTTTTACATATCTCAAAATCATATATTTTTGGATTTCTTTTCAACTGTTTGAAAACAATTGGCTCGCCCTGGCCGGTTTGGCTCAGCGGTTGGAGCGTCGGCCTGGGACCAGAGAGTCCCTGGTTCGGTTCCCGCTAGGGGCACGTACCAAAAAAAAAGAAAACAATTGGCTCATGGGTCACACACAGCCCGGCAGCCCAGGAGGTAAGTCTGCAGGAGGCTGGGAGCTTCATTAGCACATTTCTGAGGGGAGGAGATGACCCCCAGGTTGTATTTTAGGGTCACACATATGCAGCCTGTTTCTTTCATCACATTCCTTCCGAGACAGCCGCACAAGTGCCTCTCAATTCTCGGGCTTGTGTCTTTTCTTCCTGCTGCAGATTCTTTTGAAAACGATCTTCCAGGAGTCCAAGGGCCCCTGAACCCCGCCACGTACACCCGACTTCCGGGCTTCTACAGGAGGCCTGACCGCTGCCCCCTCCTGCCAGCCCCCGCTTCCCCGCTGCCTGGTAGCCTCCGTCTGCCCGCCTGCCCTGGCCGAGCCCATTCTTCCCATTGCTCGGAGCAGACACAGGTGTCCACGCCCGTGCCCCAGTGTGGATGGAACAGCTCCAGGGACCGTCCAGCCCAGGGCAATGCTGCCCGATGCCCGGCCGCCTCTGGCCAAGTCAACACTTCCGCCTGCCCGCTGCCCACGGACCTTTTAAACAAGTCAGAAAAGGATATTCTTCGGGACATGTAAAAATGATAGAAAATTCAGGTTTCAGCATCCACGGATAAAGGTTTATCGGAGCCCCGCCACGCTCGTTGGTTGACGATGGGTTTTTGAGCTGCAGCGGCCGGGTGGGGTGGCCGTGTCAGAGCCTGGGCGGCCCGCGGTGCTGAAATCACTGCGACCCGGCTCTTTGCAGAGAAGTTTGCTGCCGCTGTGGAAAGAGCTCCCCAGACCACTTCTGCCATTCGCTTCAGGCTTGTCCACTCAGCCCGGGGCTCCACCTGTCCCCGAAAGCCCTGCCCATGACAGGACAGTGACAGCCACAAGCGGACGAGCTTCCTCCGGCGCCCAGGGGAGTGTGCAATCCCCCGGGAACCAGCTGTGTCTGTCTGCCACCGCTGTGCCCACCGCCTCTCTGCCCCACTCTGAGTAGCTTGTAGTTCAAGAGTGATTTATTACAGCAAAAAAAGGAATTCGTCTCGATGTTCGTCAGTAAGGAATAAGCACATCTGAGCAGCCGGCCACCACATGGACATCGGACTGAGATCTATGTTCATCACGTGGGAAAAATCCAAGATGCAGAATTCCATGACAAAGCAGGTGCATGCCCGGCGGTGTGGCTCAGTGGATTGAGGGTCATCCCAAGGACTGAGAGGTCCTGGTTCAATTCCCAGTCAGGGCCCCAGTCAGGGGCGTGCAGGAGGCAGCCGATCGGTGTTTCTGTCTCACATTGATGTTTCTATCTCTCTCCCGTTTCTTCTCTAAAAAATCAATAAAAAGATATATTAAAAAAAAAAAAAAAGCAGGTGCCCTGGCTGGTTTGGCTTAAGTGTTAGAGCGTCGGCCCACGAACCAAAAATTCACAGGTTCAATTCTGGTCAAGGGCAATACCTCGGTTGTGGTTCGATCCCAGGCCCTGGTTGGGGTCATGGGGGAGGCAACCAATTGATGGATCTTTGTCATGTCGATGTTTCTCTCTCTCTCTCTCTCTCTCTCTCCCTCCCTCCCTTCTTCCTTCCCACTCTATCTGAAAAAAGGAAAAATTTTAAAAAGCACATGCTCAGTGATACAGTTGAGTGCCATCAGTGACGTCACCTAACACACAGGAAGTGCTGTTTCCGAGTGTGCCCAGGGCTCTGTGAGTGCAGGGGAAAGGGGGGGACCCACACCTTCAGGGAGAACAGAGGAGCAGGGAACAGCGGGGTGACGAGTTGGTTTCTTCAGGATTCTTTGCATCTTTTAGAATAAAAATGTAACAAGTACTTAGATGTAGTCTGCAATTTGAAACATTAAAATATTCAAAAAGCCTTCAGGATGCAGGCAAAGGAGAATGATCTTCCGGAGGTAACTTGAACCTACTCTAGATTTTTAAAGAAAATGACCCACAAATTGTATGAATTTATTTATTTATTTATTTATTTTTCATGATTGATTTTAGAAAGAGGAGGAGAGAGGGAGAGAGAGATAGAAACATCGATGAGAGAGAACATCGATTGGCCGCCTCCTGCACGCCCCCTACTGGGGATCGGGCCCACAGCCTGGGCATGTGCCCTGACTGGGAATCGAACCGGCGACCTCTTGGTGCAGGGTCGACGCTTAGCCACTGAGCCACACCGGCCGGGCCGTATGAATTCATTTAATATTTGCAACAAATTCCTGGTGGGACACCTCGGGGCTGCTGGCAGGAAAGCCTGTCACTCCGTCACCACACCAGGGTGAGAATTACTCCCTTACGTTATGACTTTTTAAGGCAAAATGCCTTGAGGTAAGCAAAGGACAGAACAGAAGCCCTCAGGCTGTGTGACCCCCTTTTCACTCGCGGACGTGCGTCCACCTGTGACTGGCAGGTGCCAGCCGCCGCCGGACGAGACGGGACAGGTGCCCTGTGCTCACCCGCAGGCCGCACGGTGAAGCGGGGCGATTCTCAGTTTCTTTTGTCGAGTATAAATTTTGTATTACTAGAAATATTTCAGTTGGCTATAAAACTTGCACTAAATAGACTGAATGAGATAACTGATCAATGTTAAATTTCCTGATTTTGATAGTTGTATTGTGATAATGTGAGAGAATGAAGTATTTAGGGGTAAAGAGTTGGGATGCCTTCAGCTTACTCTTAAATGGTTCAGGTAAAAAATATACACATACAGCCTGGCCGGTGTGGCTCACTGGTTGAGCGTCAACCCTGCACCAAGAGGTCACCAGTTCGATTCCAGGTCAAGGCACATGCCCAGGTTGTGGGCCAAATCCCCAGTGGGGACATGCAGGAGGAGGCCAATCGATGTTCTCTCTCATCGATGTTTCTCTCTCTCTCTCTCTCTCTTTCCCTTTCCCTCTCTCTAAAATCAATAAAGAAAAATTATTAAATAAATAAAAAATATACACATACATATGTGTGTGTGTATGCACGTGTGTGTACACACACATGGAGACAGAATGAGAACAATAAAACAACAGGCAAGTGTAAACCAGTTGGAAAACCTGGGTACATGAGTATTCCTTGTACTACTCTCCCAACTTTAATTTAAAATGATAAGATAAAAAGGCACCCCGGCCCCGTGACATTGGAAGAAAGCAGGCCGGCGCGCTCCGGAGGACGAGCGAGGCCTCTTACTTCGCCGTCTGCCCAGCCCTTCCGCTGGGGACGTGGTCCGAAGGCCCTGTTCTGACCAAGACCAGGGACACAGGTGGCTTTTCGTCCTCGGAGGCTGCAGGACTTTCTGTGCTGGGCGCCTGCTTTGGGGAGGGAAAGGGGCAGTTTGCCTGGTCTGTCCCTGCTCCCCTGCAGGCCTTCCCTGTGGTGGCCCTGCCCTGGCCCCCGCTGGAAGGTGGCCCTCCAGGACACCCAGGCCTGGGCGGTCAGCCACGTCCTCAGGGCCTTGAGCTCCTTCCCTTTCCCTGTCCCTTGCCCTTCAAGCTCTTTTGGAGTTCTCCGTGTGGCCTGGAGGCCTTCCTTCCTGACTGTGGAGCAGGGCAGGTGGCGCCCCCTTTGGTCGCCCAGGGTTAGGGGCTGCACAGGGATCTCCTGGAGCCTGGTTTCCACCCCAGACTCCTTATCTTTTCCAGACTCCTGCCAGCGGCTCTGTGTCTCCATTTATTCAGGTCCCAGCACCTAGGGGAGTTTAGGATTGAGACAAGTGTGCTTCAAACCACTGTGCAAAGCTGCTAATTGACAAGTCGGCGTGGGGGCCACAGGCCAGATCTTGGAGGACACAAGCCTGACCCTTTTTCACCCACCCTCCGTGCACATGCTTCTGGAGGGCCCAGTCGTCAACCGAAAAACCAAAGCCAGAAGAAATCGTCGATGAGTGCCTTCCACAAGTCATCTCACAGTGGAGCAAGGCCTTCTCTGCGTGGCAAAGACAACTGAACAGCAGAAGACAACCAGGAACGGAAAACAAGAGCCAGAAAGACAGCGAGGGTACGTCGGACTGCACAGAAACCTAAACATACGACGAGGTTAAAAGACAACAAACTGGGTTCAGGGTGGGGGACATGGCACCAGAGGTCCCAGCTCTTCTGCATACAAGCTCTCACCAGGCAACAGGCACGAGCTCAGCAACCCAACAGGAGAGCGGGCACAGGTGATTGGCAATCGGAAAAGAAAGGTAAGTGACTCGTCAACTCGAGAAGAGGTGACCGGCCTCTGTTCTCAATAAAGAGGCGCAGCCCTGGCCGGTTTGGCTCAGCAGTTAGAGCGTCGGCCTGCGGTCCTGAGAGACCCGGGCTCGGTTCCCGCTAAGGGCATGTATCTCAGTTGCAGTTTGTCCCCGGCCCTGGTTAGGTCCTGCGGGTGGCAACCACTCGATGTGTCCCTTTCACGTCGATGTTTCTATCTCTCTCTCCCCCTCCCACTCTATCTGAATGGAAAAATGTCCTCGGGTGAGGATTAAAAAATAATAATAATAGTAAATAAATAAAAATAGAGGCGCAACTGAAAACAAGCCCATGTGGCGTTGGAGTCTCGGGTGAGCAATAATCAAAATGTCCCATGTGACCGCGGGGCCCTAGGGAAACAGGAGCTCCCAGGGCTCAGAGAAAGTGGTCGACCCCACCCTCCTGCTGACCCCTCCCTCTGACCCTGAGAATTCAGCAGTAGAACCGACACAGCTGCGCCCAAGCTGAGAAATCCAAGCTGCCAGCTTCTCATCCCGTTGGTAATGACTGACTGGTAGAAATGAACCAAACGAAGTTTGACAACGGCCGAAATTGCACATGGTAAATGTCTTTATTTATTTATTTATATGTTTTTATTGATTTGAGAGAGAGAGAAACATCGGTCGGCTGCCTCCTGCACACCACCAACTGGAGATCAAGCCTGAAACCCGGGCATGTGCCCTGACCGGGAATTCAACTGGCAGCCTCTTGGTGCTCGGGATGGCGCCCAACCAACTGAGCCACACCGGCCAGGGCAACAAGTGTCTTTAAACTGATATAAGCCTCAAGGTTTTTTAGCTACTAAATCGAGATGTTAAAAATTGGACCCAGCTCGGCCAGTGTGGCTCGGTGGCTGAGCGTCGACCCATGCACCAAGAAGTCACTGGTTTGAATTCCGGTCAGGGCACATGCCCAGGTCGTGGGCCCGATCCCCAGAGGGGGCATACAGGAGGCCGCCAATTGATGTTCTCTCTCATCAATGTTTCTATCTCTGTCTCCTTCTCCCTTCCTCTCTCTCTCAAAACAATAAAGAAAAAAATCAGACCCAAGCCCTGGCTGGTTAGGCTCAGCGGTTAGAGCATCTGCCTTCAGACCAAAGGGTCTTGGGTTTGATTCTCAGTCAAGGGCATGTACCTGCATTGCAGGTTCGATCCCCAGCCCGGGTCGGGGTCATGCAGGAGACAACTAATTGATGTGTCTCTCTCACATGGATGTTTCTCTCTCTCTTCCTCCCTCCCTTCCACTCTATCTAAAAATCAATGACAAAATATCCTCAGGTGAGGATTAACAACAACAACAAAAATTTGGACCCAAGACAATAAGAACCTGGTAGAAATAATGTAGAAAGCTCAAAATGGCAGAAGCTGTTACTGATAAAATTTGATAGAACCAAAAGGTGATCTCTGAATTAAATATATGTTACAAAATCTTGTGAAAAATGGGGAGTTAGAGTTTAATGAGCAGAGTTGCAATTTGGGGAGATGAGAAAATTCTGGAGGTGGATGGGGTGACGGCTGCACAACCGTGTGAATATGCTTAATGCCACTCAACAGCCCACTTAAAATGGTTAAAATGAGCCCGGCAGTGTGGCTCAGTGGTTGAGCATCGACCCATGCATCAAGAGGTTGCCAGTTCGATTTCCCGTCAGGGCACATGCCCAGGATGTGGGCCAAGTCCCCAGTGGGGGGCATGCAGGAGGCAGCCAATTGATGTTCTCTCTCATCGATGTTTCTCTCTCTCCCTCTCCCTTCCTTTCTCTCTAAAATCAATAAAGGAAAAAAAAATTTTTTTAATGGTTAAAATGATAAATTATATATGTTAAGTATATTTTACCCTGTATAATTGTATAAATATACATGATATACAATAAAAAGAACAATCTAGAAAAAGCACAGGCATTCCAAATACTTCAGCTTAGTGATAACTCTTTCAGTTTCTACAGAAAAGAACCAAAGCCCAAAATGTTGAGATTTTTCTGCATATTCAATGTTATATACTAACGTTATAATAAATATATTATCAATATTATATGACTCTTGTATATGATGAAAAGGAGTAATAATAATTTTTAAGAATCATATGGAAAAGACCTAAGCAGCTGAAGTTTTCAGTAAAATAAAAATATTAATGGAAAAAAATTGAAACCTAAACTTAAAACATTGAATTGATGGACTGTGCTCCTGAAGATTTTTTTTTTTTCAACGAATGCCATTCATATCGGTAGAACTCTGATTTTAAAAGCCCGGCTGGTGTGGCTCAGTGGCTGAGCATCGACCCATGCACCAAGAGGTCCCGGTTTGATTCCTGGTCAGGGCACATGCCCAGGGTGTGGGCCAGATCCCCAGTGGGGGGCAGGCAGAAGGCGGCCAGTCGATGATGTCTCTCATCGATGTTTCTGTCTCTCTCTCTCCCTACCTCTCTCTCTAAAATCAATAAAGAAAAAAAACAATTTAAATAAATAAAAGCCCAGGATAAGAGAGTCAGGGCCACATCCAGTGGGCAAGATGGCAGAGCAAACCATGTCCCGCTCTGATGAGTGAGAGGGTGGGTTGGCTGTGCGCCAGCATTTTGAAGAGAGGCACGTACACTTTCCGGGAAATCCTGCTTGTGGGTGTGCACCCCACTGGCATAATTGCATTCATGTGTGTCCGCCAGAAGGGTCAGCGGAAAGGCTCAGGGTTCTGAGTGCTTCACGTTCCAATGTGCAGCTGAGGAAACTGAGGCCCGGGGAGGCCAGGTCCCTTGCCCTGGAGGAGGAAGTGAAGGAGGACACTGCTGAGATCACCCGCTGTCTCCATGGCCCGGGCGCAGACTTCGGACTCGCTTTCCACATGAGCAGTGAGGTGATGTCCTTCAAAGGACGTGCTGACCTGGGGTCCTGGGCACTTTGCCCCAGTGATTTCCTGCTGGGCCCTTTGCACTTGGAACAGCACCTGGAGCATAGCGGGTGGGCAGTTCGCCCTGCTGAATGAATGAATGCGGGGGAAGTGTCCAGTGCACACAGGCTTTGCCAGCTCAAGCTAGCGGGAGTGCTGAGACCTGTGGGAGGTACACAAGGGCTTGAGAGCTGCTCTAAATAACAGAGAAACCTCAGCTTCGGCTGGCGTCTAGAAGGCCTGTAGGGAACGGTCTCCTGCTCGTAGTCAATGACCCCACCAGGAAAAGACTAACCCCGCCTCTCCAACAGGAAGGTGCAGAGACTTTACCATCTGGGCAGGAGGTTGGAACACTTTCTTGTCTTTTTGTTTTGTTTTATTTTTTTGTTAACCCTCACTCAAGGATATTTTTCCATTGATTTTTAGAGAGAGTAAAAGGGAGGAAGGGAGGGAAAGAGAGAGAAGTAACGACGTGAGAGAGATACATCGATTGGTTGCCTCCTGCATGACCCTGACTGGGTATATGCCCTCGACCAGGAATCAACCCTGAGACCCTTCAGGGCCAATGCTCTAACCACTGCGCCAAACTGGCCAGGGCAGGGTGGCAGATTTTCTTTTTGCCCAGCAACGAGCCCAGCCAATGGAAAATGCCGCAGCTCAGCCAATGAGAAGTCATGATCATCCTGACCTTTCCACTGAACTTACATTTTTCTTTTCCTAAGGATTTCCTGTCCTGTCTGCTTTTTTACAAAAGCCTCCCATTTTTTAAAAATGTTTTTGTTGATTTTTTAAAGACAGAGGAAGGGAGAGATAGAAACATCAATGTAGGAGAGAAACAACGATGTGAGAAACATTGATCAGCTGCCTCCTGCACCCCCTACTGGGGATCGAGCCCACAACAGGTCATGTGCCCTCTCAGTCCATGGGTCAATGCTGAGCCACACTGGCGGGCAGGGCTGATCTTTAAATGTTCTTAGTTGAATATTGTTTTGGCCCTGGCCGGTTTGGCTTAGCGGTTAGAGCGTCGGCCTGCGGTCCTGAGAGACCCGGGTTTGGTTCCCGCTAAGGGCGCGTACCTCGGTTGCAGTTTGTCCCCGGCCCTGGTCGGTTGTGCGGGTGGCAGCCACTCGATGTGTTCCTTTCGCATCGATGTTTCTCTCTCTCTCTCTCTCTGTTCCTCTCTCTCCCTCCCACTCTACCTGAACAAAAAATGGAAAAATGTCCTCCGGTGAGGATTAAAAAAAAAAAAAAGAAGAATTTTGTTTTGTAACAGCTCTGACACCTATGTGACCTCTATGGATGTCACTTGTGCTGCACAGACCTCGGTTTTCTCATCTGTAAAATGGCAAGTTGCAACACATAATGAAGTAACTCCATTCTGACCCTCAGTTACTGCACGTACATACCTTGGCGGTTTTTTGTAAACATGAGGGTCTTGAAAAACCCAGAGAAAACTATAAAGATAAGGGGGTTAATGATGGCCTTGGGAAACTCAGAGGAAACATGGAGAGAAAGAGATTAATGGTTGCCCTGACCTCTGTAACAGCTCCTTTCGCCCCTTCTGTATCAGTTCCCCCCCTTAGCGGTGCCAAAAGCGGCACCAAGAATGTAGGTTTTTTCCCTGTAGTTTGTGCCTTTAAAAGCAGACAACAAAGAAGGCTCAGGGCTGTGGATTTGGGGAGACTATCCCCCGTAGCCCGCCGGTGAATAAAGTGCTCCTTTACAATTTGGCTGTGCGTCTCTGATTATCTCGCTCACACGTTACACACACACACAAAACAGCGAAAAGGCTAATAGCACATATCTATGAGCTCCTAAAAATTGATAAGAAAAAGAGAAACAAATTAGTAGATAAATGTACCAAAAATACACAATGGCAAATTTTAAATATCTAGTGCTAGCAAGAAAACAGGCATGGCAGAGGGCAATGAGTCCTGCTGCAACTCTTTGGAGAATAATCTGGCGCTAGGTATTAAAATTTTAAACCCACATTAGACCTAGAAACCCACTTTTATTATTATTTTTCAAATGTTTTTATTGATCATTTTGGAGAGAAAGGGAGAGGGAGGGAGAGAAACATCCATGTGAAGAGAAACATCCATCAACTGCCTGCTGCCTGGAGCTCATTACACCCCCTACAGGGGATGAAGCCCCAACCCAGGCCTGGCCCTCACTGGGAATGGAACCTTCCACCTTGTAGGGCATGGTGATGCTCAACAAACTGAGCCACACCAGCCAGGGCTAGAAATCCACTTTTAGAAATCTAGCTCCTGGAAGCAAAAGTACCAGAACACAAGGATATGCATACAAAGCATTTACTGTATTATTTACAATAGGACAGAATTCGAAACCTAAGAGCCCGTGGATAGGGGAATGACTAAGTGTCTGGATGCTGTGGCCTAGTCGGAGATCCATCTACTGACCTGAAGGGATACTAATTGAGGGGGAATTCTGATGGAAAAGGGAGAACAAAGCTCAAGGATCCATTTCTGGACTTCCAAGAAGCCTCAGTGAAAAGACTTGATAAAAGACGAGTTCATAGCCCACTTGAGAGCGTGGAGGCTGAGCTGTGGATTCCATCTGACATCTTCCCCCTGGAGGATACGCGGGCTCCAGGTGGGGGTGCCTCCGCACACACTCCCACCAGCCTGCACCAGAGCAGGGGGAGCTGGTGCTACGGGGTTCCAGGAGTGGGGCGCCCACAAAAGCAACGAGAGTTTGCAAGCTGATAGGGCTTAATACGTATGTACTCGACAGGGGCGCCTCTTTAAACCCGTTACGAAGACTTCAGCCCATCTTCGGCTCCACTTCCCACAACTCGCCACTAAGCGTGGGAAGAGGGGAGCGCCGACCGAGGTCGCTGGGTGCACAGCGACGCGGAAGCCGAGCTACAGAGGGAGAACTACAACTCCCAGCACGCCCCGCGCATTCCCAGGAGGCCGCGGGGCCCGCTCCAGAGCGGGACGTTCCCGACATGCCTCGCGGCGGCCGCCAACCGCCCGATTTGAATCGCGGCACCGCTCGGGGCGCCGCTGGGATGGGTGCCCCGTCGTTGCCCGCGGCCTGGCAGCTCTACCTCAAGGACCACCGCATCTCTACGTTCAAGAACTGGCCCTTCCTGGAGGGCTGCGCCTGCACCCCGGAGCGGGTGAGACCGCGAGGGCCCCGGGTCCCAGGCCCGCCCCACCGGGCCCTGCCCCAGAGCCCCGACCCCGCTCCTTGGCGACCGCTCTCTGGGCTCCTGGGACCGGGGCGACGCCCCCCGCCGCGGGGCTCCGGACCCTCTCTGGGCTCCCGGGGCCGGGGCGACCCCCCTCCCACCCCAGGGCTCCGGCCCCTCTGGGCTCCCGGGACCGGGGCGACCCCCCTCCCACCCCAGGGCTCCGGCCCCTCTCTGGGCTCCCGGGACCGGGGCGACCCCCCCCCCCCGCCGCGGGGCTCCGGACCCTCTCTGGGCTCCCGGGGCCGGGGCGACCCCCCTCCCACCCCAGGGCTCCGGCCCCTCTCTGGGCTCCCGGAGCCGGGGCGACCCCCCCCCCCCCCGCCGCGGGGCTCCGGACCCTCTCTGGGCTCCCGGGACCGGGGCTCCGGCCCCTCTCTGGGCTCCCGGCCCCGACGCGCCCTGCCGGGGACTGAGCCGGGCTCTCCCTTGCAGATGGCCGCGGCCGGCTTCATCCACTGCCCCACTGAGAACGAGCCGGACTTGGCCCAGTGTTTCTTCTGCTTCAAGGAGCTGGAAGGCTGGGAGCCAGATGACGACCCCATGTGAGTACCCCAGGCCTTCTGGCGCCCCTGCTGCGTCTGGACCTCACGTTTTAAGCTGCGCTGGGAGAACTATTTCAGTCTTGGAGACACTTCGTGAAGGGACCGCAGTTTCCACCCTCATTGCGCGCCCTAAACGGCTGTTGGGAAAGGATGACCCTCTGCGTGCGGCGCCTGGGTGGTGCTCTCAGCCCAGTCCACCAGCTTTAGCTAAATGCCCCTCCGGGCCTGCTGGAGGGGCCGTTCTCCTAGGGACTCGCTGCCTTTCAGGTTGGACAGAGTATAGGAGCAGATCCTGTTGTGACCAGGGGTGTCCAGGTGCTTTTCCCGTTTTTGAGTCGTAGATCTAAAACCTTACTGAGCTATAATTCACACACCACAAAACGCTCTTTTCAAGTGGTTCACTTCACTGTTGTTCTGGAGTTTGCTCTGTAAGGGACACGTTTCTGCATGTGTTCAGGGAGACCAGAGGGGCTGGCTCTGCCCTGCCAGGCCACGTTCTGTTCGCCCCTTCTTCCCCGTCAGAACCCACGCTTTCCACGGCTTTGCCTGTTTTCCGTAGAGAATCAACCAGGTTGTTTCTCTTCTTGGCCAGGAAATGCGTTTGCTCTCATGAGCCGGTATGGCTGAATGGCATGGTGAGCAGGCCGGTGGTCACTGGGGAAATGCCAGCCGTGTGTCTTGGAGTGGTTTCTCAGTGCTGTGGTGTTTTCAGCTTCCAGCTGCTGCTGGCTGGCCCTCTGGATTTTGTGCGGCTGTGTTCATTCCAGTGCTGTTCTGGGTCAGTCTGGGCTCCGCGGGGCTCACTCCCTGTGCAGACAAGGATGGTGCGAGGCAGAGGACTTCCCTGGGGAAGCCTGGCCCGTGCTGCCCTGTTCCAAGCCAGTAGATTATGTAACAGTCCAGTGAAATGACATTGCTTCAAAAGTTACTCGAGGATTTTCGAGGGATCTGATGTGTGATAGCTCTGGACTTAGAACGTGTAACACTTTTCCTACTGACGGCTGAAGGATTCTGGGTAAAATACACCAGCACAAGGATGTGGGGGCGGGGTCCACAGAGAGAAGGTGCTGAGATGAGCTGTGGGCCGTGGCCTGGGGCCGAGCACTGGTTCCATCTAGTTCGGACGGACGGCACTTGGCTCTGGCAGCCGAGCAGGGTGCCTGGGAGACGGCGCAGTGGGCGGCGGTAAAGGGGCTGTGATGATGGGCTATTGTTGCCTTTCTCCCTCTACCGACTCCTCAGTTGACATGCTCCTGTGTTGATTTTTCTAGAGAGGAACATAAAAAGCATTCATCTGGTTGTGCTTTCCTTTCTGTCAAGAAGGAATTTGAAGAATTAACCCTCGGTGAATTTTTGAAACTGGACAAAGAAAGAGCCAAGAACAAAATTGTATGTATGATGGGGAGTAGGAGCCGGGAGCCGTCCCTGCTTGGCGTCTTAGTACTGAGCTCTAGCCCCTCCCAAATGCTGGGGGCACGGTTTTCCTCCAGCAGCACTTTTTAAGACCCTTGGGTGTGTATGTGAGGAGATGGAAGGACGGGGAGCATCTGCCCTGGAGTGTGGTCTTGGGGTTGTGCAGTCAGAGAAATCTGTGCCCTCAGAAAAGGTGTGTTCAGCGTAGTGAGGTTCCCTCTGCTGGTGGGACGGACGATGGAGGTGGGAGGTCATTCATAAAGTGGGTTTCGTGTTAGTGGTGGGAACATAGAGTGGGGGACACATAGTCGAGTGTGTATCAAGGAAGGGGCATTACGTGTACTGGAGAAAGGCGCTGGTCCAACTGGACCTTGAAGGGATTTCTGCAGGTGAACTTGTATTCTTGACTCTTGGAAGTGCAGACTGGGTAACTGGGAGATTATGAGTGAAGCTGAGAGTCCCCAAAGAGGAGGCTTCGAGCAGTCCGGCCTGCAGAGAGAACCAGGACTTCCAATTAAATCTGAATTTCAGTTACGCAAGGATTAATTTTTTTAGTATCTCACATTTTGTGTGAGTAAACACTAAAAAATTACTAGTTTATATGAAGATGACATTTAACTGTGCATCCATCCTGACTTTTTTTGATTGTTGTTAATCCTCAGCAGAGGATATTTTTTCCATTGATTTTTGAAGACAGTGGTCACGAACCAGTGACCCCTTGGTCCACAGGCTGATGCTCTAACCACTGAGCACTGGCCAGGGCCATCAGCGTTTTATCAAAAGAACAAGATGAAATAATGGTTGTGATGCACAAATACTGATACAAGGAGCGGATGCTTGTGATGCTGTGCATTTCTGAGACCCCAGAAGTAAATGAGCTGCTGCTGCTGGTGGGTGTGATGGGGTCACTTTGAGGTCAGCCTGTGGCCTGATTCCTGCTGCTGCATCGCTGCCTCCGTCTTCTGGGGAAAAGTAAGTTAGAACCAACGTGCAAACACGCCAGCTCAGGGAGCGCACTGCGCGTGGAGCAAGCACGGAGCCTGGCCTGTGCATGAGCCTCCTCACGCCCGGTGCGTGAGGCGGCCGTGACCACAGCGCGTGGAGCAAGCAGGGAGCCTGGCCTGTGCACGAGCCTCCTCGCGCCGGTGCGTGAGGCGGCCGTGCCCACAGCGGGCGGCGCTGCGAGCCGGCGGGCTCCGGTTTGCTCAGCGAGCTTCGCTGGTTTTCACTGCGCCTTTCTTGTTTTCCCTTGAACCCCGTTATTAGAAAACGTGTAAAATGCAGTTGTTGACCGCCGTGCTGTGGTGGCACCTAGATTACAGCTGTATACGTAGGATCTTGTTAGCCTCTGTGCTGGGAGCTCCACCAGCTGCACCGTTGTTGGCTGCTGCTTCCTCTTGTTCTGTCACTGTGTTATTTTAAATTAAACTTTAATTTAATTTTATTATTTTTAATCCTTACCTACGTATTTCAGAGAGAGAGGAAAGGAGAGGGAGAGAGAGAAACATCAGTTGATTGCCTCCCGAATGTGCCCTGACCGGGGATCAAACCAGGACCTTTTGGTGCATAGCACAACGGTCAGACCAACTGAGCCACACAGGCCAGGGGAAAATTAAGTGTTCTTTTAATTTTAAAATAAGTAAGTCTTTTACACAGGGCAAAATTTAAGATACAAAAAAAGTATTGCTGGCTGGGCGGCTCAGTTTGTTGGAGTGTCGTCCTCTACACCAAAAGGTGAGGTTCAGTTCCTGGGCAGGGCACATGCTCAGGTTCCCAGTTCAATCCCCAGTCAGGGTGTGTGCGGGAGGCAGCCAACAGATGTTTCTCTCTACATTCAATTTTTAAAGTACATGTTGACAGTAATTTTGAAATGTTAGCCTTTATCATTTTTCTTACTATAAAACATTGAACCCAATAGAGTTCTTGTTTTTTAGTGTGACAGACATCAGGGAGAATAGAAATCAGGGTAGGGAAGGGTCCTGGGTTCACTAATGTGATTGTCGTTTGTTCCCTGGAGGGAGCACTTCGCGGGGGCAAGGCTGGGAGCTAGGTCTGGGGTGGCTGGAGGGAAGGTGCCTGTGTTCAGGAGAACGCCAGCGCTCCACAGGGTCTCCACCCGGGGGGGAGGGGGCTCCAGCCTTTCCCTGCAGGAGCTTCAGACACAGGCCAGGTGGTGAGGGCAGGGCTCTGCCCGACGCGCTGGGAGCCCTGAGCTGGGAGCTGCCCCGGACCTCGGTCTCTCTGATCTGACCACCAGGGTGTGCTTTGGGAGCTGCTCCTTCCGTTTCATGCGTCTGTTCTTTATTCCCAGGCGAAGGAAGCCAGCAGTAAGCAGAAAGAATTCGAAGAGACGGCAAAGAAAGTCCGCTATGCCATTGAGCAGCTGGCAGCCACGGAGTGATGCCTTCCACCACACTCCCTGTCCCCAGTGTCACCACTGCTCTGTGGGGCCCGTGACAGTGCCTTAGGAAAGGAACAACATTTTGAAATGAGCATATTTAAACTATTTTTATTTCCTCTTGAAAGTAGTGCCACGACTACTTCCGTCTTGCACCTGGTGTTGCTGCGTATAGTGACTAATTCTTTTTTCTTTGGTTGTTTTTGCTTTATTGACCCTGGGCTTGCCAGGGTGGGAAGGTGAGACGTTTGGTCACGTGGGCAGAGCCCTTCCACCATGTAGTGTCTGGGCTTCATGCTGACTGGCTGGCGAGCCTGAGATCTGATGGGAATGTGATCACAGGGCCACTGCTGCTGAACAAATAGAGAATCCAGGTGCCAGTTTCCATGTTGTTGTGTAACCTGTGTGTATGGTGTGCATGTCGCGTGTTCCCAGTATCTGCATGCTGTCTCACTTGGACAAGTCCTGCTCCATCCACCTGCAGCCTCCGGCTGTGCTGTGTGACTGAAGGGGTTTCCTTTCCTGCTTTGTCATTTTGTAATCTTCAAGGCTGCAGAGGGACAACGGGGGCATTGAGCCCCAGGCCGCCTCGGGACTGTGGGTGGAGCCTCTCCAGGGACAGGCCCTAGTGGCTGGGAGGGACGGAGGACTGACGTCTTGACTCAAGCTGGCCGCTTGCTTTGAGGTCACTTGAAGGTTTTTTCCCTCCAGTGGCACACAGCACGGTGACAACATTTCTCCAGAACAGACAAGGTCCTTAATGCCACACAGGCATTTGCAGGCCCAGCTCAGTGCTTCATCCGCTCACGGTTGGAAGAGTGCAGAGTGGAGTCCTCTGGGGTTGCGCTCTGGACAGACTCGTGCGCGGGCAGGCGGGCGGGCGGGGCTGGGAGGGAAGCCCGTGCAGGGAGCTCCTGGTCTTAGTTACAGGATTCTGCAAACAGCTATTTCCTGGGAACGATGTGGGTTAGGCGGCTGATAATGCACCTGTTTTTCTAATACAGATCTTCCTAAAGTAGGACATGGAATAAATTAATTAAAAAATTGTATTGGTAAACCTTTTGGGAAAACTTTCTCTTGTTTGCAATCTACAAGATCATGAATTCAGTGATATGTGAGTTTCAGCCCTGGCATGGACCAAGCGAAGGGTTTGTGCAGTTGTAGTGAGAAGGGGTCAGGGCAGCCCACGCGGGGCCCCGCGGTGTTCACCTTGTGGGCTTGGGCCCAGCCCTTGTTGAACCTGAGTAGCAGCCACATCATCTCTCACGGATCATAAAACCTGTGCTGCCTCAGTTGGCTTTTCTATTGTAGATGCAGGATTCTTCTATGGTGATGGGGCTAAGGCGAGTCCTCAGCCCCTCCTAATGTTCTGCAACATCATTTGAGTTATTTCACACATCTGCACAAACAAGGATCTCCCGTGAGCACACAGCCATCCTAAGCAACTGGGGAAACTGGTGTGAACTTGAGGGCAGAGAGAAGGAAAGGAGCAGGAAACAGGGTCTGGCAGAAGCTGCCATTTATGAAACTGCTGCCCAATTAGACAGCCTGCTGAGCCGCAGGGCACACGCTGGTTGCTCCCTCCCCAGAACAAAGCAGTGGCCTGAATCCTTTTTAAACGACTTGGCTCACAGTCGTGGGGACTTGGTGGGCTGCTACGGGTGGTCTGTCAGCCCCCTTGGCGCGGTCTCCTTGCTGCGACACCCCCTCTCCTCAGCTCCGCTCCAGCGCCCCGCTGGCCTCCGCGTGCCAGCTCACACGGGTGCGGCCTGATGCCAAGATGACAGATTGGCTTCACCCTTGATGAAGTTAAGCTGCGGGGTGGATTGTTACTTTCCTATTGGGAACCTCTGGAGATCATCTTGGTTGCTTCTGAAAAATAAAAACCATTTCATTTTAAACATGGCTGCGGACCTTGCTGGGCTTTTTAAACGTTGCCAGCTTTTCATGGTGGTTTCTTAGCTGCCAACTGATTTTCCTGCCCAAACAGATGCAGGGGTGGGACGCATCCTGGCAGCCACAGCAGCCTCGGGCTCCTGTACCGGGGCCACCAGCGCCCGACCATTCATCTGTGTCTTCTGGGCTCATCCGTGTACGAGCCAGCACCTCCGCTTGTCTCCTGCCACAGCTCGGGCAGGGGGCAGAGAAACGTCCCCCTGACTCCGAGAAGGCTGCGGGTGTCGGGAGGAGCATCCCGCCGCTCGACCACGCCGCCAGCCTGCGTGGCTTCCTCAGTGACGTTCTGTCCTCGGTCCCTGTGCTCGGCGGGTGGTGACAGTTCTCCGCCTTTGGCTGTGCTGCACCTTTCACACCTGCTCTTTCAGAAGCACTTTCCAAACACCGGACTTGGCCCTGGCCTGTAACGACTGCCATTGCTGGAGCCTAAGACATCTGCTCATCGGCCGCAGGCCCTGGCTGAGGGCAGTGCCTCCACTCCTTCCACCTGTTCCTGTCTCAGGTGCTCCGAGGTGGGTGGGAGGGGGAGAGGGCTGCGAGTGGGCGGCTCACAGGCCCCGAGAGCCCTGTAGGCCGGCCTCGGGCATCCAGACCATCCTGTGCCCCGTGGTGTGGGGAAGCCAGCCGGACTGGCAGCGCCTGCAAGTGGGCACCCCCTTGGGATGTGGACACTCTTCAGGCTGAAATCACTTTAAAAATCACTCACAATTGCAGTGAAGTCTTACGTGACCTTATCTGGTGCAGAAACAGACTTGTAGAGCTGAAATAGCTTGTCTACCTTCACATGACTAGTAAGTATGAGGGCTGGGATTTGAACCCAGGCGCTGACCCAAGCTGGGGTTGACCTGGGCCGGCCGCCTGACTGGAGACAAGGCCACCTTTGACCATCCCCTCCAGCTTTGCTGGGAAGGCCCCGGCCGTCTGGAACTGGCTTGCATTACCCTGCAACGCAACGTGTCAACTTTCTAGTTGGAAAGACGAAGCTGTGACGAGTCTGGGGGCGGGTCCCCATGTACCCTTCTCCCGGTTTCTCCAGTTGCAGCTGTGGTCCAGTCTGCACTCCCCTCGGCAGGTCTGGTCTGAGCCACAGCTGCCACCAGGAAGGACCGTTGGGCTCCGCCGGGCCCCGCCGGGAGCATTTGAGCCCCATTTGCAGCTGTCTGCGGTCGAACTGGGGCCGTGGCTTCTGTGGTCTCCCCCTGACCCCGGGGAGTTGACATTTTTCCATTCACTCACTCAGATCCTTGCTTGAACACCACTGTGTGCACCCGCTGAGCGCTGGTCACTGCGTCTAGCAGCTGAGGCCCACGGGCTGTCCTGCAGCCAGCTCACAGCCTGCCTGGCTCTCTGGCGGGGAGAGGAAGGCCAACATCAGCCATGTGAGTGTGGCGCGTGGCTGCAGGAGTTCCAAGGCACTGGGACTCGGCCCTGGGTGGCGGAGGAACTGAGTGTCCGTCCAGGATGGAGAAAGAGGCTCCAGATGGACGAGGAAGGAGAGGTGCGCGGGGCCCAGGGGGCGGCGTGTACGTTCCAGGGGGCAGGGGCGAACTCGGAGGCAGGGGAGCCTGTTCCCCTGTTGGCAAAGCCCTGTCAGAGATCGCCAGGCTCCCTGGACAGAGGCAGGCCGAGTCCAAGGGGCCGTGAGGAGCCCTTCCCTGACCTGAGTTGTTGGGGGAGACCCGGGAGCCCCCATGTGGAAAGCACATGCTCCCACCCACGACCGCAACCTTGGGGACCCTGGAGAACCGTTGCTTTTGACTTGAGCAGTGTCTCGAGTCCACTGGGCCCAGCTTCCCCACTCACCTGCGTGGATGAGGCGGCTGTGGTGGGGACACGTGTGTCCTGCGGGAGGCTGTCTGCCGGACGCTGTGAGAGTAGTTGCGGTGCAGCTGAGGCTGAGGGGCTCTGACCGTGACCTCGCCGCCTGCTTGGGGCAGCACCCGTCACATGTGCCGTGTGTATGTTCCTCGTGCCCTCAGCTGGAGCAGGAGGCCGGCTGCCCCAGGCCCGCGGGGTCAGGCACCCTGGGCTCCCAGCCCTGTCCAGTGGGCGGATGTAGGTGTAAAGAGAGGCTGTGCGCAGTCCTGGTTTCTGTCACTTGAAATTGGAATTTCTTCCTTCAGAAGGTCACTCTGGCCCCTGATTTCGGCAGGAGTGGGCAGCTGCTGGCTTTGAAGTGGCCCCGCTGGCCTGGGGAGGGGCACGGTGCCTATCAGGTGGCCCACGGAGGGCTCTCGTGGGCTCCCAGTGCACGAAAGGGGGTGGATAATGAATGGGTCACTAACGCAGCACCTTTTCAGAACTGGGCGAGGGTGTAATTGGGTCCATCTCAAGGGAAATAGATAGGCAACTTCATCAAGGTCCCCCCGAGGCCTGGCGCCTGCAGTCTCTTGGACAGTCCAGTCTGCAGTCCCGGCTGCTGCCAGGGCCGGAAGCGGATGGGTGCAGCTGCGCACTGGCCACCCCGCAGCACGTGGAGAGACGTGCGGGCCCCGCTGCAGGGCCGGAAGCGAATGGGTGCGGCTGCGCACTGGCCACCGCCGCAGCACGTGGGGAGACGTGCGGGCCCGGCTGCCAGGGCCGGAAGCGGATGGGTGCGGCTGCGCACTGGCCACCGCCGCAGCCCGTGGGGAGACGTGCGGGCCCCGCTGCCAGGGCCGGAAGCGGATGGGTGCGGCTGCGCACTGGCCACCGCCGCAGCACGTGGGGAGACGTGCGGGCCCGGCTGCCAGGGCCGGAAGCGGATGGGTGCGGCTGCGCACTGGCCACCGCCGCAGCACGAGGGGAGACGTGCCGGCCCGCTGCCAGGGCCGGAAGCGGATGGGTGCGGCTGCGCACTGGCCACCGCCGCAGCACGAGGGGAGACGTGCAGGCCCGCTGCCAGGGCCGGAAGCGGATGGGTGCGGCTGCGCACTGGCCACCGCCGCAGCACGAGGGGAGACGTGCAGGCCCGCTGCCAGGGCCGGAAGCGGATGGGTGCGGCTGCGCACTGGCCACCGCCGCAGCACGAGGGGAGACGTGCAGGCCCGCTGCCAGGGCCGGAAGCGGATGGGTGCGGCTGCGCACTGGCCACCGCCGCAGCACGAGGGGAGACGTGCAGGCCCGCTGCCAGGGCTGGAAGCGGATGGGTGCGGCTGCGCACTGGCCACCCCGCAGCACGAGGGGAGACGTGCAGGCCCGGCTGCCTGGGCCGGAAGCGGATGGGTGCGGCTGCGCACTGGCCACCCCGCAGCACGAGGGGAGACGTGCAGGCCCGGTGGTGCAAACAGCGCTCCTCGCTCGCCCGACAGCCGAGTTTGTCTGTCTAAGCTCTGTGGGGGTGCAGCAAAGGCTGAGAGATGGGGGCCCCTGGAGCAAGTCCCCCAAAGGGGTTCTCCCTGAACTGTCTCTGGACTTGTACCTTAAACATAGTAAAGGAGGTTGTTTTGACCCAACAAAAGCCGTGATGACCCTGGTCACACTGTGGCATCGTGGAGCAACTGTCCGGGCTCTTTTTCGCCCCCCCCCCCGCCCCCCATCAGGGCCCATGGCAGTTATCCGGCAGGAGCCCTGCCCCCACCCCACCTCAACCCTCCCAACCCCTCCCAGCCCCTCCCAGTCCTGCTTTTACATTTTTAATATTTTTTTATTGATTTTTAGAGAGAGAAGAAGGGAGGGGGAGATAGAAACATCGATGAGCGAGAACATCAATCAGCTGCCTTGACTGGGAATCGAACCCGTGACCTCTCAGGCTGGGACCACGCTCAACCACTGAGCCACAGGGCCGGGCCCAGTTCTGATTTCATAGATGTTCTTCCCTGTCTGCCTGCGAGTCCTTTCCCCTTCCAGGCCCAGTGCCCTGAGCGAGAAGGGCCCTTGGCTGCCACCCGCCTCCACTGCCACAGCCGGGACCCCCAGCCCAGCCTGTGCGGGAAGAGGGACAGCCCGCCAGGACCTCAGCCCTTCCTGCCGCTGTCTGAGTGTGGTATGACACGCTGTTTCAGTAGTTCTGCCACAGTGGTCCTCGCTGACTGTTGCTAGATCCCTCACACTGAAATGAGACCTGGGGTGGCTCCAAGTCAGGGGCCTCTGGCCTGTCACCCCATCCACAGCGAGGGACGGTCCAGGGACCAGATGGGCCTTCCCTCCACTCAGGGCTGAACCCAGACAGCCCGTCTGACTGCCCGCCTTGGCCCTCCCTTGCGGGTCCCAGGCAGCTCCTCCCTCCGCCTCCCACCCCGAGCGCCTGCCGCGCCCCAGGAGCTACCTGCTCGCTTGCTGAGAGCCAGGGACGCAGAGGCTGGCCTTGCCCATGTGCGTGTGCAAGTAGGAGCCCAGCAAGGCCCTTCTGCAGCCCTGTGCCAGGCAGCCTCTGCCCGCTCAGCCGGCGTTGCTGGATTCCTCCGAGCGGGCAGGGAGGGGCTGCCCACCGAGCCCTGTTCTGGGCAGGTTCAGGCCCCTCCTCTTCCCCAGCAAGGCCATTTGGTGACTGAAGAGCCCCAGATTTAGCGTGATTAGGAAATGTGCCCAAGGACCCCTGGCCTGCAGCAGCTGGGTGGGGCAGTTGGGGCTTGAACCCGGCAGAGGGGGGTCCATTTCCCTGCGAACCTGAGGGGCCTCGCGAGCCGCCCGCAGGCAGGAACCCAGCGCTGCGCCCTGAAGAGCTGCCAGAGCGGCAGCGCACCTGCCCTCTCCGGCCCCCTGTGCCCCCTGCCCGCGACCTCTGGCGCTCCTGCCCTGCTTCCCTGCCCTGACCCCACCCCATCCCCGGGGCCCCCTTTCTCAGTCTACCCACTCCCCAGAAGCCCTCCCCTCTCTGTTCCCGGCTCTCCCCACTTCCAATCCCTGCCTCCCACATACCCAGACCACCCAGCTTCCCAGGTCCCCTTACCTCTGGGGCTCCCCTCACCTCCTGGCGCCCCCGCCCCTGCCCCGCATGGCCCGGCTGGGCGGGCTGCTCCTGGCTGCCACCCTGGGCACCCTGCTCAGCTTCGTGCTGCCGTGGCCGCGGTGGCCAGTGACTACTGGTACCTCCTGGAGGCGGCGGCTGCCGACAACCGCATGGGGCTCGGGCCGCTCTCCTTCCACTCGGGGCGCTGGCGCATCTGTGAAGGTAGGCAGCTTGGGCAGCACATGGGGTGCCCAGCAGGTGGGGGACACGGCCCTGCCACTGGGCCCCTTCCCCTGTATCCCGCCCCACACCCCCTCCAGAGCAGTGCTGAGCTCCCCACACCGCATGTCTGCCCGCAGAGGTTTCTGGCCCCTCCTGTCGCCCCCTCCCCAAAGTGTCTGGGCGTGACAGCCAAGCTGGGGTGGGAGATTAGAGGGGAGCGCCGGGTGGCCCCTGGCAGCCCTGGGCCTCCCCTGTCTCCTTTCCGAGGCAGTGGCACATCCGTGGCAGATACCAGGTCACCCCCGAGGCCGCGTGGGCTCTGCCGGCTGCCCCACTGTGTGACCTGGGATTGGCCCGGGGGTCAGAGGAATGAGGGAGAGAAAGGTGGGCAGGCCCCACTGTTTGTCCTCAAGAAAGGGTGTGGGGGCTGAAGTGGGAGCAGATGGAGGTGGGGGCCCAGATGTGGGAGCCCAGGGGTCCTCATCAGAGTGAGCAGGAGTTGGAGGTCCACTCGGCAGCCCCATTGCCCTCCCTGTCAGCACGGCCGGGGCTGGGGGCGGCCCGGCTCCCCACCCCTGATGGCCTGAAGGCACCAGGAGACAGGAAACCTGTGCTCCCAGCCGCCGTGGCCGCCAGATGCAGGGGGGGCAGGGCGAGGACTTCCAACTGCCCCAGCCCTCCTCACCCACTGGGGGGCGACAGGGGGGGGGTGTGGGCATGTGTGTATGTGTGTGTGTCTGTGTCTGTGAGCATGTGTCTGTGTGAAGGTGAGTGTAGGAGAGCGTGGAGAAGTGTGTCTGAGGGAGTAAAGACGTGTGTGTGGGGAAAGTGTGTGTGACTATGAACATGTGTGTAGGTGAGCGTGGAGAAGTGTGTGTGACTGAACGTGTGTAGGGAGAGTGGAGAAGTGTGTCTGAGTGAGTAAAGGTGTGTGTGTGAGAAGTGTGTGTGAGTGAAGATGTGCGTGTGTGAGAAGTGTGTGTGACTATGAACATGTGTGAGAGATGGTGGCTTCCTCGGTGCACCTGGGAGGGAGGACCGCTGACCATCCACCAGACAGACTTGTGCATGTGTGTGCATGTGGGCCGTGGGTGTGCATGTGTGTGCATGTGGGCTGTGGGCGTGCATGTGTGTGCATGTGGGCCGTGGGCGTGTATGTGTGTGCATGTGGGCCGTGGGCGTGCATGTGTGTGCATGTGGGCCGTGGGCGTGCATGTGTGTGCATGTGGGCCGTGGGTGTGCATGTGTGTGCATGTGGGACGTGGGCGTGCATGTGTGTGCATGTGGGACGTGGGCGTGCATGTGTGTGCATGTGGGCCGTGGGTGTGCATGTGTGTGCATGTGGGCCGTGGCCGTGCACAAGGGGGAAGTCAGAGAGCCCAGTCACACCCCCTTCCGGCCCCCGGCCTGTGAGCAGCTCAGGGACGGGCCTAAGGCTGTCCTGAGGGTGGCCCTGTCCATCCCATAAACAAACCCAGGTCTGGAGTCCTCCAAAGGCATTGGAGCCCCAACTCGGAGTTGCAGGGGAGGGTCTGACGGCCCTGTGGCCACGGGTCAGTCCACTGGGCTCTGGCAGGGGTGGGAGCCCGCCAGCACCGCCAGCACCCGGGGACCATGCCTGGAGCAGGCAGGGCCACCAGCTGAGTGCCTTCTGCCCCGCAGGGCGGAACAGTGTGTCCCCCTGGTGGACCCCTTCGCCGCCGAGCCTGGGCGTCTCCCCCTCAGTGCGGCACCTGCTCCGTGAGTCCTGGGCGCCGTCACCCTGTTCTCCGACCCCTGGGCGAGGCTGGCTCGGGACTGCCTCATCCTCGCCCGCACCGCTCAGGAGCCAGCCCGCCGGGCCCAGGACACTGCACACCGACCAGCCAGGCCCGTGCTCTCCGTGGCTGTGACCACAGGGGCCCGGCTGTGCCCCTCTGGGGTTCTCCTTCATGTTTCCAAATGGTCCGCCGGGCAGGCATCTCCCACCTGGGGGTAGGGAGCACGGTCCGCTGCCCCGGGGGAGGGTGCTGGGGAAGCCTCCTCACCCCAGGCCTCAGGGAGCCTGTGCCCCGACAAGGGTGGCCACTGGGAGGGTGCAGTGGCTACCGTGGAGACGGGCATCAGAGGAGGCAGGGAAATGGTCCAGTCCGGCCAAGGCCCCGGCATTCCTGTGGGGGGGCTTGGACAGACAGCCCGAAGGCAGCGGGGTCTGCACTGCGCCCCTGTCCGGCAGCGCTGCACCGAGCCGTCCTGGTGGTCCTGCGCCTGAGCCTCGTCCTCGTGTGCAGCTGGGTTTGCGGCCTCCGCAGGTCCCTGGCCCAGCACGTCCCCTGATACTCTTCACCAGCTGCTGCTTCTTGCTGGGGGCTGAGTGTGGGGCGCAGACTCTGGGGGCCGGGTGCTGGCCCTCCTGCTGCCTGTCCTGGGCTCTCCTCTGGGCTGCGCAGGGCCTGGGCCCACCCTGGGGGCGGAGCTACAGCAGGCAATCGCCCTGGGTGGGGCCAGGGCCTTATAAGGGGCAGGGGTTCTGGTCGTGGGCCCACAGTCAGGGACCCGGGGGGGGGGGGGGTGCCCAGAACTGAGCTTCCCACCGGAGGCTCGAGGGTCTCCCAGGTGATCCAGGTCCCTGCCTGCCCTGCTGATCCAGCACCTGGGCCACAGGACCGCCCCCCCACCCCCCTCTCTTTCCCAGACCGTCCTGTGGGAGGAGCAAGGGCAGGCAGGGCCCGGCATTATGGGAGGTGACAAGGGGCCTCAGAGTCCTTTGCAGTGACACATCCCAGGCCCAGGCTGACGAGTAGCAGTTTATCAGCCAACATTCCCGGCTGAGACACCTGAGGACTCACCAAGGTCAGCAGGAGGCCTGTCCTGGGGGCCCCTCCACTGCCTTTAAGTGCCACTGTCCCATCCTGCCACCCAGTGCCGCTGACTGCCCAAGGCTGGCCGTCACTGAGGGGCTCGGGCTCCTCGGGGACAGTCCTCAGTGGCCCTGCCATCCGGGGCCAGGCCTGAGCGGGTCTGGCATCCTGCACCTGCTGTCAGGGACCAGAGGGCATGGAGCTGGGGCTGCCCAGACAGGCCCTTCCTCCCCGGAGGGCTGGTGCACCGAGGGCCCAGCCCCAGCCGCGGTGTCGGCTGGAGACTGAGCGCAGGAGACTCGCCCCGGCGGCGGTGGCCTCGCCCCATTAGGGGACCTCGGGAGTCCCTGAGAGGCGCGGTCAGGTGGGACTGTAGCCAGGAAACCTCGGCAGTGTGCTGGGAACCAAGGTGCCAGCCGTGGGCGGAGGGACTCCGGGGCAGGCAGCGGGCCGGCGCTCCACTGCCTTCTGTGCGCGGGCATCCGTGGCATCCGCCAGCTGACCGCAGCCCGCCCAGGTGGCCGGGACGAAGCCTGGGCTGGGAGACACACCAGCTCACACCAAGGGGACCCACACGAGGCGGCCGGCCCATGCCGCCTCACCATCAGCGTTCCAAGTAGGGAGGGGCCCAGTGCCCAGGTGCTGGATGGGCAAGGCTCTTCCCTGAGAAGGGCACCCGGGCGGGCAGGACCTGGAGTGATCAGTCCCTCCGTAACTGCCCAGCTGGTGGCTCGTGTCAGCCAGGGGCGGGGTGTGGGTCCAGCTTGGGAGCCAACTCTGTGTCCCCTGCTCCGGCAGCGCGGGGGGGCCCTGCACTCAGCCAGGCTGGACGCGGAGCGAGCAGCTGGTGGCCTGGAGAGGGGCTCAGGGGTGGGGCAGCCTGGGTGGGCGGGGCTCTGACCGCTGCAGGCTGGGACAGGCACCTGTTCTGGAGCCCCAGCCACACGAGTGTCCCGAGGAAGCCGGGGAGAGGTGCCTGCCAGCCCGCTCTGGGTGCTGACCCGTCCCGGGGCCCAAGCAGTCCATCGGCTCACATCCTCCCCCCGGTTAAATCCCTGCTTCCGTTCTCTCTGCCCAGCCCCGGGCTGGTGGCTGTCCGTCCCCTCCTTCCCCTCCCCATCTTCGGTCAAGATCAGGCAGTGAGGGGGACCCCAGGGCTGGGCTCCAGCGAGACCCAGGCGTGGCCCTGCAGTCAGCTCTGGCCAGCTCCTGTCCTCGTCGGCAGTGTCCAAAGGGAACATCATGGACCCTGTGGGTTCTGACCGCCGCAGGCTGGGACAGACAGCTGCGTGAGAGCATCCTGAGGAAGCTGGGAGAGCGGCCTGGGGGGCCCCAGCCCACCCGCCCTGCACACATTTCCCGGTTGGCACTGAGCGTGGCCGGTGACGTCAGCCTGCAGCTGTGGGCCGGGGGTGGCTCTCTGAGCTGGTCCGGCTGAGGCCAGATGGGCAGGAAAACGTCCCAGTGCCCAGCTGTTTGCCTCAGAATTGCCGGACGAAGGGTCACACAGCACGGGGCCCCCAACCTTCCCCTCCTGAAAGCTCAGGCTGCGGGCCAGACGCTGGGGGAGGCGAGTCCGGGGCAGGCAGGGGTTAGACGGCGGGAAGAAGTGCCTGGAACTCAGACCTAGGCCGGGAGAGCTGCTGGGGGCACCGACCTCAGCCAGAGGAGGCCTGGGGGCACCCAGTGCAGTGGGGACAGCAGCCCCGAGGCGCAGCTGCTGTGGGGGCCACTGTGTGTGTGTGGGGGGGGACTCCAGGGCATCCTGGAGGGGGCTGTGATGTGGGGCGGTTGTGTAAGTGGGGACCATGTGTTGGGGGTGTAGGTGGTACGTTTGTACAGGGGTTTTGTGGGGTGAAGTCCTGGGATTGGAGGACTGAGAGCCCCCGTTCTCCCCAAAGACGAGTGGGCAGGACCCCGGAAGCGGTGTCTGCAGCAGCACCTCGGCCAGGGCCCCAGGTAGGGCAGGTGCCCCAGCAAGCAGACACACTGAGTGGCCGCCCCTCCCCAGGTGCCCTGACCCCGGCGGGCTTGTCGTCTACATCAGCTGCTCACACCTGGCCTCGCAGAGACGGCCCGCCAGCAAGGCCCCGGTGTGCAGGACGTCCCCATCGGCTTCGGCTGGTCCCCGCGCTGGCCTGGGGCTCCTGCGCCTCCCAGGCGCTCAGCGGTGCCCTCCTGCTCACGGCCCGCGCCCTCAGCCTGAGCCCCAGGCGGGCAGGGGGTGGGGAGGAGGGGCTCGGCTTCCCTTTGCATCCTGGGACTGGGCAGGCTTGGTTGGAGCCTGGCTGGGAGGGGACCCTGGGGGTCAGGGGCCTGGGCAAAGCCAGACGTGTGGGGGCTCCCCTGTCCTGTTCAGGCCCTCCGTGGACTAACTGGTTTGTCTCCTGCGGAGATGAGCAAGTGAGTCCCAAGGAGGAAGGGGTTTTCGAGGGGGGTTATGGTGCACTTGGGTGGGGTGCTCAGCAGTCCTTTCGCCTCTTGGGGGTGCAGCCCTTCTGCCAGGGGTCCTGGTGCCACAGCTGTCCCCGTACCTAGGGACCTGGGTCAGGTGGAGAAGCTGCCCATTTTGGGGAGAGGGGATTTGGAAAGAGAGGCAGGTTTGTCTGTTAAACACCCACCGCGCTGGGCACTGTGCTGTGTGCTCATCTGTTCATCCCACCTGCCGTCACCTTGACAATGCTTTCCAGTCACCCACTTTACTGAAGGGGAGACTGAGGCCCAGATCACCCTGGAGCACGGCAGAGCCAGATGCCCTTGCTAGCTGGTGGGATTCCGGGGCCTCTGTTCTGTCCCCCGCCACCCGCCCCTCCCTGGCAGGCACTGATGGGAGGAGACTGGACAGGCCCAGAGCCCTCATGCACCGTGCAGCAGCTGAGGGGCGGGAGCACCTCGGCCTCCTCCCTCGCTCTCGGGACTCCGTCCTTGTCCTGGCGGCTCTGACCGTCCCACCTGCAGCTCCCTGGGAGTGTCTGCAACTCAGGGCCGGGTGGGCGCCCACACGAGCAGGTGTGAAAGTGGGGTGAGGGGAGAGGCGAAGCCGCTTAGCGAGCAGGGCCAGAGGCTGGCCTCTGCAGGCGTACTGACGGGAGGCTGCACCCAGGCTCGGCGGGACCCCACTGAGACCCAGGCCTGCAGGCCACAGAACAGGCCCTCCCACAGGGCCAGATAGGCCGGAGGGGGGGCACTCAGCCCACCCCTGGTCACCGTGGTTTGTGAGGGCCGAGACACGCTCATTTTCCTGTAGGTGGAGAAGTCAGGGTGACAGAGGGTCCGCGGGGGCTGGACGGTACCTGAAGTCCCAAGCAGCCCCGTTTCAGGGCCTTCCTGAGTCTGGGGTGTGTGCCGGGGGCATGGCTGCCTCCCTTGCCTTGTCTTCCCCCTCCCCTTTCTCCCCTTATTGCTTGGAAGGTTACAGGAAGCTCCGGGGGCACGGGGCTGGCACCATCTTGGGGGCCCCACTGAGGGACAGAGCGGGGGCTTCCCTTCCTGTTGGTGGGTTGGCATTCACCACTCCACATGATCCCAGCACTGTGCCATTTTCCCTGAAATAAATCAGCTTGTGCTGGGTGTGGTGGAAGCTTTTCTTTCTCTCAAAACTTCCAGAATAGTTAACGAACGCCTGTGGCTCAAAGGGTGCAAGGGCTAGAGTCCTGTCACCGGCTGTGTGTGCGTGTGTGTGTGCGTGTGTGCGCGCATGTGTGCATGCACGTTTGTGCCCATCCAGAGACGGACGTCCCACCTGTGTGCCTGTGTCCGTCCATCTAGAGTAAACTCCTGCTGTTTGGGGGTTCTTGGAATAGAACTTGAACACAGATATGGTAGGTAAACTAAAAAAAAAAAAAAATCCCCGAATTTCTGAATCTGTTTCTAAAATATTTGTTGTACCTTTGTTTAAAGATTTGAGACCATAATTAATTGTTAAAGGTGAGTGTCACTGTAAATCAAAGTCTATAAAGTTAGAATTTAACCCTTATTTAACTTGGCTCTCTCTTGTTTTTAAAACTTAAAAACTGCCCAGCCGGTGTGGCTCAGTGGTTGAGCGTTGACCCAGGCACCAAGAGGTCGCCGGTTCAATTCCTGGTCAGGACACATGCCCAGGTTGTGGGCCCGATCCCCAGTGGGGGGCATGCAGGAGGCGGCCAGTCGATGTTCTCTCTCATCGATGTTTCTCTCTCTCTCTCCCTCTCACTTCCTCTCTCTCTAACATCAATAAAGGGGGGGGGACTGTATGCCTAAGTATTGGATATAAATGTTCCAGCACAGGAGCATCTTAGTTAAGCCACCCACAGCTACAGCTCCTCCACCAGGGGGCTCTGGGTCCCCACCGCAATGAGCGACAGGCCTGGAGAGAGCCGGGCCCATGTTCCCAGGGGTGAGCACCGGCGGAGCCCAGCCCTCCTGGCGTAGGGACCAGGTGGGAGCTGGTGCTGCTCTGGAACTTGGCTCCCTGGGGCTGGAGCTTCTCTGCTTTTCTGCAGAAAGTTCAGGCACTGGGGCCCCAAACGGGGGCAATGTCTTTCTGCCCCTGTAGCCTAGGACCACACATGTCCACCCCGACACAGCAGTTCTGGCCACGAGGGGCATCCACTTCCAGCATCAGAGGGGACCTAATCCCAGGGGAGGAGCCCAGCAGTGGCTGGTGGGGGCACGGTGGTGGGGCCAGGGTACCCGGCATGGGCAGTCAAGGGGGAGGTCTTGCCCCCACCCCCACCCCCAGCTGTTGTGGGTGTTCTCCAGGCAAATGAGCTCACACCGGGTTGTAAGGGCTCCCAAGGCCCCGCGTGACCATCCTCTCCAGCTTGGGCAGGTCTGGGAGGGGTGGAAAGGCACGCCCACCACCTGCAGGCATGTGTTTGGGGGAGGTGGTATGGAGGATCAGGTCCTGCGGCACTTCTTCCCTCTGTCCTGTCTGCTCCTGCCCAGCTCTGGGTAGTGGAGCCTCCCCTGCGCTGTGGACGGGGGCACAGACATCCCAGCTGAGGAGGGTGAACGGTGCTGGCTGTTCCTTGCAGAGGCTGCAGTCCGGCCCGTCCTGAGCGCTCAGTGGTCGGGGTGCCCACTAGGGGGCAGCAGGGCGCCAAGCTAGACCGGTGCCTGAGCGGCAGACCTGAGCCGTGGCTGCCCCCGCATGGTCAACCTGGGAACAGCTCTCCTCGCCGGCCTGGAGAGGCCAGCCCAGGTCCCAGCCAGGGCCTGGGAAGCAGGTTCCCACCAGAAGTGCTGAGCACCCTGCGCTGGTCCCAGGGCACGGGTGGGTCTGGGTCTTTACCTGAGCCACCCTGCCCTGCTCATAGACGTGGAACAGCTGAGGGTCCCAGCACCCAAAATGACACATCGCTGAGACAGGTGGAGGGCAGGGTTAGCAGAGAGTCCCAAGGGACCCATGTGCCCTTCACCTGTCTCAGCGACAGCTGGCCCAGGCTGAGCTCCAGGGCCACAGCTGACTCCCAAGTGCCTTATGCCAATTAGGGAACAGCGCCCCTTCAAGACATCTTACTGCCACGTGCGGGAAAGCGGTCCCACTGAACAACTACACGAGTCTAGGACAGCCGTCCTGAGAACCCTTGGGCCTTGCAGAGCTTGCACCGTGGGCCCTGAGGTCCACCTGCAGAGCATCACCTGCACCCTTGGGGGCCGGGAGCTAGGATGCTGGCGTCAGTTGAGCCCCCGCAGGAAACAGAGGGCACAGGTACACTGGAAAACTGGGAAGTTTATAAAGGGACAATCTACAAAGGTGTGGCAGAGTGTGGGGTCAGGAGGGATGGTGCAGGACCCCCCAGGCCAGAAGGCGTGAGAGGAGGGTGGTTACAGGAACCTGGAGACAGGGAAGTGGAGAGGTCTACCTGCCTGGCTCAGGGACACCCTTGGGGGAGGGAGCTGAGGAGGAGCAAGAACACACCACCTCCCTTTCCTCCCCTGTCTCCTGTCAGGGGCCTCACTAACTGACCCCAACAGATATCCAGAAGGCTTGGGACCCCACTGGTTTTGTCACAGCTCCCAGAACAAATGAGAGGAGCATGGAGGGGGAGCTTGGAGGGCAAAGAGAGTCACCCCGTGTCATGGTGTTGGTAGGCACAGAGGCAGGTCTTTCCCAGCAGCTCTGAGGGAAGGGTGGGGGTGGGGCAGGGAGGCGCCAGCAACAATGGCCCTCACCCAGAGCCGCTCTTCTAAGTGCTCCCCTTGGGTTATTCACAACCCTGAGCCCAAGTGTCTGGGTGAGGGCACCTTGCCCGAGGCTGTGCTGAGTGCCCAGCAGGACTGGAGCCCAGTCTGCCAGCTGCGCCTTCTGTGGTCTAGTGCCAAGGATCTGGTCCAGAGGTCCCTCTTCTACCCTCTGCGTCGCACCTCCTCCTGGGCCATGGTCCCCCACATTGAAACTCTGTGGTTTGAACCCCCCTAACCCACTCAGACCTCACACCTGTCTCACTTCCTTTCCCATCAGCCCCTTGCAGGTGGGGCCCTGCGGTTTCTCTGCTGACTTCCTCTCCCAGAACAGAAGGACTGGAGCCCACAGAAGGGGAGACCGGGGCGGGGGGGCTGGGGGAGGAGGGCTTCTGGCTCCTGCTTTAACGCTCACTGTGGCCTCCCTCTCCTGTGGCATCAAGTCTGAATTCAGCGCGGGTGGGATCTGGCCTCTGCTTTCCCCTCCAGGGGCAGGATGCCCCTGCCCCACCCCCCAAGTCCAGCCACATTCCCTCCTTCCTCACCACTATGCTTCTGCACACACACACACACACACACACACACCCGTGAGCCAGCATTTCCTTCCCTGCGGTCCCAGGCCTCCCCTCACCCCCTTCCCAGGGCACTCTGGATGCCCATCAATGCCCAGCACCTCCCCTGGACAGCCTGGCAGTGACCGTTCACACATCGGGCTGCCTGCTGAGCAGGAGGCTCAGCATCTTTGAAGTTCCAGGCAACGGTGGTGTAGATCGGATGCATGATCACCCCCTGTCACCCCCTGAACCCACAGGCAGGCCCTCGGGACTCAAGTGGCAACTCTGTGGCTTGTCTCTGGCACAGCTGAGGGCTGTACACACCTGGCAGTAGCAATGGTTCGCTGTGGCAGTAACTGCCAAACCAGGGAGGGAGTGTCGGTCACTGTGCCTTGAAAACACTCCCAAGATCATTAGAAGCCTCAGCTCCAGAGGCGCAGCCTGTGGAGGACCAGTTTCCCTCTGTCTCGTGTGGGAAGGCAGTGGGTGCAGGACAGTACCTGTGGGTTTAAATCCCGCTTTGTCGTTTACCAGGTATGGAACCTGGAGCGCCTCGCTTTGCCTCTCAGAGCCCCCCTGGGCAAAATGGGGTAACCATCTCGTCGGGCAGTTGGGCGCCTCTTTAATGTGCACGCAGATCACCTGGGGATGCTGTTAACCTGCAGCGTCTGGCTCAGGGGTGCGGTGTGGGACCCGAGATCCCGAATTTCTACCAGGCCTTCAGGTGATGGGCCAGACTGAGCAGCAAGGACGCGGAGCGCGAAGCCCCGCCTGCAGCCGGGCCGCCACCCCGTGTGCCCCAGGCCACCTCTCCGGCCAGCACCACGGACAGCGCCCTGGGGTCGCCGGACGACCCGGGGCCCCCGGCCTGTGCCCGGGGACGGTGCGGTCCTCGCCATTGTCGTCGTCCCCGATGACCGCCTCGACCTCGGCGTGCCTGGCGGCCGGCCGGGGCGGTCACCGTGTCCCTACGCCGGTCCACCCCGGGTGCGGGACCCCCGCCCGGCCCTAGACCTCGCCCCCAGCGGCCCCTCGCCCGCTGCTCCGGGCCAGGTCCGTCCGCGGAGCATGGTGGGGGCAGCGCCCGACCCCCTCCCGACGCCCCCGGGCGAGGGCCACCCGGCACTGCGGGGTCATCACGGTAGGACTTTCAGACTCCGGACGCACCGACCTGGGCCAAAGGGGAGCACCGCGGCATGCCGGGAGTTGTAGTTCGGGCCCCTGGCGGCAGCTTCGCGCGAGCCGGCGGGCGGGAGGCCGCGCGGGGTGCTGGGAGTTGTAGTTTGTCCTGGTCGCGGCGGGAGGCACGTTCTGTCATCCTGGCTTTACAGGTGGGGACACTGGGACACCCGCCTGAGGCCGCGTGATGAGGACGTGGTCGATCCGGCTGTCTTCAGAGTCCAGCTCTGAACCCCTGTGTTACGTTGCCTGCAAAGTAGCTTTGCATCCTTTATTTTCTCCAATACAGATTTGTTGAGCACCTAGCTGTGCCCGGCACTGTCCAGGTGCCAGGCAGAGGGACCCAAAGATGGTGCGGCCTGTCCCAGCGACTGACCTTATGGGCATCATGGGAGGCAGAATTGGAGGGCGGCCTAGAGAGCCCCCTCCTCCATATCCTTGTCTTTGGGGGGCAGTGCAGGGTAGCTGTGAAGGGCACCCAGTCACGCAGGGAGGACAGGCCTCCCCCCAGGGCCCGCTCTCATTGGTGGCTCCTTGACCTGGAGTGAGAGCCATAGATGACCGCAGGGGAGCCACTCGGCCCCAGAGGGCCACAGCTCTGCCCAGGGAGCCCTCAGCACAGTGACGCTCACCGCGAGCTGACCTGCACTGGGGCTCGCCACGTGCCTGCTCCAGGTCAGCCTGGGGGCAGAGGAGCCGGAGCAGCTTGCCCTAGGAGGTCCGGTCCTTGGGGTGGCCTCAGGATGCTGGGTCACCTGGGGGGAGGATGTGGGCCCTGGGGAAAGCTCAGCGGGCCAGCCACAGCATCAGGGCAGCCTTCCTGGGCTGTGAGGAGCAGGCATTACTCACACAGAGGCGATGGGAACAGTGTTCCAGGCTGAGGGAACAGCATGGGCAAACTCGGGGTAGGAGCTGGAGTGTTCGAGGCCCTGGACGGCCAGCCTGGCTGGACAAGTGAGCAGGGGCGGAGATGGAGCCTCCGGAGCTCTCCACCCCCACCCCCACCTGTGCCTGGCAGGGTCATCCTAAAGGGTGGAAAGCCGAGTCCCTGAGGGTCTGTGGCCCCAGCACCCCCATCTACAGGAAAGGCTTATTGTGCCTCCCCCACCCCAGTGCCCCTCTGGCCCTGACCCGAAACCTCTGAATTCCAGGCCCTCAGCAAACAAGCCCCTTATCTCCGTCTGGCTCCAGCCCTTCTGCTGGGAAGTGGGGGCGGGGAGCAGAGGCCTCTGTGGGAAGGAAGGGAGGGGTTGCCACGGTGATGGTAGCTCCGGGAGTGGGGAGAGAGAGGACAACGGCGGGGTCCACAGGCACCTCTCAGCCCTGGCAGAACCACAGAGTTAGCAGGCACCTCACATCTTCCCTGTCATCCTCACAGACTGGGGGGGCTGGGCGGGGGGGCCATCTGAGCGTGCCACCAAGGTGTCACAGCCGGTCACCAGGCCAGGCCCCTCTCCTCCCACAGCCAAGCTATCTTCTGGGAGAGCTGACCCTCCTGGGGGGAGCTGGGGCCCCACGAGCTTCCTCCTGCCCATGGCTGCTGGTCGCCTCCTGCCTAGTCCCAGGACCCCCAGGCCAGCCCTGCTGTGCCCCAGTGGTGGCTTTCCCAGTGTGGAGGGAGCTTGGGGGGGGGAGAAAGGTGGGGGCCCTCCCCAGGGCAATGAGGTATGTTTCTGAGGCCTTGTCATGAGGGGAGACCCTCTGACCAAGACTTGGTCTTGGGGGTTGTCTAGGCTGGTGCATGTGTCTGAGTATCTGTCTATGTATCTGTGTGTACACATGTGTTGTGTATGTGTGTGCATGCATGTCAGTGCATTTATATGCGCACATATGCATATAGCTCGTTTACTGGTGTGCACACATGTGCATATGTATATACATGTATGTGCAAGGGTTATGTACATGTGTTTGTGGGGGCGGGTATGTGAGCTGGGGTGAGAAGCCAGAAGCCCCTTGTGCAGCACATGGAACTTGCCCCCTCCCGACTCCCCGGGTCACTGAGCTGACCCTTCCCTCCTCTTCTCTGTAGGAGACTCCAGCCCCCTCGCAAACCCCCATCCTCAGAGGTCGTGGGTCATCTCCTGCCTCCACGCAGACCCGCCCCAGCATCAGCTGCACTTTACTCCCCCAGGGCCACCAGCCTCAGCCAGGCCACCTTGGGATACAGCTCCTCCACCTCCCCGTCCCCATCCTGGCCCACACTGCAGCCCGATGGGACACTTCTGTTCCCCAGAAGCACCAACCTCTCTCACCCCCCGGTCGTCACACCTGCCATTTTTCTACCTGGAAGTCTCTCAAACATGGGCAGGTGTCCTTGGTGACCCCTTCTGTCGTCAGACACCCTTTTCCAGGACGCCCCGAACCCGGCCCAGCAGGGGAAGGAGGGCCCTCCTCTGGGGTTAGTAACACCTCGCTGCCTGCGGGTGATGGGCAGGAGCTAGAATGTTCTTGGCCTCTGGGGCGTTCTGTGTGCCCAGCCCACCTCCTCGGTGATTCCAGCCGAAGGACTGAAGAGGTGGGGACACATGGCCCAACTTCCGGGACGCTGGGCCCCACGGATGCTGCTGGGGCAGACAGGGAGCCACGTCGGGCTCTGAGGGTCGAGGGCCTCGTGTCCCCGTGCAGGAGGCCAGGAGTGGAGGAGGAACAGACCTCGGTCCTGCCTCAGCCTTTCCATGGGGGAAGGTCTGGGGTCCATCCACATGGCCCCTTCCCTGGCCCTTTTGAAACATCCATCTGCTGCTCCCTGAGCAGTGGGAGGATGCTGGCCAGGCCTGCAGGGGAGCAACGCGTGGATCCCGGGGCAGCTGCCTCTCGCGGCAGGCACCCCAAGCCTCCCTGGCACCCCTCCAGGTGCAGGCTCTGGGGTGTGGGCTCACACGCATGAGCTGAGTTCAGCGCGCGTATTCCTGTAACACTGGGCCTCTGGCAGGAAGTGAGTAGCGGGAGGCTGCTGCTGGGAACCCGGTGCTGGCCCCGCTGAGATAAAGCGAGGCAGCAGATTGGAGCTGGAGATAGCGGCCTGGGTCCCGGTAAACAGGTGGGGGAAATGTCTTTCCCATCCCATCCTCTTGGCTCCGAGCCCGCAGGATCTATAGGGCGCTGGCCTGGGTCCAGGCCTGAGCTGTGTGCTCCATCATCTCCCCAGACGGGGGGTCGTGAAGGAGAGAGTGCTGGGTCCAGGGGCCCTGGCTGGGCACCGCCATGGGCACGCGCTTGGCTGGCCACGTGGGCTGTTGGGAGCGGTGGGGTAGGAGGGGGGCTTATCCAAGCCCTGTGCCCCCCTCGGTGGTGACAGAGACATGACAGTGCATCAGAGGGTCACCTGCGGAGTAGGGAAATCCAAACAGGGTGGGAGACCCAGAGAGGGGGGGCAGTGATGGCAAGAGGGCTGCACCCCGCTGCTCAGCAGGTAAGCTCTGCCTGTGCACAGCCCAGGGGACCTTGAGGGCAGGGCAGCTGGGAGACCCTGTGCTGTTCAAGCCAGGGGAGAACCACACGCTGT